GTATGTCCTTTAGTCTTTCTTCCAGCTAACCCCACCCCAAATCATTCCAGGTCAATCATAAGGATCCTGGGACCATGGGTCTAAATGGTGTTGATAAACCATGTAAGCTCTTAGGGCTAAGATGCAAGATCAATCCTGGACTAGGATGGATAGCTAATAAAATCTCTGTTGGAGGTATATAGAGATGTTGGATGTGCTTCCAAAACTCCCTTCAGAAACCTTCCTGCACTTGCATGGAGGCCTGCCTGTTGCTGCTTGGACCAGACAGAAGTATCCACTCAATTAGCTCTGAAAGCTTGAGAGTGGAGGCAGTTGTTTCTCAGTTTACTTGATTTGAAGACATTAGGCCTATTTCTAGCCATTTCCTGAAATCACCAGCTTAAATTTTAAAAATCTCATGTCAAGGAAAACCATATACATGCTAGTTATTTTCTAGCTGAGGCCTTTCAATAATGATAATACAGAAGGCTTCAGTAATGATAATACTGAACTGTGTAACCACAGTTTACAATGATGTGTTGTGTATTTCAAAATTACTTAAAATAGATTTTTAACATTCTCATCATGAAAGATGATAAAGTGGTGAGATAATGGATATATTAATAAGCAAGGCTGACTATAATGCATACATAAAGCAAAACATCACCTTGTACCATAAAAATATGTATCCTTATTTGTCAATTAAAAATAATTTTAAGACTTCTGGGAGAACATGGCGGACAGATAGCAGCAGCTACGGAGGCTCTCTGAAAGACCCAGCTTAGAATTCAGGAACGGTGCGGAGTAAGGAATCATAAGCAAGTGGAGATACGCCCTACTGACCCAAGAACGAACTGGGCTGAGAGAAACCAAATGGGAATGCAATCGTGGTGCTATAACAGGAACAGAAAAGCCTCAGTGTGGAAGCTGGAGCCCGTGCTATTGGAAGCCGAGATTTGGGTTTCCCGCCACTGCTGCTGCGTCTACATGCGCTCAGCAGGGAGAGAGACGAGCGAAAGCTCTGAGAATGGGAATCGGTGAATGGAGTTGAAAGCAGGACGGGCGGGAAACTGTGCATTGACCTGCAGTGAGTGAGAGAAACTGGGACTCTTCCACAGTCTAGGAGACTCCAACAGAGGACATTCTGGGACTGGGCAGACTTGCGGGAACAGGGCGCTGCAGTGACTTCAGTCACGTATCCCCCTCTGAAGTGGGATTGGTGAGCAGTTCTAGCCTACGTGACTCTGCTGGCTGAGACCCAGTAGGCTAGCACAGCCCAGGTCCCAGCGCCTGAAGGTAGATTGACCTGGAGGGGCGGGCCCCACATAGGCTGCCTGGTCTGCAACTTCCTGGTGCACTGCGGTGGGCAGGGACACCTAGCTGGCACAATTCAATCAGACTGTGGCCAACAGGGAAGGAAGCTGGGCTTCCTATATACACTTGCATATATAAGGAACAAAGAATATGGGAAGAAGCAGCAACAAGAAAGGGTCCTCGGTCCCCAATCCTGAGAAAGAGGCAATAGCAGACACAGCACCAATAGATATAAAGCGCTATCTGCAGAGCCTCATAGACAAGTTCAGGAGTGAAGTTATTAATGACCTGAAGCTAGACATAAGCAGAATAGTTAGAGAAATGTTAAGCACCACCCAAGAAAAAACAGATGGTGGAATGGAAGAACAGAAAAAGAGGGGAGAATTGTTTGATGGAGAAAATAGAGAAAGCATAGAATATGTGAACCAGGTTCAAAGAGATTACCAGGAAACTAAAAACTCTATTGAAAACTGGCATAACAGCTTAAAAGAAACTAAGGACAGATTATCTGAACTGGAGGGCAGATTTGTAATATGGGAGGATGAAATGAAAAACTTCTTAAAAATAACAAAGAAACAAACAGCAATAATACAAAGACTAGAAGATGATAAGAGGATCTATAACTTAAAAATTAAGAACATAAAAGAAGAAGTAAGGACTCAAACAAATGAACTACAAAAGCTACTCACAGAAATAATCCAGGAGAATTTTCCTAATTTAGTAAAAGGTAAAGATACTCAGTTGTATGAAGCATACAGGACCCCAGCCACCTACAGCCCAAACAGAGCAACACCCAGGAATATAATAATTAAAATTCCAGAAATCCAGTACAAGAACAGAATATTAAAAGCCACCAGAGAAAAGAAACAGACCACTTACAAGGGAACACCCACCAGAATTACAGCAGATTTCTCAGCACAAACCATCAAATCACAAAGAGTGTGGGGGAAAATAATTCAAGCTTTGAAAGATAATAATCTCCAGCCAAGATTGATATATCCTGCACAACTATCCCTGGAAATTGATGGAAAAACAAGGTGCTTCCAGGATAAAGAGGAACTAGGAGAATATGCAACCACCAATTCAACTCTACAGAGAATACTGCAGGATATTCTAAAAAAGAAAAAAAAACAAAGAATCCAGAAATAGTGGCAGAGAGGCCACAATGAATGGAGCAGAAAACAAAATGAAGAAGACATACTGACAACTGATGACAGAAAAAGAGCTCAACAGAAATGAGGCAGAGAAGATTAGATGATAGGAACAGCTATTTTGGAGAAAATGACGTCTTAATAGGTAATAGTGATTTAATATCATCTTGTTTTGAAGTCTCATCAAGCTTTTGTTCTTCTGTCTCCATTGGTCTAAACAGGTTATATCTTATTGGATTTTATTATGTATGATAGTATAAGCAAAAACTTTTATAGACAAGGAGATTATACAGAAACCATTGCTCATTTGCTGTTAGTTGATTCTAAATACCCTATAATACTGTCATTCTCTTAAATGGTTTTACATTGTTTTGATATATTTGATGCTACAGTATACGAAGTTATACTCAAAGATCTGAAGGAAAGAGACAATATGGTAACTACTTTTATGTCAGGATAATCTTGTGGTGAAACACTATTTTGCTTAAATGGTTATGTTTTGATCTGCGCTGATTTGCTGTTATGCCCTCTTTTATCTCAATCTCCATTTTATTATTTACTTTTTTTATCCTTTTAATTAAGGGAAAAATAAATTTAAAAATAGCGGATATATTATAGTAACCCACTTTGACTTTCCATTATCTTGATTTAAAGCCCTGTATTACTCTCACCATCTTGTTTTGACTGATGTCCCTCTATTCTGTTTTGCTTGATAGTACCAGGTTCGAAAGTTTAGGCAACAGCTGTGAAGATAGTGGGATTCATTATGATGCCCATTCTGGTTGACTATTACCTACTTTTGAAGACCTATAATGTCTTCAATGTTTTGGTTTCCCGGTTTTGTTCTTTACTGTTTTGTTCAGTTTTATTATAACTGATGATATAGGCAATTCTATTAGAGATAGCGGGAGGCATTATGGTAACCATTGTTGGTCACCTAGTATTATGCTTTTACATTATCTATTACATCCACCCTTTTGATTTGACTGACTGTTCTGTTATGTCACATTTGGTTCTACTCTCTTCCAAAAAAGTAATAAGAACTGTGGGAGCAACAAAACCCAAAATGTGTAATTGTCATTGTACAAAATAGAGGAAAAGAAAGTGCTCTAAACAATATAACTGCATGTATATTTAAGTGTATAAGATAGACAATGATATTACTGAGTTTTGTTGCATCATTGAACAGAACTATTTGCAGTTTCACTGTTGGAATGTCCACTTTATAAGCTTTAATTTTGTAACTTGAACAATTATTTCTAAGATGACAATATGTAATCCATTAACTAGTGATTTCCTACTGTTTATTTTTTCCTGTAAATCTGTATAACTTGTACCCTTTCTCTGCTTTTTTTCTTTTTCTCCTTAAATAAAATTTAAAACAAATAATTTTAAAATATCTTCTTCATATAAAGATAACAAAAATAAAGAAAATGCAATTCTAAAATAATAATTCGGCTTGGCATGGTAGCACAAACCTAGCACTCAGGAGGCCACAGTAGGAAGATCACTGCAAGTTGGAGACTAGCCTGGGTTACATAGTGAGGTCAAGGCCAGCCTGAACTACATAGAGGGACCCTGTCTCAATAAATAAATAACTGAATATTCTTCTCAGTTCTTTAGACATTTTCTATACACTATATCCAGGTCATGTGAACCAAGAAACTTATTTTTTTGTTCTAAGTTCCAGTGCCAACAGGGCATACAGAATTTTTGGAGGCCATCAATGAAGTTAAACAACCCATTTCCAAAGCAATCTCTTTCTCTCATACACATTCTGTTCTTAGTAATGGAAGGGAAAAAAGAGTGCTTCTCATACTTTTGCTGGCCTAGAGCTACTGGGGCTTTAAACCTTGGACTATGTGTGGAGGAGCATGGAAGCAGGAGCTTTCTGAGGGCTGCCCATCCAGTCATTTAATTTATTCATTTAATATATATTTATTAAATAGTTTATTGTATGCTGGGCACTCAATAAAGAGAGAAAATATCTCCATAGTAACAGTTGATTCCCCCAGATCTCTCAGGATGTTTGAAGCTCAAAATTTTAACCAAAGTGATAATCAGTAGTTAAAAGTTGATCTGGAAAATGATGTATAATCATGTTCTACAAAGAGAATGATTGGGGTAGTCACTGAAGAAAGGCACATAAGAACTATTTTTATGAATTATTTAAAGTCCATTTTGTTTTCTCCACTTGTCAAAGTTTTTTTTTTTTTTCTCCAAATGTAAGACCTAAGAAGTGGTGAAGACAGGACTCGGGTCACAGGCAGACTACTCTCAGTCCAAGACTGCATCTTGACTACTACTGGCAATTTTAGAGCAGAGTGTTTCAACCTCTAACACAGAAACAATCCTGGACTAGCTACTGAGGGGCCCCTGCCAGCTGCTGGCTCTGAAGCTGGTTTGGGCTCTGGCTTAGATTTGTGTAAGTTGGGGCCCAGGCTCCTTGCTCAGTTCAGCAGTTCGCATTGATCTCCAGGGCTCTTTTGTCTCCTCCTCCACAGTAGAAGCCTCTCCTCTCCTCTCCTCCTCTCTCCCTCTGCTTCCCTGGGTCTTTCTCTTTCCTCCTCTGCTTCTAATGAATTTAAAATCTATGAGCTGCCTAGCTCTGGTAGTTTAACAAAACTGTCCTTGCTTTTTCTGCATTTGCCCAGTCAAGGGTATCTTTGGCTGAGGTCAGAACGATGCTGTTAGTTCTGCTGATGATTGCATAGCAACACAGAGCAGCTTCGAGAGGGAAGGAGGCGGAAAAGGAGAAGGAGGGCAGGGAGGTGGGAGAGACAGAGAGAGAGTGTGCATACAGCAGCTGCCGGCATCCCTGTCTCAGGCACTTCTTTGCTGATTCACAGAGGCAGCCCGGCCCTGACCTCTCAGCTTCCAGCTACCCAGCTGCTTCCCAGACCTGACAGAATCAGAAGGTAGGCCACAGAGAGATTATTTCCAAGCCTCCTTGCCCTTGTTCAACTGGCTGAGGGGAAATAATTGAAGGAGAGGAAGCTCCAGAGATACCGTGTGTGTGTGTGTGTGTGTGTGTGTGTGTGTGTGTGTGTGTGTGTGTGTTGTGCCTGCATGCCTGAATTCCTGCATGTGCCTTTGGGGAAAAACTTGCATTAAAAAATGTTCATAATGTAGTAGCCACCGCTTGGATTCATAAAGAAGAAAAAGATACCCAGAAATAGAAACTCAAGCCAATTTGAGAAACTGTGATCTAAAAATGAATAGCAGGAAGGTCCATGGTTTGCTTCTTTGAGAGAAAAGTGATATTTATTTATTTTAGGTTTTCAATGACATGATTTTTGTCCAAGGGTAGATTTCTTGGTGAGAGGGAAGGAAAGGTGTTTAGAAAGCACTGGCTGGAAAGGGGGAAGAGAGGAAACACAGGACCTCTGGACAAACGAGTATTCTGACCAGCAGAAAAGACATAGGAGTACTACCCTGAAGTAACCCAGGCTCTGACCTAAAAGGCTGGGAGTAAAGGGCTCATTTAATCTCTGTGTTTATTCCTTGCTTCCCTTTGTTTTCTCTGGTACCCGCACCCCCTCCACACCCCACCTTGTCTTCTCTGATTTCCTTTCTACCTCCTGTAGTCTCTCCACTCTTGAAAGCTAGCTCATAGCTTGGAGTGTTTTGAAATAGCTTCCTTCTCTTGGAGGCCAATTCCCATCCCCCTTTCCTTCTGCTTTCCCTTCCTTTATCAGCATCAGGCCAAATGTCTCAGCCTAGTAAGTGGGTCTGAGGCTATGTGGAGAGTTGTTGTCTGTCTTTGATTTGTTAATCAAGCAGAGAATGCCTTCATGGGTGTTGATCCAAGGATACAGCAATGCTGAGCTGGGGTGGAGAGACAAAGAGGGATGTTTAGCAGCAGCTGCTGCCAGTTTCCATTGAGAGCCATGGTACATGCTATCTGGAAAATAACCGGAAAATAACATACTTTCTCTTGTTTCTCTCTCTCTCTCTCTCTCTCTCTCTCTCTCTTTCCCCCTTTGTCTCTCTCCCCCTCTGTCTCTCTCTGTCTTTTTGAGACAGGGCCTCACTACATGGTTCAAATTGGGCCTTGGGCTCACTTTGTAGCCCAGGCTGGTCTTGAACTTTCAAGGATCCTCCTGCCTCAGCCTCCCAAGTGTTGGGAGTACAGGAGTGTGCCACCACACCCAGTCCTCACTTATGTTTTTTGTGATTAGTCAAAAGAATAAAGGCCTTTTAAAAAAATCTGTTTCATTCACCATAGCTCCTGACTTTTCCAAAGTAATCCCTCTTCTAGATTAAAGGCCCTCAAGTAAATCACCTTTCAAAAAGGCAGTGTAGGACCCACAAACCTGAAGAAATATTTCCTCTAAGATTTCGTTGGAAAGATGATTTCAGAGCATCTCATGGCCTTCTAAGGACTCCTCTCCCCTGCCCCAAAAAGACAATGCCAGAAATTGAAGTAAATGTCCTATCCCTGAAAGAAGACAGAGTCTCTCTTTCCCTGAGAGGACAGGCCTCTCTGTCTTTCAGTCTTACTTCCTGCAAACTATAAAGAAAAGAGAGATTCCAAAGAAATGTAGTAGGTAGCCACAAAATTCCCTTCTCTGATGGTAATATGTTTTCTTGTATACTTCCCAGCAATCTCTTATATAAATATAAGCACATATTTTCCTTTTTAATACAAATATAGACCATTTTTACTTCTTCTTTTTGTACTTTAAAACATCTTAAGGGACTATTCCATGTTGGCAAGGAGTTCTGTATTCTTTTTAACGGTTGTATAGAATTTCATTATATGGATACATTATTATTTATTTAATTAGTCCATTAGTAAAGGGCATTTAGGTTGTTTGAAACTTTTTCCCATTTCAAGTCTTATTTCAGATGCTAACACTATACATAAATCACTTTGTATAAATGCAAATAAATGTACCTATCCAAAATATTTCTTGTGTTACTTTCTAGTACTTGTAACAACAAAATCATGGGTTTGTGTGCTTGTATAATTGGAGCTCAAATCAGTCACTTCTTGGCTTTTTAGCTAAGATCAGTTGAATAAATCAAGAAACATTCACCAAGTATCTTTTCCGTGCCTAGTACTGTGTTTAAAAACAGATGGAATATAAATAAATATCAGGCATGGACTTTGCCTTCCACTAGAACCCTTATATTTTCCATATTTTTAATGCTTTTATCCTACCCAAGAGAAACACCTCCCCTGAATCTGCTGGAAGGGCCTATATGTGTTCTCCAGAATGAAAGCAATATTTCTAGTATTTACTGATACTAAAAGACACAGCTTAGTATCTAACAAGAATTCCTAGGGGGAAAGCATATGAGGGTTATTTCTACTGCCAAAACATCCTCTATTCTGTGTATCTGATCCTCTTTTTCCTTCTCTCAAAAGCATCCCTTTCATAAACTTATTCTAAATCTTTCCAACTAGAAATGAACATGTCCTCCTTTGTGTCCTCTTACAGCATGATTTCTGAGTCCCACATACAATATGAACTATCTCTGTCTTAAATTATACTTTTTTGCCAGGTGTGGTGGTGCATGCCTGTAATCCCAGCACTCGGGAGGCTGAGACAGAGAATTGTTGCAGGTTTGAGACTACAAAGTGAGCTTAATGCCACACTGAACTGCATAGTGAAACCCTGCCTCAAAAAGACTTATACTTTTTTATGTATATGTATTATTTCCTACAGTTGCAAATTAACGACCAAGTCTGATTCATCTCCAACTCCTCCTAGCCTCTGACATTGAAAGGAGGACTAGGGAAAAATCAGTGTATTCAGGTGGTAATTTAGGGCAGGATGAAAATAAATAAAAGAGGCAGAAGAATCTTTAAATTTAAAAAAAAGCAGTGGCCAAGGCATCACGAGGCCTAGGTTTACTTATGTCTCAATATTTTATCTATATATAAATAGGACTGTAATTTTGCCTGGCTAACTTACCAGGTTAAACCAAGGATCATGAAAGACAGCTTAATAAACTATAAAAACATGCTGTATAGAGGAAATAATAGTGTTTTGGTGTTTGGATATATATATATATATATCACTATCTGGTTCAAGCTGGCCTTGAATTTGCATCACTCTTTCTCAGCCTCCCAAGTGCTGAGATTATAGTTATGCACCACCATGCCTGGCTGGAAGCCTTTAATATTAACATTTGACAGAGGAGTAAAGCAAGGCATAGAGAGGTGGAATCACTTGAGGCCACAGTCAAGAGCAAAATCTACAAATAGAGGATAGTCACACTAAGACCAGAAGCAGCTTATTCCTTTTCTGCCTGTACTGGATTAGAAGGTATGAATTCTCTGATTCCTGGCTTTACCTTATTTTTCTTTTGTGAACTATCATCGTGGTATTAGATCAGTAGAGCAATAGGAAGGAAGAAAGTTAATTTACAGAGAAGTAAATGACAAAAGAAGAAATACAAATGGCCACTAAAAATGAGATGGGGAATTAAGCCTCTTAGTAATTAAGGAAATGCAAAGTGATATTCAAGATGCCATTTTCAGTCACAAAGCTAGCAAACAATGTAAGAATACTTACAGTTAGCAATTATAATGAGAAATTGGCACTCATACATGCCTAATGGTGATACAAATTGATATAAAACTTTTTTCTATGGCAATTTAGAAATACGTGTCACAAGCCTGAAATTGGTTCTATAATGTTTAATCCATGAATTCCCTCTTTGAGAAACTGTTTTAAGGGAAGAATCACAGATATATATATAAGGTTGTTCATTGCAGTTTGAGTTCTAAAACAGAAGAACTCTAAGCATATATCTAATTCTTAAAACAAATTTATTATGTCAATTCCCTGGAATACTATACAATAAACCTAACACTTATTGAGCCATGTACTTTTGCCAGACACTGTGCTAAGGCATTTAAATATAATATACATTTATTTTAAGCATTAGGATAATTTTGTGAGGATAGTGTCGTTGTTATGTCCATTTCACAGATGAGGACACTGAGACTCAGTGAGACTGATTTATTCCAGGCCACATTACTAATAAGTTCAATAACGTACACTTCAAGTTGGTCTAATTCCAGAGCCTATCACCTCCACTACAGTGCTCTACCACTTATAAAGTTGTTAGAAATCATGTTATAGAGGAATAGTTCATGACATCCTAAGATAATACATGCCAAATGAAAAAAACAGGTTATACAAAATAGCATATGATGACTATTTTATTTTTAAAGTACATATATTTTTTTTCATAGAAAAACTATTATGTCTTCATACCTTTTAGTAATGGTTATCTCTGAGTAGTAACAATACAGATTATTTTTGTTTTCATCCATATGAGTTTCATATTTTTCCAGTTTTTCTATAAAGTATATAGTAAGTACTCTCAGTGGTACAGTGTTTGCTTAGCATATGCAAGTCTTGATCTGGGCTCTAGCACCATAAATGAAAAAACTTTTTTTAGACACGGTCTTGCTATTTAGTCCAGGCTGACCTCAAACTCATAGTGATCTTCCTGCCTCGGCCTCGCAACTTATAGGTGTGCATCACCATGCCTGGCAGAAGATTTTTGAAAGGGTTAACTTTTCAGGGCTAGGGATGCAACTCACCCCAGAACAGTAAGATTTTTTTAAATTTAAGAACATGAAAGGCCAGGAATTTAGCTCAGTGACATAAGCACCTGCCTCACAAGCACAAGGTTGTGAGTTCAATTCCCAGTACAAAAACAAAAAAAGAAACAAACAAACAAAAACACGCATTACTGCATAATCAACAAAAATCGAAATATTAATATTAAAACAAATCCAAAAGCAACTTGAGATCTTTATGCCCATAACATATCTATAGTACATCCATGGCAATACTCATTTTTTTATTTGAGTAATTATTTTTTGGTGGTGTCTGATCACAGAGGAACCATCTTTTCAGCAATTCTTAGGGGAATCATTGTGGTAATCAAGTGCTATGCAGCTGTATAATATCAAGAGATGCTGACTTTAATAAAGTGTCTTTCAAACCACAAACTCTTTTTACCTTAGCTTGGAATCTGTAGTATTCCCCAGTCTTTGGACAACACACACCATAGACTCCTGAAAGGTATTTGATACAAGGAGAGTCCACAGATCTTTAAATCTATGTGTTTTTCTCATTCTGTAAGTTCTAAAAGCACAGCTACTATTGTGGGTGTGAGTGGGTGAAGTGAGATTTTGTTTTAATCTTAAGAAGGCGCCCTTATACCTAATATGTTGGAAAGCACTGGGACAGAGTCTAAAAATGATACCTACTTAATCATTAGCATCAGAAATTAAAGGCACTCAGTTCCTGCCCTTTGGATCCAGGTTTATATATATATATATTTTTTTTCATTTTTTTATCGGTACCAGGGATGGAACTCACGACTGCCTGCTTGCAAGGCAGGCGCTTATGCCGCTGAGCTAAATCCCCAGCCCCCCAGGTTTATATATTTTTGCCAGGCATGAAAAGGGATCAGCTTTATCACTTGCAAACATCATCTCTCCCATCCATCCTGATCATATTTGCATACATCCACTATACTTTCAATTGACTTATACATTTTTTGTTTAGTATATCTCCTTTTCTTTTTTACTTTAAAAATATTTTATGTCTATGTCTGTGATACATAATAAATATATTCACTGTGTGATATTGGTACATATGCATATGGCATCATGATGCTCTTTACTTCCCTTTCCTCTCCTTTCCCTCTCATCTCCTCCCATAGCTCTTCTTTTCTAAGCTTAGCACTTGGCATCTAAAGCTCAATATGTACCCAGCATAGCTTATTATGTAACAGTGACTTCACCCCTGACTACACCAAATTTGCTCCTTGTCTTCTTTTTCTTGTTTTTATTATCGTTATCCATCCAACTACCAAATTAGAAACTTTAACTCTTTTCACCTCCCTCACCTTTCACATCCAATTGATCAGAGCCATATAGATTGTGCCTATCACACATCTCTCAAAGCTCCAGTACCTCCTCCATCCTAACTACAACTGCTTATCCTGTTAGCTTCTCCATGCAGTCTTCCCTCTGGAGAAGCATTGCACAAGGCTGGCAGAAGAGCATATCCTTTCTGAAGGCAAAATCTGGTCATGTCACTCCCCTGCTTAAAATCTTAAATGCTACCCATTTGTTTACAGGACAAAGGCCAGAATCATCTGCTTGTCATTCAAGGTATGGCCCAATCTGGCACAGCCTAATTTTCCAGCCTTACTTCCTACTACATCCCACAAGACTCCTACCTTGTTTTTTGATCACATTGAACATACATTTTGTATTTGTGATGTTTGAAACACTCTTTTTGTTTTGTTTTGTTTTGTCTTGTCTGCCTAATGGCAATCCCATTTCTCTTTCATGACTAACCTCAAGCACATTTCCTCTAGGGGAAATTTTCATTACATGACCAGACAAAACTCAACTTTCCCTCATTTGCCTCTTTACTCCATCCTGTAAATATTTCTATCATGAATTTAAATAATTTATGGTCTTTACTTACCATGTTTGTTTTCGCTGTATATGACCTATTCAGGCCCCATTCATTTTTATCTACTTGTCTTCTAAACTCTAGCCATGCTGAACTCACTGTTCTCTGAACATACTTTGCCCTTTTGTGACATCGACCTTTGCTCAGGTGGATTGGCCTACCATGAACACTCTCTTGCTTTGCCCCTTCTCTGCCATAGGTAAATGTCTAGTCATTCTTTCAAGACTCATCTCAAATACAGTCTTTGAATCTGTGCACATTCTAAGTTAGTTTTTTCCTTCTGGTCCAACCTTGATCTGCAACAAAAGCATTCTATTATTATTAGGCTACCTGACTGCCTTCTCCCATCCTAGATGGTAACTCATCTTTGTATCTTCAGCATAATGCATAATAGGTAAATAATAAATACTTCCTTGATTGATAACTAAAGTCTGTTAAGGTGCATAAGCCTAGGAAGAACTACTGGGTAGGTCAGTAAGCTTTTAATACTGGCACGTATAACTAGTCAAGGCACCTGTGAATTGGTGCTGGACCCAGATCTTTTCTAGGTCTTGACTCTAAATATCTCCTTGTTACTTTTCCAGGTAATAAATGGTCAACAGCTTGTCTGCTGCCCATCCTCATCTCCCCATGATCCTTGGTTCTTATGCAACCTATGGTCATGCAGGGATGCCCTTACACCCTCCCACGATGTCGTGAGTGGTGGGCTGCTGACCAGTTCCATCACAGCAGCAGCCTCCGATGCACCTGCCCCCAGCCTCAGGTAAGAGTCTGGTAGCAAAAAATAGATCTACGGAAATGACTGAGCACAGGATCTGTGTTGTTCTTAAGGCTCAGGGGTACTCTCTGCACACATGAAACCTCTTGTGTAGCATGGGGCCTCCTTTAGGAGCTTATCACTCACGAGTTCTTTTATGGGGGACACAGGGTAATGAAGGGTATTGGGTTGGGCAAGCCAAAGGGTCCATTGTGGCTGATGAAAACCAATTCCATGTTAACTTCACAAGGGATACAGATCTGGGGAACATGATTCTTCAGGGTATGGCCTAGGACAAGTCAGGACATTCTCTTGCGTTGGCTTCTCTGTGGTATACCTCATATTCTACAGGTATTTTCCTCCTGCCATTGGCTTTTCCTCTCAAATCCCCAGTCTTTCTTATAGCTATTAGCTCAGCCCCTTTTAGAACTCTGTTGGTTTCATACTTGCCTCTCTACTCTCTTTTCCCCTAGGAACATAGTGATAGTGGTGTACATGTTAGTAGGTGGTTAGAGGATATATGAGAGACGATGATCTAGAGAAGGGAGTTGCCTTTTCTGACAATAAGAGGTATCCAAGGAAAGTTGCCTGGAGAAAAGAGACACATAGGCATACTTTGAGTTTCTTTACAAGGCTTTGGAGTCCAGAGGCCAAAGGAGTATCAGCAAGTGCGATGGCTCCTAAAATCTCACATACAGGCTGAAGTGCTAAGTTGATGCTAGGGGAACAAGTTGAAGCTGAATCTACAGGGAGGGGGAGATAGTGGGGATGGAAATTGTGGATGCTGGCAAGCCAATTTTGGCAAGGATAATGAAGGAAAATAAAAATCTAGAAAGGCATGAAGGTCAGGTCCTCCCTAGCTGTTTTCCTATATCTAGCAAAACAAAAATTACTGCCCCTAACATATGCTAAAATCCAGGGAACTTAGAGTTCCCCAGTAACCTTTCCCTTACCTGGAGTGGGACTTTCACATGCTGAAGGTATACCTTCAGCCTATACCTTTCCCAAAGGCTTGCTATGTTCATTGTGTACATCCTCCAAGCATTATCACTTAGTTAGGGGTAGGGCACAAGGCTTCATTTTGTGATTATAAATAGTACATTTCTACCTGTCTCTCTTTCAGTGGTCTAGTTCTCTTTCTTCCTTCCATAAGGCCTTTATCTCAAAAGTTCAAGAGATAGCCCTAAAGGAAATGGGCTGTGAGAAGCACATATCTTGGCCACAAAAGTCATAAGTAGAAGGCAATTGACTGGGAATGGGAAAAAATAATTACTTTTCATGATTTAACTACTGGGTGCCTTGCTCTCCAAGGCAGGACTTGACAGTATACAGGCAACTAGGACAGGACAAACAGGGCACTGGAGAACAATTTGAGAGCTAAAAGGGAGTTAGGAAACTAAGAATTCTGAGGGTGGTGATGAAAGGATAAGGTAGGTGAAGCCCCGCTCATCATGGGTGCATCTCCCCAGGTTAGAGCCAGGACACCTTTGGCATGGTTGGATCATGAGGGACCAAGGCTATTCTAACTCTGGGACATTCCATTCCAGAGGATTCTGTGAGACTGGCTTGAGCCCCGTTATCCTAGCACAAGTGAAGCTGAGAACTAGAGCCACTCCCTACTCTTGGCCTGTCATCCCCTGCCATCCTCCAGCCACCCTAGTTGGCACAACCTCAAACCCTTAGAAAGGGCAGGCAGCTGTTCCAACTATTCCTGTAGGTGGGCCTCAGCATGTAAACAATGTAGGACTGTGGAAAGCCCAGAAGACTCTGTGGGAGATAAATAAGGGTGGAAACAGAACCGTTCTTGGTAAAAATGAAGTGTTTTCCCTAAGTGCTGACAGGTGGGGGCCAAGCTCAGGAATGTTAACCTTTCCCTAGGCAAGTCTGCTAGAGATGAAAAAGAGCATCGGGCCACTTCTAGGAGAGAGTCTTCCTTTTGTCCAGTGGCTTATGGGAAAGAGCTTTCCTCTACTCCACCCAGAATAACAATGGCAGACACAGGAGACTTACTAAAACTGGCTCCTCTGCATGAAGTCTCTAGGTTCTATTGTGCCCTCTCATTCCCTACAGAGTTACAAAAGGATGCTCAGAGGCCATCTCTTCCCCACCCCACCCCGCATCATCAGGATATAGTGAGAGATTTGAGGTTATGGCCCTCCCTCCAATCTTACCTACCTCTCCAAGGCAGAGCAGAGCAACCCCTTGTTTTCAGTGGAGTCTAGTGAATCTTCTGGACCCAGTGAATCAGATTCAGAAGGATTCTACTACCTCAGTTTCTCAATGCTGCCATCTGTCCCCAGCTGTTCCGCACACATTCCTCATTGCCACTGAAGAGACTTAATTAGTTGCTTATTTTTTAAACTCATCTTGCCAGGCTTTGGGAAAGTTGTTTGCCAGAGGTTTGTCAAACAACTTGTGGTCTGATCCTTTCATCCACTTCAGGAGAGGGGCAAGCCTGGAAGCAAAGTGAGCCCTTTGTGTCTTCAATGGAAAGAGAAAAATAAAACAACAAGCACTACCCTCTATGTGACCCTGCTCAGCACCATGGACTGCCCAGTCCCACTTATGCCATCCTTGCCAGCTCGAAAGGACCATCTTGGCCCCAGTGTGGCAGGCCCAGTTGGGAGCAAGCCGGAATTCCCCAGGAACAAAGCGCTGATTCACTGTCCAGGCCCTGACATAGCCGCCCCCTCCAGATTCCTGGGGGGTCAATAAATAAACAGGGTGGCAACCCCTGCCTCTTGGCCTCGTTCAGCTCTGTCTGCCTTCTTGAGCAGAGCTGCTTAGAGCTCATCAGGAACTCTCCCTGCCTGTGCCTCCCCAGACACTGAGTTCAGATTCCTGCAAGGGATAATCATGGAGCTGCTTGATCCTGCCCTGAACTCACCAGGTAGTACAGGTAGGATGGTCTCACAGGCCATAGGGTGGCTAAGTTCTGAGCTTGGTCCCCAGAGTTCTTCAGCTTTCTCACTTCTCTTTCATGATGTAGATATGAGATGTGGTTTTAATGGGGTGGTTGGTTCCTACATAGCCTGGAGAGTCTTGTGTGGGGAGTAAGTATGATTTAGGGGAAAAGGGACTCTCAGCCACCAGCAAGGCCAGATTCTTCCCACAGGTAGGCATGTAGATAAATGGGAAAGTGGGTATGTAGGTCTCCCTAGACTCAGGTAGAACAGCCCAGGCTGAAATTTCCTCCTCCAGTTCCTCTTCTCTGTACACCCCATTCCCTGACTGGGCAGTCCTGGCATTATTCTGTAGATAGCTTATGGACATCTGGATAAGTCCAACCAACTTCTTATGGATAATTTGGTATAACCACCATTGCCCTGACCCCACAATGACCTGATAGGGTACAACTAGTACCCAAGAGCACAAGGTAAGGAAGATGAGCCTAAGGGCCCAAGGCTAGACTTGGCAGGCTCCATGGCTTGTCCTCTTGGCTGCTGACTCTGATCAGAGTCCTGTGGCAATCAGGATCCAGAATGCTGCTTTAACTCTTTCTCAGCCCATGCCCATTTTCATGAGCAGTGCTTATTAGGATGATTTTCAGGTTTACTAACCGACATGGGAAGTAGAACTGGGAAAGAGAGAAAGGCAATAACAAGGCACATGTCCATTTGGGAAGTAGAATACTTACTACTGATAGTTTTCTCAGGCTGGTCTGCTCCTTCTCTGAATCTTTATGGGGAAGACTTTCAGTTATATTTCCTAGAAGGTTAGATAAACTATGGGACCTTGAAGCTCAGTTTGAATCCCATGGCTGCCAACATCTGGATAAGTCCAACCAATTTCTTACCTAATGCACATGTACTTCCAGAGCCCCACATGGGCAGTGGTCCTGGTAGAATTTACAATAGTAAGACTAATGTAGTAGTAGTCAGCATTTCTATCTGACTGATCTATACCAAGAGAAGAATTTAGAGTCTCATATCTGACTCTCTGAACACACCTACACAGATTTTAGTTGTGAACCCTAGGACCAACTCTTCTTACCTTTAATTCACTTTAGTCTCACTGTTGACTAGGCACAGACTAGGACATAGCACACTCCAGGAATCACAGGATGTCTGTGTTTCTGTCCAGGTTAGAGCTGCTACCACTGCCCCTGCACTTCCTTGGGATGGTGCTGGGGTTCCTTGCCTATTTCCAAAGCTGCTGAACGGGTCTGTTGGTGCTGTTGGCCCCCTGGAACCATCAGCCATGAATCTGTGTTGGAATGAAATAAAAAAGAAGTCTCACAACCTCCGGTAAGGCTTGGTCTCTAGAAACAGGTACTTGAAGGAATTGGTTGGGACAGCATTGCGCTCCTTTTGCCATTGAAGCTTGTCTTTCTGTGTGTTCCCTTTCCTCAGCCTCACCATCCACTTCTCCCTTTCCTCCTCTGACACTGTGGAAAGAATCTAGAATCAGAGGTCAGGAGATTTAGATTTGAGCCTCAATTTTAAGTAGTTGCATCATCTTGGATAAATTGTCTGAGTTCTTAGAATCTTAGCCTCTAGTTATTTAAAGCAAAAAATGAGTGGAGGAATATCTGTCTTAACTACCCCACACTGATGTCAGTAGGATTAAGATAGGAAATTAAGATAGGAAAATATTTTCTAAACTTAAACATGCTGATGTGTAAATGAAAGAAATAATCATTTCTACTTCTTTTCCTCTCATGACTAACCTTTATCTTAGTGGGTCTTAACTATTTTCTGATCCATCTTTTTATACTCTCTGTTCCCATGTATGCATGCATTATCAAATAGATAAGGGCAACTCAGTAAGAACTGAAGGCAATTGCTATGTTGTTATCATTCCCCTATTCTCTGTGTGCCTGCAATTTTCCCTCACCATCCCCTATCATAAAAGCCCAAACTCCTAGCTTCTAAGAGACTCTGGTAGAAATAAGGCAATTTTTAGAAATGGAAAGAATGTAATCTCTGAAGTTAAGGAAAACACAAGTGGTTTAACTGTGTGACCCTGACCAAACTATTTAAACTTCTGGGCAGTAGTAAGGCCTATCCCATAAGATTGTTGTGAGAATTAGTTGAAGCAATAATTTAGGTAAAGGGCTTGACCCAGGTGTAGGAAAGCAATAAGTAAAAGTAATTGGTACTGCCAGCTAAGGAGAATGGAGTCGATGTTTGCATGCAGTGTTAACTGGCCTCTAACTTCTTACCACTTAGACCTCAGCTTAAATTTTATTTGAGGGCTGGGGGAGGCAGACAGATGATTACATGATAAAAACTTTTCTTTTTCCATATCTCAAATCTCAAACCAGTGCTTCTTCGTTCCGTGGGGTGCTTGTATTTATATGTATATTTGCACATGTGCATGTCCATGCTTAACCATTCACCTTGTCCTTTCTACTTACTGCATCCTCACCTACTCAAGGGCAAGGCTGAGAGCAGCCTCTGTGCATGAGCAGTTTGACGTGATTTGGATTCTAACCAAAAAAAGAGAGGAGCCGCATAGCTGTCATCCCTTCACCCTTACTCGGTTTCCTTCCCTTTCCAGCCTGATGATGGGTATGCAACTGAAGTAACTGAGATCCACAGAGTCACATTTTAAGCCATTTGAGTTTGGGATACTTACCCACACCTGTAGTGTGACCTATTGGTTTTAGTACTGTGTTCCATATAGGGAGGCTTGAGAACTCCTTTGGATGAGTGAGGGTCCTAGGCCCCCTTCCACTTCACCTAGAGCAGCTTCTCTCAATCTACTTTATATGTTAACATTCCACATAAGTGTTTGTTTGGAAAAATGTTTGTCACTTAAAAAGATTTAATATCACTGGTCTTACTTATTATGTGCAGTGCTCGCCTAGAGGCCTTCTCAGACCACAGTGGAAAGCTTCAGCTCCCTCTCCAAGAGATTATTGATTGGCTCAGTCAAAAGGATGAAGAATTGTCAGCTCAGTTGCCCCTCCAAGGGGATGTGGCTCTTGTGCAACAGGAGAAGGAAACACATGCGGTAGGTTAAAATTATGGGCACCATGGTATACCGTCTCTTAGTGGAGAACGAGTCCTTCTGCAGTATCTTGATAGACAGACACCTAGCTCTGCTTATACACCTAAAGCAAGATTGAGGCTGTATACAGTCCTATTGCTCTGAGATTAGCATGCTGCAAAGTCAAATCTTTCCATCGTATTTAAAATCCTGCCTTAATTTTTAATGGGGAAATGAACATAATATAATGTTAAGGGAAAATGCACAGACATAAAACTATATACAGATGGATCTCAATTATATATATATATATATATATATATATATATATATATATATACTGTATGAATGACATAGAATGGAACTATATCAAAATGTCAACACTGGTTGATGACAGTGGTGAAATGGAATTCTCTTTAATTTTATTCTTTTTGCTTTTGTGAAATTTTAAATATTTCTATGATGTATATTACCTCTTTATTTAGAAAATAATAATAAATATTTCTTGAAAATGAATGCAGAATGGAATAATACAATATGAAAACAAATTATAACAATATGCCTTAGCATGGATAAACCTTACAGACAGTATATTGAGTGAAAAAAAGTTAGATATAAAAAGTGCATATGCTAAAATCAGGCATGGTGGCACACGCCTGTAATCCCAACACTTTGGGAGGCTGAGGCAGGAGAATCGCTGTAAGTTCGAGGTCAGCATGAGCTACAAAATGAGTTCAAGATCAGCCTGAAGCAAATAAGTGAAACCCTGCCTCAAAAAAGACCCAAAAAATTCAAAATAAAAAAGAAGATATACTATGTTTCTATTTTTATGAAGTTCAAAAATAAGCAAAGTTTACTGATACTTTTACAAGTCAGAATTGTGCACACACACACACACCCCAAGCCCATTTTTCTCTTTTTTTAGTACTGGGAATTGAATTTAGGACCTTCACACTGAAGTATATCCCAAATCTTTTTTTTTTTTTTGAGACAGAGTTTTGCTAAGGCACTAAATTGTCCAGGCTGGGCCCTTTGGTCTCAGCATCTTAGAAAGCAGGGATTACAGGCTTGCACTATTAAGCCTTTGTGGTCACTGTTTAAGGGAAAGGATGAGAAAGTGACTGGAAGGAACCACCAGGGGGCCTTCTGGAATGCTGGTAGAGTTCTGTTCTTGATGTCAGTACTGGTTACACAGATGGAATCATGCCATGGAAATGTGCTGAGTGATACACGTTTGATTTATACATTCTGTGTATATGTCATACAAAAATTTTAATATAAGCCCTGCTTATCCTGCTTTTGATTTTTCTAAGCCCCTTACAGGGGATTTTCTGAGGTTTCAGGAAAACCAAGATCCCCACATTTCTCTTTGTCCTGCAGCACAATCAAATTCATTTTATATTAAGTAGACCTTCCAGTGTGAAGAGTTACTATTCTACCTGTGCAGAGGACTACACCTTTTTCCTTGTGGGTAACCCATTATCTACTAAGGCAAGAGACTAAATTGCACTATGAAGAAAGGCTGTTAGTTGCAGGGTGGAATTTAAGTTGTTGAAAGATTTTCTTTTCCTGTTGATCATACTACTAAATTTTACAGGCCTTTATGGAAGAAGTCAAGTCTCGGGGCCCCTATGTCTACTCTGTGCTGGAGTCAGCACAAGCCTTCCTATCTCAGCATCCATTTGAGGAACTAGAAGAACCTCATTCTGAAAGCAAAGGTGGGTGATCTTCTGTTCTTCCCTCTTCTTTGTGAGCTACATACTGTTATGCAAACACTTTTCTGCCCTCTCCAGACTCATTTGCTCTGCTGTTATCAAGGAGGGTAGTTTTTACATTAATCCAAAATTGAAGAAGAACAAGATTCATATTGTAGCCAGGTGTGCTGGTACATACCTATAATCCCAGCACTGGGGAGACAGAGACAGGCAAATCACTGGGAGTGCAAGGCCAGCCTAGGCTACAAAATGAATTCAGGTTCAGTCAGAAATATATAATGAAACCCTGTCTCAAAAAGGAAAAAAATGAAAGATTCATATTGTAAGTAAAAGCAAAGAGAACAGAATCTGAAGCAGTGGTCTCCAGCATGAGGCCCTAAAGCTGTGCTGTACATATGGTCTTTTAATGAGGCATGAAAAAGAAGAAAAGAAAAACAAAAGCACATTGAACTGAACCAACTCAGTGAATAAAAGTTATAGTATGTTAAAGAAAAAATACTGCTTTATTTCAACCTATAGGGACATGTGGCAATGCTCTAATCAAAGAACAAATAAAAAACTTTTCAAAATCTAAAATGTTAGGTGATGACCTTTTTTTTGTACTGGGAATTGAACTTAAAACCTTATACTTGCCAGGTAGGCACCATGCCACTGAACTATATGCCTGGCTAGGTGATGACCCTTTAGAGGAAAATTTACTGTGGCTTTTCAGTACTGACCATAGTGACTTCTCACCCTTTCTCTCGATACGGAGGACCACTCTCCATCTAGATTCAAATAAAGCAGCAAGTTAGGATCCACGGGAATGATTAGATCTGAGTGGTAGCCCAGCAAGCCCATTTTCCCAGAAAGAATCTTCAGTACTCTGAGATAAGCTCTGAATAGCCTAGAGAGGAGTCTTAATTAATTGAATCCTTTGTCAATTCCATTTACTCTCAGTTTATTTCTAGCTTCTCAGTAGGAGCGCTACTACTTTAAATTACTGCCCAATGGGCCTGACATAGGAAAGCTCAGAAGAGAAAGACAATTCCAATTAGCCTGGGGCTTTGAGGCTCTGAATCTTCTTCTAAGGGGAAATTCTGAGGGAGAAAGATGAAATCTATAAATAATTGTTCAAGTCACAGAATTAAAGTTTGTAGAGTGGACATTCCAGCAATGATACTGCAAACAGTTCTGTTCAATGATCCATTAGAACTCTGTGATATCATTTTCTGTCTTATACATTTAAATATACATGCAGTTATATAGTTTAGAGCATTTTCTTTTCCTCTCTTTCTAAGATGGCAATATGTAATCTATTAACTAGTGATTTCCTACTGCGCATTTTTTTCTTCTGTAAATCTGTATAACTTGTACCCTTCACTGTTTTTTTTTTCTTTTCTTTTCTCCTTAAATAAAAATTTAAAAAAAAAAAAAAAAAAAAAAAAAAAAAAAAAAAAGATGAAATCTATAAATTAGGAGCCCAGCTTTACTGGCTTTATGTCAGTCAACTTTTCCTGGTCTGGGACATAAAATAATGCCTCTCTTCTTTGGATGTAGATGGGAAGCACAAAATCACATTCCAGTATGATGTGAATAGTGCTGTGAATGATTCACCTTATTACACATCTTGAAATATTTTACTATCTTGCTCATTTTTTTAAAATATAAGGAAATTTTCATGATTCTGTGAGAAAAACCAAAATGGTCTCTTAACTGTGGAGATGGATACACAAACCAACTTGTGATAAAATTTTATGGACAAGAGACATATATGTGCACACACATCGCAAGTACAAATAAAACTAAAGCTCTCTGAACAAAATTAGTGGACTGTGATACTAGACTACCCTTTTACAAGATAACACCATTTGGGTAAAGGAAATATGAAACCTTTGTGTTGTTTCTTACAATTGCATGTGAATCTATAAAATCTCAAAATAGTTTAACTAAAATAATTTAATGTCCAAAAGGGCTTGAACTATAGAAAAGTACATATTTGTATATGAATATATACATAAATATGTACACACATGTGTCTGTGCACGTGCACACACACACAGGGATGTCTTTGTCTCTACCTTTCCCAGAGCTGCTCCTGTCTGGTTAAGGTTAGCCTCACCTGATTTCCTGCCTACACTTGCAGATACCTCCCCCAGACAGCGGATCCAGAATCTTAGCCGTTTTGTGTGGAAGCAGGCAACAGTAGCCAGTGAACTATGGGAAAAGCTGACAGCTCGATGTGTGGACCAGCACCGCCACATTGAGCGCACTCTAGAGCAGTTATTGGAGATTCATGGAGCAATGGAGGAACTGAGCACTACTCTGACCCAAGCAGAGGGAGTCCGAGCCACTTGGGAGCCCATTGGAGATCTCTTTATTGATTCGCTCCCAGATCACATCCAGGCTATTAAGGTATGCATGGCTCCTCCCCTGGCTACAGTCTCCCGAGATCTCATGCTCTTCTGGACCCTGGTAATGTTCCTCCTGCTGAGACTCCATTGGTGTGTATTATGACTAAGCCTCTTTTAGTGCATGTGCTAGATCTGGAGCTGGCTTGTCTGTAGTCTCCTTTGTTCTTCTATAATCTTCTTTTCCCCCAGTTTTCTGATATAAGAAGAAGCAGAAAAAAACTGTGGCCACTCACACCTTGCTCTAGTTGTCCTAGTAGGCAAACACCTAAGTTGTATGTTTTAACAAAACCTCTGGGTGAAGAGTTCAATAAATGACTAATGATGGATCCTCTTTCCCACGCCTCATCTGCTATGACACTTGGTTCTGCAGCTATTCAAAGAAGAATTTGCTCCCATGAAAGATGGAGTAAAGTTGGTGAATGATCTGGCCCATCAACTTGCCATTTCTGATGTACACTTGTCGATGGAGAATTCCCGAGCCCTGGAGCAAATCAATGTCCGGTGGAAACAGCTACAGGTAAAAGAATAGCCTAAAGCAAGCCAGGAGTCACTTCATTATATTTAATTTAGAGAAAACTTACTCAAGCCCAAAAGAAATACAACCTATATGGGAAAGTAAAGACTAGTAAAGAATGTGGGGTTGGGGACAGGCTTCTCAGTCTCTAAGTCAGGGTATGATTAAACTGAAAAAACTGAGAAAAACTTGTCTAGATTTGAGTACACAGGTAGACAGAGGCAGGAGAAAAGTCACTGTGGCTGGAAGCAGGGAGGCTCTTCTCTAATCTACGGGAGCACTGAAGGAGGGATAGGATTAGCTGATGGTAAACGGTCTGGGAAAAAAGCCAGCCTATTAAGGAGTTCATAAAGATTCCTAGAGGCACCTGAGTGTTTCCACATGAACTAGTTAGAATTAATCCACTGTCTTCCTCATTGTTCTTTCCATAGGTGTCAGTTGGTGAGAGGCTGAAGCAGCTGCAGGATGCCCACCGGGACTTTGGGCCTGGGTCACAGCACTTCCTCTCCTGTATGTGAGCCAAACTGAACTTCACTTAGCAGAACTTCAGCCATCTTCCAAGAGAATCTACCATTGTTCCCTAAGGGCCTGATGGGAGTTCAGTATACCTTGTCATCCAAAAAGCAGTGCATATTAAAAAAAAAAAAAAAAAACGTAGTAGTGGAAAGATCAGTTCTCCAATTAGAGAGATCTGGGTGTGAGTCAGTGTACTTCAGCTTAATAGGTATGTAAGCTTGAAAAAACAGCTTAATCTCTTTGAGTCTCTATTTATTTTTCCATCTGTACAAAGAGAGGAAAATATTACCTAGCTTATAAATCAGACTTTATAAATTGTATTCAACAATATTTATTGTGGACTAGTTACATTTCTAGGAACTAGAATTGTGTCAGTGAACACAACAGAAATCATTACAGTTGGCGAGTTTACATTCTAGTAGAGGAAGCCGGGAGGCATGGTTAGGAAGAACTGGGCTTAAGGGAGGAGACATTTCAGAGACCTCCTAAGAGAGTGACAATAAAACAAAGGCCCAAGAGGCAAAACAGTGAACCACAAGAATAGCTTAAGGAAGACCATACTAAATAAGGGTTCCAGGTCCTTAAGGCAGGGTGTGCTGAGGAAAAGCAAAGAAGCTCATGTGGAAGAGAGCAGAGAGGAAATACAGGGAGGACAGATCATGGAGGGCTTTGTAGGTAAAAATACTTTGGATTTTATTCCAGATGGAAAAGAGAACTTTTGGCAGGGTTTGAAGTGAGAGATGATATGTTCAGATACATATTTTAACATGAGGTTAAGAATAGATTGCTGGGGGTGGGCAAGACTGGGAGCTGGAAGACCTATTTAGTGAACACAATGCAGTAATACAGGTGAAGGATGATGGTGGCCCAGACAAGGGTTGTAGCGGTGGATATGGTGAGAATATACTGAAAGGAAAATTAGACATGCACACAAAGCACAAGCATAGAAGTAGGAACTCAATAAATGTACCCATGGTTAGAATCATTGCTATTATAGTGACCTGAAACTGTTCCTGCAGAGGGTTTTGTACTCAGGGAAAATGAAGTGAGCAGATCAACCAAGTAACCTGATCCTCTCCTGAAAGGACCAAAAGATAAAGACACAGAGCTGAGAATAGCATGAGTTCTCAGAATTTCTCTTGGGAGTCAGGGCACAGTACCAGTACCCTCTGTCCACAGGCCTGAGAAAGTTGGCTTCCTAAGAAAGGGCTTTCAGCTCTACTTTGTAGCACAGGAAAAACCCAGCTGCCTGCAGTTAAATGATGGAAATGTCAGGGTAGCCAAAACCAAATATTCCTGCTAATCCATAGCCACATCACTAGTATGTTAGGGCAATCATTGACAACCTCTTCTACTTTTCTCACCCTATCATCAGGGAAAGAAGTGTTTATTAGAAATGCTTGCCTGCTGGGTATGATAGTAAACATAGCACTCTCAGAGGCTGAGGTAGGAAGATCATAAATTTGAGCCTGGCTTGACTTAGCTAGGCCTTGACTCAAAATTAAAAATAAAAAAGGGTTAGGGATATACTTCAGTGCACTACAAAGCACTGAAGTATCCAAAGCACTACAAAAAAAAAAGGAAGAAGAAAAGAAAAGAAAAAAAGGTTGCCACACCCTCAGCTGCTATATTAAGAGCTGGCAATGAGATCAAACATCTCTTTTGTTTGACCTATCTTGGGGAAGAATAAAACAGGGGAATGGTTGGGCGAGGTGAAAGGTATTAGTGGCCAGTTTGCTTTCTCTTTCTCTTCTCCTTTGCCAGCCTCTGTCCAGGTTCCGTGGGAAAGAGCAATTTCACCCAATAAAGTTCCCTACTACATCAAGTAAGTGATTGTCAGAATCAGAAGCAGGTCAATCCCTACATGGCCCCTCCCTTGCCTGTCTTTTCTACTTATCCTCCTCACTTTTTGTTCACTGGGATTCCTCGGTTCAGTTCAATTTTTCCTCCTTATAGCAAGAGTTCAACATTGTTCCTAGGTAAAGGTGAACCCTTGTGATTTGGGATCTTCAGGGTTCACCCTTGTATCCTACAACTTCTTGCATCCACCTATCACTGGGTAGTGTGCACATGTGGAGGGGGGAGTGTGGAGGAGTGTGACAAAGTTTAGTTGCTTGTTCCAGTTATGCTTTTGTTTATAGCCACCAGGCGCAGACCACATGCTGGGACCATCCCAAGATGACAGAGTTATACCAAACCTTAGGTAAGAATATAAGGTTCCCTTCTGCATTGTTGGTGGGACTGTAAACTGACACAACTATGGAAATCAGCATGAAGATTTCTCCAAAGAGCTAAAGATAGAAATCCCATTTGATCCAGCCATTCCCCTTCTAGGTATCTTTCAAAAGAGTGTGAAAGATATCATATTACAGTGGTACATGTGTACCCGTGTTTGTAGCAGCACAATTCATTATAGCTAGAAATCTTGAAAACAGCTCAGAGGTCTATCAACAGATGAATGGATAAAGAAAATGTGGTATTTATGCACAATGGAGCACTACTCACCAAAAGAAGGAGAAATTTGAGCCATTTTTAGAAAAATGGATGCATATTGAGACTATAATGTAAGTGAAGCAACTCAGACACACAAATTTAAATATTGCATGGTTTCTCTTATATGAAAAACTCTTATATACAACATATGCAATAAAACAGATGAGAGAGATAAAAAAATAAAGAAAGAAGTATTGTACTTCAGTACAGACAAGGCATCTAAAAGTGTACTTCGACTTACTACAGTTGTTTTACTTTGGCCTATTAGTCTGGTTTTCAACCTGTATATATAAACAACTTTATAAGGTCTTATAAGATAAATAAGTGAATCCAATGCTGGAAAAATAAGAGGGGTGTAAGGAAGGGGAAAATAGGATTGAAATGTGTTATGTACGTGTAACAATTTCCTACAGTGAATGTAATCATTATGTACTAATAAAAGTTTTACAAAAAGAATTTGAGGCTCCTGTACAGAGTGGAGATCTATATAGCTGCTTTTGTTCCATAAAGTCTATCAACAGATGAAGAAAATATGTTATATGCATACAATGGAATAGTATTTAGCATTAAAAGACAGAAAATACTGCTGTTTGTTTCAACATGTATGAATCCAAAGGACATTATGCCAAGTGAAATAAGCCAGGCACCAAAAGAAAAAAAAAGTGTAGGATCTCAGTTATATAAGGAATCTAAAACAGTCAAACTCATGTAGATTATAAAATAAAATGATGGCTAGCAGGGGCTAGAGGGAGAAGGAAATGGGATGATATCAGTCAAAGGCCACAAAATTGTAATTAAGCAAAATGAGTAAGCCCTATTGGCAGGGCATGGTAGCATGAACCTGTAATCACAGCACTTGGGGATATCGAGGCAGGAGAATCACTGAGAGTTTGAGGCCAGAGAGGGGCTACAAAGTGAATTCAAGGTCAACCTGAACTGCATAGTGAAACCCTGTCTCAAAAAGACCAAAAAAAACAACAAAAAAGAAAAAGTAAAAGAAAGAATGTTCTATCAATTTATGGGACAGCATAGGGCCTATAGTTAACAGCACCATTTTTATACTGAAAGGTTTGCTAAGAGGATAGAACTTAGGTTAAGTGTTCTTATCACATACACAAATAATCCTGATCATAAATAAGGAGGCAGGAGAAGGGATTTTTGGAGGTGTGGATATGTTACTAATGGCCAGATTATGGTGATGACCTCATAGTGCAAGCTTTTTTCCAAACTTATTGGGTTATAAACATTAAATAAATGGAGCTTTTTGTATGATAATCATGTCTCAACAAAATGATTTTTAAAAAAGAATAGAAGAGAATTTTAGTCAATAAGCGGATGGCATAGAAGTGACTATGTCCTTTTTCCAACAGTCTTCCATTCTTTTTCTTCTGCACTTCCCTCAACTGGACTCTGTATTACACCTGGGCCATTCTACATCATATTAGGGACCTATTCTTGTAGATGTGAAGCCTAATCTGCTTTGTCCAAACTGCAGTGACTGTGGACTTTGTACCTTATCTTTGCAAATTAAGATTTACCACACTGCGAATTTTGTCCATGTTGATGCATGTGACTATAATTCATTCATTTTTCACTGCTGTAGCAGTTTCATTATATATAGCAATTTCTTTATCTGTTCTACTGGTTTTTCTCCTCATTTTTATTAGTATATACTTTAATGGGTTTTATTTTTGTAGGCTAATACATGCACACAACACACTTTAATCGTTTTTTCCCATCAGCCTCCTTTCCCCATCCTTCCCCTTAGTTTCACATTTTGGGGGCTTTCAATGTATTCAATTTATTTTGATCATACTTATCCCACCATTACCAGCCTTTATACCTCTCTTCCCCACTCCTCATCTTTTTTACTGCTGATGGACATGAAAGTTTCTAGTTTGAAGCTGAAAAGACCAATGCTACTGAGGATTTCTTGTGCATTTCTTCTGATGCATGAGTGTAAGGCTTTCTCTAGAATGTATTTTCCACTCTCCAGAGATAATATCATTTCAGTGTGTTGTGACAAGCATTTTTAAAAAACTGAAATAGACTAGGAAATATTAGTATCAACAGACCTTTAGCAGGAGTCAGACTTGATATTAATTATATGTTTTGTATTTTTAAATCTAGAAAGGAATTGCTTTCTGAAATATTTGTTTTTTACACGTGCACACATATGTTTATGTATTCTGGGCCACAATATAAAAAGAATGTCTTATGAGTTTTGGTCAAAAATGTTTGGAAATCATCTGTAAGATAGATAGCTGACTAGGGGTTAGGACACGTGAGTATTCTAATTTACAAGGCAATACCAAGTTGTTTTCCAAAGTGATTGTATCAATTCATACCTTCAGTAGCAGTCCTCATGCATACACATCCTTTTTGGCATTTGCTAATGTCAAACTTCTGTTTTTTGCCAGTCTGATGGGTTTAAATTCTCTTATTGTGGTTTAAAGTGCATTTCCCTGATCTAAGTGTGTCTCTTTCCATTCTTTGCAGCTGATCTGAACAACATTAAATTCTCAGCTTATCGCACTGCCATGAAGCTCCGCAGAGTCCAGAAGGCCCTGCGCCGTACGTCTCCTGTCACACTTCTCTAAGGCTTTTATCCCCATTCTCCTACTCTTCATCAGTCTTCTGGTTCTCACTTTCATGCCATCTTGACCAGGGTTGTTGACTGATCTGTTGAGAACTCTCCAAAGCCTGGGACATGCTGGCTGTGGGTGCTTTCTGTTTCCAGGGTCCTTCCACTGACTTCCAGGCCCTAGACTGGTTTCCAAATTAGACCCATAGCCATCCAACTACTTGACCCTTCTTGCCTGCCCCAACATGGATAATCAAGCAACTGCTTTGTAACAGGAAGTATCCCAGCCCATGGTTTGGGTCATTGAATGTAGCAACAGAACTACTGAAGCAAATGTGAGTGGTTGGGGCTTAGCTTGGCTGCAGATATAGTGTGCCTATGACCTTTCTCAAGGGTACTATTCAGTCAGGCTTCCTGATCCAAGTGTGTCTGGTTAGGCTGATTCAGCTTGGTTAGTGATTAAAACATCCTACTGCCAGGCACGGTGACAGTCCTGTAACCCAGGGGGTCAGGAGGCTGAGGCAAAAGGAGGACAAGTTACAAGTCAGTCTGAGTAACTTAACAAGATCCTATTTCAAAATAAAAAAAATACAGTGATCTGGGAATGTAACTCAGTGGTAGAGCATTCCTAGGCTCAGTCCTCAGAATTGAAAGATAAAATTCCTTATGCATGTCACATTTATCCAACTATATCTGAGACTTAGTATCTAGTATCAGTATTAGGTTCTCAGAACAAGATTCATGGAGAAATCTATTTACAGTTAAAACTTGTGCAAAGACAGAGAAACTTAAAATGGCATATGATCCCTTAGGACTCAATACAACATAGGCGGTGAGTTTATTCACATCTGACCATCTTCTCAAAACTGTTTTGAGTATGGAAATTAAGGGGAAGTTTGTTTATTTGTTTGTTTGCTGGTTTTCCTTCCTTAGAATAATGATCTTGGTAAAGAGCCAGCTTGCTTCATACTTGCAAACAGTTAGGATGCTTGCTTTATACTTATAAATTTTAGGCTTCTAGTGGCTTTATCTCCTTCTTTAATCCTTAAGGTTCTATTTTTGGCTATATATTTTCTCTCTTTCCTTTCCTTCCCAGTGGATCTAGTAACTTTAACTACAGCTCTAGAGATCTTCAATGAGCATGATCTGCAGGCCAGTGAGCATGTGATGGACGTGGTAGAGGTCATTCACTGCCTGACTGCTTTATATGAGCGACTGGAGGAGGAAAGAGGCATCCTAGTCAATGTGCCACTATGTGTAGACATGACTCTCAACTGGCTCCTCAATGTTTTTGATAGGTAAGAGCTTTTAGTCCTGGAAGCCTCTTTGATAAATTTAATGGACTTGGTAGGAAAGGGTTGCTCTCATGGTGGACTTGGACCCAATTCAGCTTGGGGCATGGTTAGCCAGAGCTCTAACACAGTGAGGAAATGACTGCCTTTACATGTATTAATCCTTGACATATATTTATATTCTCGGTCTGTTCTTTTAAACCTAGCGGTCGCAGTGGAAAGATGCGGGCATTGTCCTTTAAGACTGGCATTGCATGTCTCTGTGGCACAGAAGTGAAGGAAAAACTTCAATGTGAGTACAGCTCCAAAGTGTGGAGTGATCTTGGGCGGAGGGAGGGGTTTTGCAGCGAGAAGAGGTATGACAAGCAGAAGGTAGGTCTTATTACTCAGAAGAGGGCTCCTCAGGCCACTTTGTGATGCTTTCTGGCCCAGGCTGTTGTGAAGAATATATAGCGACCAAAGGCCGAAATGGGCCTGAGGCTTGTGATTAGACCCTGTTTCATGTCTTTGGGTTTCTAATCTTACATAATTACTTAGGACTGTAACCTGGAGCTCTTAGGATCTGTAACCTGGAGTATTCAGAGCCCTGAGGTTCTAGTTCTAATCCCCATGCCCTATCAGGCTTAGCCCTCTCCTAGTTAGAAACTGAAGCCAAGTCATACATTCTCCTGGGGGACTTCTTGTGTGTTTACATAGACAGGATATAATAAAATATATTCTCTGAGACACAGACAGTATTTACTTCTGTAGTTTTTACCTCTCTAGTTTCTAGTACCTTTGCTTTCCCCTCTTTCCTCCATCTTGTGTTCAGTATTTTGAACTTTTCTACAGCACCATTGTTATTTGTTGAGTACTAATGTGTGTTGACTTCTCTGATAAATGGGGTGAATGCTAGGTTAAATTAGATGTGTTACTTCCTTCAAACGGTTTAGTCTAGAGGAGGAGAGAAAAACACAAAAAGCTTTTTTACAAAAAGTGCTAATAAGCCAGTGTAGTGGTGCAAACCTGTAATCCCAGCAGTCTAGGAGGCTGAGGCAGGAGGATCATAAGTTGGAGGTCTGTCTGGACAACTTAGTGACTTACTGAGACCCTGTCTCAAAATGAAAAATAAAAAAAAAAAATGTAGCTCAGTATGAAGGCCTTGGGCTCAATTCTCAGTATTGCAAAACAAAGAAACAAATAAGTGGCAAAGAATGTGTATTATATAAAGATCATAGAAAATATAAGACAGTGGTCTAAGAAAAATTTACAGGCCCAAGCATGTTTATAAGCTGCATTATTGTGCCCAACTTTCACTTGAGATGAGATGTTCAGTGATTATTTATCCTCAGTTTTTAACTAAGGAAGCTGAAGCACAGAATGGTTTATAACTTACTCGAGATTCTACAGCTAGTCAACCATAAATCTAGAACTTGAATTCAGGCCTTTTGGCCTTTGCTTCTATATATTTTCTAGGCCTTAGACAAGATACAAAGCAAATAGACAACAGCTTCTGAAAGAGGTTTACTAGGGTTGGCCTTGGAAGGAGGTCCTAGGAACACCAATAAAAGTCCATATTAAGCTCTAAGTACTATAGTATACTCCACAAGCACTTAGAGGTCATTTTAGATGATTATCTCCTCTTTTTGAATTATCCATACCAGGCTTTCCTTCCATTTGTGTGGACAACTGAGCAATTACTGAAGTATCAAATTATATCAGCTCTGTGAACAGGAGAGGGTATGGACCCTGATGGTGACACATGTTCAGGTGCCCCTGAATGCACAGCTCACATCTTGCTTCTTGAGGAAGGTTTTTCCAGTGGTGTCATCAATACATACCTATTTCTAGGAATGCTCTTAATTTTCCCTTTCTTCCTCCCTCCTCTTTTCCTACATTTCTGATATTTTCTTATGTGTTTCTCACTTTTTCTCTCTGAGCTCAAGGAATGCTCTTTTAAAAGCTCCTAGACTTCTAAAAGGTCAGGGATGAAATTCTAGCTATTCCACTTTCAAAAGTCCATATGCTCAGTCCTTGTGCTCTTTCCCTGTCTTCCTTTTCTGCTTTTTCTCCTCATACCATTCTCTGGCCATTCCTGCGTTGGGATTGGCCGCTCTTGGTGGTGTGCCTAGCAGACCTCTTCAGCCAAGTGGCCAACTCAGGCAGCCAGTGTGACCAACGCCACCTCGGTGTCCTGCTTCATGAAGCTATTCAGGTGCCCCGTCAGCTGGGTGAAGTGGCAGCCTTTGGGGGCAGCAATGTGGAGCCCAGCGTCCGCAGTTGCTTCCGTTTTGTGAGTATGCAACTCCAGAGGGAAGTGAGAGGGGAGGGAGGTGGAAGGAAGGGAAGATGGACCAAAAGCTGAGCTTTCGATGTGAGCTATTCACATGTAAGAGAGCTTGTAGGGATGGGACAACAGAACAGAGACTTTACTGAGTCCTAGGGTTGGAGTCCTGTTAGGGAAGATGCCAGCTCAACTACAACAGGGCAAAAGGTAGACACCACCGGAGAATAGACCAATCCAGGCCCTGCTTACTTCTCTGATTTTCGGAGGGCTAGCACACTAGGAACAAAATACTTTGAGATTCAGTCATTTCCATTGGGCTTCTTATTTCCCTAGAGCACTGGGAAGCCAGTCATTGAAGCTTCCCAGTTCCTGGAGTGGGTCAACTTGGAACCCCAGTCCATGGTGTGGCTGGCTGTTTTGCATCGGGTCACCATTGCTGAGCAAGTAAAGCATCAGACCAAGTGTTCTATCTGCAGGCAATGCCCTATCAAAGGATTTAGGTAGGAAAGAGTATGTGCTTTGATGATAATCTTCAGAACTATGTCATGGGTCACACAATTCAGATACTACAAAACAATGCATTATGTAATTACAATATATCTATAGTAAATCTATTATTATAGATTACTATTATAATCCTTTCTATTGTGGAATGTTTAACACTTTGAGAACTTGGAAATGATGAAATATTTCATTTTTTTAGAATATGAAGTATACAGACCCAACAAAAATGAAGCATGAATACTGTAAGAATACTTATATATCAAATGATTTGCCACCAAATGTTTCACAATCAGTTCCCCAGAAAGATAAAAGGAAACCCAATTTGTAGCATTTGCTGCTGTGATATATACTACCCCCTGCCTGATATCTGGCTATCTATAGGAGATCCCCAAGTCTAGTAGGGAATGGATTCACAGTCACATGACATTTATAGTATTTCTACCATGCTGATATAGATTGAGTACCTGTAATCCAAAAATCTGAAATCTGAAGTGTTCCAAAATGCATTCTGGAGTTCTGGATTAGCAATGCCTAACCAGCAAAGTCTGTGCAGATATTCCAAAATCTGAAGAACTTTTGGCCTCAGGCATTTTAAATAAAGGATACTCAACCTATGCAGTAGATGTTAATAACCTCAACAGCATAGATAATAATAATTAGGAAGTGATGAGTTTTGAATATTACATTTATTTAATTGTGGGGTTTTATATCTTAATTTTAAAATAATGGTTGTGTTAACTATTGGCTTAGAAAACCCTTAAAATTTTAATAGCTAATGAGCTATTAATAGCTTGCAAGCTGGTAGGAACTGGCTCCAGCATGCTGCAGTATTTACACTCAAACAAACTAAATAAAATATTATTACAATACATTTGAAGTCTCCCTGATTACATTCCACTCCTTCCTCTGCATAGGTAGATAGATATTGGCTTTCATCATAAATTTGGCTGTACAGGCTGACCTTGGACTTACCATCTTCCTGTTTTAGCCTTCAGAGCAGCTTGTGTTTTCATGTGTATGCCAGTATGCTAAATCTACATCTCCTTTTCAAAAAAGGAAGGGGGTTAGTGAGACAATGCTGTTTCTCATACTTCCTGGGACCCTGGGCTTATTATTTCATAGAGATTTATGGTCTCTAGAACGAGGCTATTCATCTGTTGAGGATTCAGCCATTTCTACATATAGGAAATTGAGCATGATATTACTCCATGTGTCACCCCTCCTTATATGTGCATATGTTTGCATGCTAAGGAAATGTGTGAGGTCGTTGTAATATATTAGATAATATTTTTCACCACATATCATCTCCCAAAGGTACCGGAGTCTGAAACAATTTAATGTGGACATCTGCCAGACCTGCTTCTTAACAGGCAGGGCCAGCAAGGGCAATAAGCTGCACTACCCCATCATGGAGTATTACACCCAGGTATGGACCTCTGGGCTTTGTGGAACACTTAGGCTGCTCTCAGGTACTAGGCTTTGCCCAGCATTAGCTTATTGTGTTCTGTTTTTCTGTGGGAAGCATTCACCAAAAAGTTCTAGTGCTTCTATAGCATGGAACAGTCAAGCCTCTCTACTCTTCCACTGAAACTTCTTCACTAGAATCAGAGTTGGTCCAGGACAGTCTCAGTCTTCTAAAGAACTCTTTTCCAAAAGGAACAGAGAGAGTAAGTTTCACTTGAGTTTTTCCTGGCTAGTTTCTTATATTGTTCTGTGTTAGACACCTGTCTTCCCAACTACTTTGTTATTGTTTTGACCCCTTCTAATCAATACAAAAATGTGTGCTCAAATTAACTACTCAGTCCCTCGGGGGGGGGGGAGATAGTTTTTTACATAGGTCCATAAACTTCACTTGGTTTTCATGAGCAACTGTGCCTTTCACATCCATGTGAGTCCAGGTTGCTCAGCATTGCTCAGCTGAACTCCAGCTATACAGTTGCTTCTATGCTCTGTTTGAGACCCACTGTCCTATATGTGGCTTCCTGAGCTGATTCTGCTTCCTAAAATTCTACATGTCTTTAGATCTTTCTGTCCACGTAGATTCTTCTGGAGCCCAAAACATATTCCCTGCTCCACTCACTCCCTACCATTCTCTCCCTTACCCTACCTCCCCATCTTTCAATCTGTTTTTCCAATCCACCTTTCCAAGATGTCATCTCTTTGAAATATGTATCCAATTTTAGACCCCTTTCTAGGAGCAGGTTGTGACAGGCATGAATAAGTAAAGTACTAGTCATGCTCTTTGTTCATGAGGAGCAGCCACAACTTCCCAGACTATCTGGAAGCCTTTAGAGTGAGTCCCTCCATCCTGTCTCCTTCCAGACCACATCCAGTGAGAACATGAGGGACTTTGCCACCACCTTAAAGAACAAGTTCCGCTCAAAGCATTATTTCAGCAAACACCCTCAGCGAGGCTATCTGCCTGTGCAATCGGTCCTGGAGGCTGACTACAGTGAGACGTGAGTACAGTGTTTGAGCAGTGACTGTGTGCAATCTGCATCTGTATTGTAGGATAAACCCCACCAGTGAAAGAAAAGTTCAATTTGGGCCTGACCCAGACTCTAGCCTGAAAAATAGATTACAATGTAGTCTCTGTATTCTGGTCCTATCAGTTCTTGCCTATCTCCATAATGCAGGTGGTAGGATGAGGTGGGGTAAGGTGGTGAGGAAACAAGCTGTGCAGCTGCCTAGTCTTTGGTCTTCTGGCTATTTGTTGCTTTCTTCCAGACCGGCTTCTTCTCCAATGTTGCCACATGCGGACACACACTCTCGCATTGAGCATTTTGCCAGCAGGTACCAGAAGGTTTGGGGAAGGAGGTATAGAAAGTTCAAGAGAAAGGAGTTTTCACTTGGGACTAGGAAAATTGAGTCAGGGGATGTTCATGGTGGGATGTGGAGCAGCCAATAAGTCCTAACGCTCCTGTGGGATTAGGGTGTTTAAGATGAAAGCAGGTCTCATATTCTGTTTTCCTTCCTGTTCCTGATCTTTCTTCCCAGGCTTGCTGAGATGGAAAGTCAGAATTGTTCCTTCTTTAATGACAGCCTGTCCCCGGATGACAGCATGTGAGTTTCATAAACTGCTTATTTTCCAGAAACAGCTCTCTTTGGGGATCCTTCTACCACTTCTTGGGAAGAGTTCCACAAGGAATGGAAATGTGGTAGTTAGGATCCTTGACTCTCTAAGAAAGGAAAGCTGCTTCCTGGGCACAATAAGAAATTGTCTTTCCTCTTGTCAACTGAGTGGGGAAATGAATGACATTGTCTCTCTCTGACATTTGCCAAGGTCCCTTCCTGTTATGTGATCTCATCTTTCTGTGCCCAAGTATGAGGGAAAAATAATGCCCTCATCTAAAGCCACATCAAGAAGCTATTATCTCACGTTCAAGATACAAAAAGCACATCTAGTGCCACACCAAACCTGGGAGACATCAGGGATTTAACCAAAGCATAGTCGAATGTCCTATAGCCCAGGAAAGGTACCCAGAATCTCTAGGGAAGTCCCTGCCCTGCTCAAACAGCCTAGAAACATGAATTCAATCTGATCCCGACCGAACTAAGATCACTCTGGGAGGTGAGGAAGCAAAGGCAGCTAGAGGGGACAAATAGCAAAGAAAAGGAAGTGATTTGCTCATGATATCATAGGGAGCTATAAGTAGAACTCAGAAGCCTCAGCATCCTGAAAATATTTTCAGTACCTCCACCACGGCTATTGCCAACTTTGAGTATTTTCATCCCACTCAAAACTGAATATGTTAACTTCTCCCTCTCCATGATTTAAAAGTGAATATTCCAGCAAGCAGCTCCTGGAATCTGAACCAGAAGCTGAAAACTCATGCCTTGAGCCATTGCTATATTTAACACCTAATCACCTCCTTTCCTCTCCCCACACCCATGCAGCGATGAGGACCAGTACCTGCTGCGGCACTCCAGCCCCATCACAGACCGGGAGCCAGCCTTCGGACAGCAGATTCCATGCAGCATGGCCACAGAAAGTAAGGGAGAGCTGGAGAAGATCTTGGCTCACTTAGAAGATGAGAATCGGTGGGTATGGCCATGGCACAAATTTATTTGGGTTCTAGAGGCAGACAGCTTGAATTTAAGTACAAGCACCTCCACCTCTTAGCTGTGTGACCTTGAAAACTTACTTATATTTTGTGATCCTCTATTTCTTAATCCGTAAAATAGGTATGATGATAATCACACCAGCTTCCTGTGGTCACTTGTGAAAACCTAATGAGATCAGACATATAATGGCTTAGCCCAGTGCCTACCTTATAATAAGGGTTCAATAAGTGCTAGCTCTTACAATAATTATTTGAATTTTTAAATGTCACCCCAGTGTTTCCCACCACTACACATAAAGCAGAGAGAATGTAAATTCAGAGAGCACAGAAGAAAGTATGACATGTCCCTGCTCTCAACGAATTTTCCATGCTAGATGTAAAGATACTTATCATCAGTGAAAGCATTTCAGAGGATGATGACACTATATACAACATTTGTGGACTGGAAGACAGAATATGACAATTATAGGAGTGGTATTACTCTCCATAAAATATAGGTGGCATTAGGGGTCTGAAGAAGATTCAAGGTACTTTAAAAGAGTAGACTCTGTCTTACCTCTTGAAGTAAGTAGCATGTCTAAAACATTATTAGTTTACACTTGCATTACTTTAGGAGCTTCAGAAATTACAAATTCTATTTGTTGATCTGAGTGTGACCTATGTTTCTGCAGTTTTTTTCTGTTTAGATGAACATATATTAATTTTATGTAATTTAGGTGAGAAGATATTTATAATTATAGGATCAAAACATCAAGGGCAAAATCCCCACTGGGTCCAAATGTGGACTGTATATTCTGCACCCACGAGAGAAAATACAAATCCTTAATCTGCTTTGGGTTCTGGTTGTTGCTTAGCTCACCTGTACCTTTGCTTTTTGATCGTGTTCTGTTTTCTGACCAAATTAGTTCATGCTGTTTTCTTCACCTCTTATCTTAGGGTCTTTGCCTTGCTATTCTCATCACCTAGAATGATTTTTTCCTTTTAGCTAAGAAAGTTATATTTTAGTAAGCAAACAGCTTTCTCAGAAAGTTTTTAGTGACAAGACATTCCTTATTCATCATTCATATGACTTCTGTACTCTCCACTGTAGCACTTATCATGGATGTAATGACAAAGTTATTTATAATCATTCTCAGCCACTAGGTAGGTGCTATTTTACTGGCACATTCAATTGGACATTGCATGGGATAATGTATCAATAAATAGTTATCAAGCAAATAGTGTAATAGACAAATGGGTGACCATAAATGAAGTCCAAAGAATTAGGATGCTATATTAGTATGAATGTTGGTTTGTGTCCCCCTAAGTTTACATGTTGAAATCCTAACCTCTAAAGAAGCATAGCCATCTGGTAGATGACTAGTAAGATTAATGCCTTTATAAAATAAACCAAGGGAAGTTGTTTCCTTCCACCATGTGATGACAAAACTACAAGGCATCATTTGTGAACCAAGAAGGCTAGGACTTAATTTCATCTGCCCGAACCTTGTTCTTAGACTTTCCAATCTCCAGATCTCTGAGGAATGAATTTCTGTTGTTTATAAGCTACCTGATATGTGATATTTTGTTATAGCAGTCCAAATAAACTAAGACATAGGAGGTATGACAAAGCAATCAAGAAGAATTGTACAGGAGCTTTTAAATAGCCAAGGAGATTGTAGGTTTCTACTATTTTGATTCAGGAGCCTGGAACCCACATTTTAGGTACCAACTGAAAATATGGCCTCCAGGAAAGAGCTAATAGGCTTAAATGTTGAAGCATTAGCATCCTCTTATCCCATTCTGGAGAACTAAGTTTCTAAATTTCTAACCAGCTTCTGGGGTATACTTCTGTTATTGGTCTATAGACCATAAATGCCATATCACATTTTTAGAAGAGTTTTCTCAGAGTGGAGTGCAGATAAGGGTCAGTCTGCAGAATGTTTGTTACAGTCCAAGAAAGATAAATACAGAAGTAGAAAGCAATTTTCTAGCAATTTGACATTGCCATGACAATCAAGCATATAATTAGTGACATTATTACCTTGAACAGGTTAGAGACCACTTTGAGAATTGTTGAATGTGTGTAGCAGGACATGAGTCATGTGAGCTGTGGGCTAGTCATGCATGTTAGAATCACATTGTTCTGGGGCTGGGGATTTAGCTCAGCGGCATAAGCGCCTGCCTTGCAAGCAGGCAGTTGTGAGTTCGATCCCTGGTACCAATAAAAAGGAAGAAGACAAAAAAAAAAAAAAAAGAATCACATTGTTCCACAATGGACTGAAGAAAAAACCTGGTTTCTCACTAGGAACAGTTTGAGAGATACTCCATGAGAGCAGATGGGGACAGGCCATAGGAAATGTTGGACAGAGAGTGATTCTATTTTATTGCCAAAAAGGAAAAAAAAAATGATGTCCCCAAAATTGGCCATCTTTTTGGTATCTGTTTCCTTGATGACCAACATGGGCATTCAAAGTAGGCCAAACAAGAGGATTGTGGATGAAAGTGGTGAGATGAGTGATCTTTTGTTTATGTTATGCCTTCCCCTGGAATCTAAACATATGAGAATGGAGTAGATGATTCAATGGTCCTAATACCTCTTCTATTTGCCGACTATGTTTCTGCCTTTTTTGAAGGTCAGAATTAATCCCTGAAGAAGCATATCAAAGCCTTGAAACACTTCTGATGTGAAAGGTCACTCTCTGCTCTGAGGTTTCAAAACAGCAGAGTAAATGATATCTGTGCTGGACAGGAAGTGAATATGGCTATTCAAGCAAAAGCATGGCTGGGACCGGGTGGGCTGCAAAAGTCCTGGGATTGCTTACACCTGGGCATAAGTGGACTTCTGGGATCTGAACAGTCAGTACTCTGATAGAACCATAGGTTTTGGCTTCTTTGTTTTTGACAGGATTCTCCAGGGAGAGCTGAGGCGCCTGAAATGGCAGCATGAGGAGGCAGCTGAGGCACCCACCCTGACTGAAGGCTCTACTGACGCAACACAGGACCACTGCAATGAGGAGCTCCTGGCTGAAGCCAGGATCCTCAGACAGCACAAGAGCCGCCTGGAGATGCGAATGCAGATACTTGAAGACCACAACAAGCAACTAGAGTCCCAGCTGCAGCGCTTGAGGGAGCTGCTGCTGCAGGTGAGGTTGCATACTGTGAATCAGGGTGGCTTCTGAGCACAAGGGGAAGAATTAGGGAGCTAGAAGGTGCAACAAAGACTTGTGGCTATCAAGAAAGTTCCTGAAGGGAAACTGGCTGGCAGTTGGGGAGAGTAGTGGAAGGAAAGGGCTGATATGGGCACATCTTTAGCCAATTCTCTTTCACCTGACTTCCAGGATCTTTTTTGTGTCACTCTCAAGCTACTGAGGAGCTGGAGGCAAAGGGGAGAACTTCTGAGGGCTTACTTCTTTACAGTCCATTAGAATATAATAGTGAAAGAACAAACTTCAAAAATAATCTAAAATGTTGATCTTGCCAGTATGACATTTGCATAAAGAAGCAAGTTTGCACATGTTTGGCAAGAGAAAGATTTTTGCAAAAAAGACGTCTCGTTACTTTTTGCCCCTTTCATATCTAGCAGGTAGTATATAAGAATCATATAGCCTGAATTTGAATATGACTCCGCCAGTGGACGTCAGAAAGTTACTTAACTTCATTAACCCCCAGTTCCTTTACTTGTAAAACAGAATGATAATGATACCAATATCATAGTGAGATTATGCATTTTAAAAATCTAGCATGATGCTAGGAATACTGCATACTCTTCATAAATTTTACTTAATATTGTCATTGTATTTAACATGCAATAGCACCCCACTACACCTGTTCCCTAGATCCTCCAAATGTTACATCTGGCAAGGAGTCTCTGAGTGACCCTCCACCTCTCTTCAAGTCCTTGTCATCACTGCAGTGAAGAATAAAGAAGTGGGCCCTTAGCAAGAAATGGAGGGGGGGGGGAGTCAAAACTGCTATGGTGGGAAGAAAAAGTTTATTTAGTGTGTGATAAATGCAGACAAACTATCTTAGCAGCAGAGTGATGCTACAAGATAGGAGGCATCCTGCTCAAGATGCTCCGGTGAGTATGAGATGTACCTCATACTTATAGGGGAAGCTGGTTTCTAAAAATACAAGTTTCAATGATAGGTGGTCTAGGCCAAGTAGAGTCTTAGCCTGTGTTTCTGGGAAGGGGTCAAGGTCAGCATAACTAAATATGAATATCACTTATTAGAATATATTAGGGTATATTTTCTCGAGTACATGATAAGCATGTGATGATTTTATGTTAGTCATCTCTGTTTTGTTCTGTTTGTTCTATGTCTCTCTGTCCCTACACATGAAACAGTCTCTAAATGAATTCCTGGGGCTTTCTAACATGCTATTATGGCATGAACCAAAGATCAGGTGTGAACTCCACATTACCAGAGAAAAATAGGTTCTAAATCATTTAATTATAGATGAAATGACAAGAGACCTTTAGGTACATTGCCACATTTATACTAACTGGGGGCCTTTGGTGCATGTTGCTGAAGGAAGAAGTTGACTGATAATTGAATATTCTAGGAAGCTTCTTTGAAGGGAAAGCCACTATTTGTGGCACTACCCAAAGCACCTTTTTAAAGTTTTTATTTATTTATTTAGTTTTGTTTTTTGAGATGGGGTCTCGCTATGCAGTTCAGGTTGACCTTGAAGTCATTATGTAGCCCAGGTTGGCCTCAAACTCATGGTGATCCTCCTGCCTCAGCCTCCTGAGTGCTGAGATTATAAGCATGTGCCACCCAGCTATCAAAATCACATTAAAATCCAAGAACAATGGGAGAGGCATGAGTTCTTTAAGCTCCCTTCTAAGCTCAGGAGTCTGCCAGAGTAAGGTTAGGAAGGCAAAGCCACTTAAATTATGCTTTATCTCTTGCTAGCCATCTACGGAATCAGATGGCAATGGATCTGCAGGCTCATCAGTAGCTTCCTCTCCACAGCAGTCAGAAGGCAGTCACCCCCAGGAGAAGGGACAGACAACTCCAGACACTGAGGCTGCAGGTAAGTTCCCTAGCCCGCCCCCCCCCCAGCCTTTTTCTGCATGACTTTGTCCTGCCCCAGATTTTCCATCCAAGGTTCTGCTATGGCTGGGACTGATTTCTCCTCATGACTTGTGTTTAGGGGTCAGGGATAACTGGTTTATCGAGTGATTAATTCATATGTTTTTTTTCTACAAATGCTTATTGTATAGTCAATGGCGCATAGCAGTTATTGAAATGGGAAGACATAAGGCTTTGGGTGTGCCTTTCAATTGGCAGCGTCCAACCTTGGCTTTGAGGTCTTACATAAAGGACTCTCAAGTTACCTTCGCAAACTCTCTTTTCCAACTCAGATGATGTGGGGTCAAAGAGCCAGGATGTCAGCTTGTGCTTGGAGGACATCATGGAGAAGCTCCGCCATGCATTCCCCAGTGTGCGAAGCTCTGATGTGACTGCCAGCACCCTACTGGCTTCTTGATGGAGCCAGATCCCGATCCCATAATCCACAGTCCTCCCCTGGTTCTGGTCAAAGACTTCCCTCAGCCTGCACTTAATCTTTCCAGTCCCCACTGGCCCCATATCCCTTAACCAGAGCTATTTGAACTCCAGGCAGCAACAAGGATCTGGTGATATGTGAAGGATGTAGAGTGAGATCAAAGCAAAAGGAGGCATGATTCCTCTGACTATAGAAATTTGCCCTTTGACCCTCAAGTTCAAGATCAGTCACTTATTTTACCCTTCGTTTACAGCCCAAGCAAACAGCAATTGGCTATTCAGATGGGGAGCAAAGAAGCAGCCTTACAGAGCTTCTTTTTCTGGAAGGTGTCCACTAGCCCCTTTCCCTTCTTCACTGAATTATGGAGAGGGAGAGAAGCCTGATGACCCCAGAATGCCAGTAGTGTGAATCTACAGGGAATAGCCATCCTTTCTAGTCTAATTCAAGGAGGCAAAAGGATATCCCTGAGACCTCTTTCCAAAGTGCTCCTAAAGAAGGGTGGGCAGGGTGTGTCCTAATGACTTCAGTTCCAGGGCATAGCTCTAACTCACTGGATTCTACCTACATGTTGTTTCTGCTTTGAATGTTTTTAGTTCTATCACACTCCATCAGATCTTCCTGGATGAGGAAATAGTTCATTCTAGTTTCTGCTTCCATCTTACATTTGAAAACATTAAAGAAGTACTTTTGGACTTAGATTTTTCCCTGACCCTCCTCTTTGCTGAAGGCCTCAGCATACCATGAGACCTAGAGGGATACTCCGGAAATCTAACTGAAACCATATTTTGCTCTTCTGAATTTGTCTTCACAGAACTGGGGTACAAGTGACAGCTTGCTCAGCAAGTGAGTCCTTCTTTCCTTGGGTGAGAAAGAGAAGCCACCCTCTAGCTTGGAAGAGTATGACTACCCACCACCCTTCTAGACTGTAACCCTTCTATCTCTTAGGTAGAATCAGGTGAGGAGGCTGGTTGCCTCCAGATGATCATATGGCAATTACAACTGGCCATGCTTAATAGTGATACCTTCCTAGGATCCACTGGCCACAATTCAGAAAGTTGGCCACTTCTTACTGAGACAAAACTGAGGCCTTCCTATGCACCAAACTGTTCTTTCAAACTCTGGAAGGTGAACCCATAACTCTGCACTAACACTTCCTAGACAATATATACCATGACCCCTTTATCAAGAAACTGTGCATAGTAGATAGTGGGACATGGGTGGAAACACAAGGTTTGGGAACTTTGACCAGAGTCAAAGTCCACTTAGGTTCCTTTCTTCCAAGGGGAAAATTTTTCCCTCCAGAGTCTTGCAGTCAATTTAATTTGCCTGAGTTTATATATATACACATATCTACTCTACATATCTACTGTACTTCAGGGCTCTTCCAGCCTCACTCACACATTAAATTCTAATACCTCTTGAAGTATTAATGTTCTACCTTGCTCTTTGTTAGCCTCAGCCTCTGGTTATAAAAATAGATGCATCCTGGCTTCTCCCCTAGGATGTCTTTCTCCATTGATGTTTGGGTAAGCTGACCTCAAGACCAAACCAACAAAATTGTGTCCACTGAGAAATCTAACTGGAAGAATCACTCTTCACTCATTCTCTTCACTCACTGTAAATCATGTTCCTTTGAGATCTGAGAATTGGGTGAATTTTCCTGAGCACCCTGTAAGTAGTTCAGGTGGCCAAACGGAGGATATCCAAACTCTCTTACTTGATGCAGAAAAGAAACAAAAAGCAGACAATAGACAGACTTTGGAAGGAACAAAAAAGCCTCTGCTAGACTAAGCCACAGAATAGATCATCTACCCCTTACCAGTTCCTGAGGTCTGGCTCAGGGTAAAGCAATGGTTGTCACCAAGATCAGGAAGAAATGAGACTGTTGAAGTGCTATGTTATAATCACGTAGTGGTCAGTGGGTGGAACTTCTGGAAATATACATTGGTCTGCTCCAGAGAAAGTAGCCAGCAACTTGGGTCCAGATGCTAGGGATTTCCTCTTCCATCACTATGCCACAGGTCCAGAGTCAAACCTCATATCACACTATCTCCCTCAGGATTTGTGAGGCTTCTAGGCAATAAAAGTGTGTATCTACATGTATGGTGAGCAGGTGGTAGGCAGGTACCAGACGAAGAGCCTGGCCATCAGTCAGAATGAGGCATTTTTCAAAGGGCCTAGATTGTGTATAAGAATGGGAAAAAATGTATTATGAGTCAGAGGGCTCAAGAACTATGAGGCACGTGCCTCTCAGGGGGTGATGTTATGGAACAATATTTTACCAGGAATGTCCCCCTTCCCTAAGAACTCTTGGGCTGCTGAGGGCCCGTGGCAACTGCAATGGGCCAGGCATAGAAATAAACAAACAAAAGATGTAGATCTTGTTATGTAGGATTTGTGCTATAGGTAGATGGAAGTAGCAGGTCAAGAGTTGAATTCTCACTAGGTGGGTCACTGACACTTTGTGATCTTGTGTTTACCTATAATGCCTGAGGTGAGTATACCACTCAAAGATCCAGTCACTGCAGCATGTGTGAGTAGTTTACCTGCCATGAGGTAAATGAATCCTTGATCACTGTGATCTAACCCACATCAGGGTTAGATTTATCAAAATGTACTGTATGTTGTTAGGCATCTGTTATGTACTGTGTCTCCTAAAGGTATTATGCGTGGTTCTGTATAGTTTATGGCGCTGTACTAGAAGGATGGTAAAGGCAGTTTCTAGGTTGATCACCTAGGGAAAACCTTCTGACTTGTGGAGTTAGCATCAGTGATAAGGGATGTGTTTGCTGGAGTTGTTTTCAAATGGTATCAGGGAACAGTTAGGACTGATAGGCAATTTATTCTAGATGGAATTTATCAAGAGACCAAACAGCCATTGCAAAGGTACCCCTGCTTCCACCTAAAGCAAATTGGATTCACATTGATTGGCATTTGGGAAGATTGTTTGGCTGGAGAACTCAAGGCTGGGAAATGGTTCCTTAGAAAGTGCCCCACCCAGGAGGAACATGGGCCCTTCCCTACAGAATGGAAAAGCTGGAATCAAGGCTCTCAAGGGTCCATTTCTTTTAAGAACCAAAGTTAGAATGTATTTCAGAAACCTGTCTGAATTTCTGGTATTCCAGACACTAGGCTAGTAGGCCACAATAATGAGAAAATTTGAGGCCAGGCCAATCATGGGAGATGTTTTCTGACCAGATTCATTTTTAAGGAATATACATGCTGTCCTGTGGTATGTGTTTAAAAGCAATTGAACTTCATATCAAGCTTCAGGCTAGAGAATTCTTTGAAGTTGTATTCACAATGGCAGAGTCATGGTCTCTGGGATCATTTGTAGCCAGTAATTATATCCAGTTTTCCTTGACATAAGTTGATAGATAACAGAGAAAGTGGCTGGCTGCCTTAACATAAACAGTCCTGGAAGAGAAACAGGGGGCCCTGTCCTAGGACTGTGGAGACTTAGCTTCTCAGCTGGCAGCTGGATCTCTGGGCCTCCCTTCCAAAGCCTGGCCCTTGGAACAGAGGAATACTTCTGTGACTTCTCACTGTTTTAAAACAAATGGCTAGGAGAGAGGGAAACGCTCAAGGCCAGGGCTCTGCTCCCAGTATCCATATCCTCCCACAGCTGCCATATTTGGGAGGAGACCTGCTGAATGTCCTTGTTGTCCCCAGGGCTGTATTGATGCTAGACTGAAGCCTTCTATACTGCTTGCTAGCTGCAAGAACTGGTCACAAGGATAAGAATGGGGAGAGGGATTTGGGGGAGGTAACAAGGGTGGCATGCAAGTGTAGGAAAGTTTGGTATAAAAGAGCAGAGCTGAGACAAATTTGTTAACTTTGCCACTCACTGTGGTGCTTTTCCCCTTTAAAAAGAATAAATTTGTACTTGTTTACTTTGGTTCCTCTGTTTATTCTCTAATTTTGATATTCATATGTTTCCCTTATTTGGGGGTGGGAAGAAAAGATGTATCAAGAAGCCATAAGAATATTTCAAAACATGAAACCACCATAAATCCACATATGACCACTGCCTATGGGATGATTAAAAAAATCCCTTTGGTTCCACCTACCACTATTGACCCTTCATGGATTCCCCTCCAAAATTAGCTGGGTATTGCCCCATGGGATGACTTTTGTATAACAATGCCTCCTAAATTTCATCATCATCAATTTGAGGAATTTTTTTAGCCAGGTGAACCAGTGTAAGAAAAAAAAAGGCACTACAGCACTTTCCATAGTTACATTTGTTTAATAAAGGTCTGTCCTTTATTCTGAGATTATAGCTATATATATGGTGTTTAAATGTCACTATGAATGGATGGTGATTTTTCAAAATTCCATTTTATGACAAAATAAAACCCTTTATGTCCATCTTCCCCAACACTAATTTTTCTTTACTCATCAGTCCACAGCATATTTGTCCAACAGAAATCACATAAGTAATTTTAAGTTAGCATATTTAAAAAGTAAAAAATAGGTGAGTTATTTTAATAATATCTTTTATTTACCCCAATGTATCTAAAACATTATCCTTTCAATGTATAATCAATATAAAAACCATTTTTGGTGCTACTGAGGTTTGAATCCAGGGCCTTGTGCATACTAAGCAAGAGCTCTGACACTGAGCTACATCACAATCCTTTTTAATTTTTTATTTTGCAATAGAAAGTTACACAGGATGACCTCAAACTCACAATCTTCCTGCCTCAGCCTCCTATGTGGCTGGGATTATTGCTAGTGTGTGCCACTATGCATGGCTGAAACAGTTAATAAGATAATTTACTTTTTAAAATTATCTTCTTTGGATGGACAGGTTTTGGCAGGAACTAACTTCTTTGGAAGTGTCAGTCAGCTGATAAAAAATCCAAGAAACCCAGATAGATCCAGATAGTTTATTATTATAGAGACAGTGAAAGCAAGGTTAGTGAAGCTGTCAGCTCCCTGAGTTTCCTGTCCCACAGGACAACATTCAAATTAAAGTAGCTAGACAACATGCAACATGAAAGGTGGGACCCGTTGGTGTTAAGTTACCACTGTTATATTGCAGCTAATGAGTTTTATGGCATACAGCTAGCCGTATCCAGCAGGAACACAATCCCATACCTTACAGGAATGAGAAGGCAGACAAGAAACTGCCTCGTAGAAAAAAAAAAAATCCTGCCTCATAGTAATCTTTCTCCAGATAGGGAGGTGAAAGAAACAGCCTTGTAGTCATTCCTCACAAGACTATCTTCATGTACTTTGGGATGATCATAGTGTGTTCTGACAAGACCTGAGTCAGTTCACAGTTGAATCTTGCCTATGTAGTCTATGTAGGGAGTGCAGGATCATCATAGTCCTGATACCAAGAAGTCATCCTACAGAAATTCCATGTATATTTTATACCTATGGAATATCTCAGTTTGGCCTAGTCAAGTATCAGGTGCTCGATAGCTACACATTGCTAATGGATACCATATCAGAGAGTGCAGGTCTGTAAGATGCCAAAGTCAGACTCACCAAGCCATAGCAAAAAAACCTTCATGAGGCATTAGAGTGTATATGTGCATGTGTGTGGTATGTGTGTGTTGTGCATATGTGCATGTGTTGGGGTGGGGTTGAGAGAGCAGTAAAAGCCTTTTGATGAGGAATGTGCTGAAGCAGTTTTCTTGGGCTACATTTAGAAGTGGCAGCAGAGGGGATGAAAGGGCACTGAAAACACTTTACCTTGTCCTTCACCTTTCCTATAATCTGCCCTACTTCCTTGCCCCTCAGCAGAGTTCTGCCTGCTTCTAGGCTATACTATCAGTTAAGAGGCTACATGAGGGCTCTCCTATCTCTCTCACCCCTGAATGCACCCTCACTGGCCTGTCCCTCAAAGAGGTTACTTTTTGTCTGTGTATGCCCCAGATGTCTCTGCCTTCCTTTATCTGGAAAGGTCTTTGTTTCAAATTTTCTGCTCTCTACTTTCTCCCTAAGATAATTCCCTTCCCTATTCTTTGTTCTCTTTTAATTTCTGGGGTTCTGAGAAACAAATGTATGCATCATCTAGCTTTTTAAGCTGTTATCTAAATATTTTCCTAATCTTGGTTTCATTTTGTTTGAACAGGCCTAGTTCTCTTGGTCCTGCTTCTTCCTTTCTTCCCCCAGCATTCCCACTGTCTTCATTCTGCCTTGCCAGTGCCTGCCCATATTTACTGACCTCCTCTTCCCTACCCATGGCAAAATTATGACTTGGGCTTTGGCGCTAAAATTGGTGCAGGCAAGATATAGTGACACATGCCTCTAATCCCAGCACACATGAGGCTGAGGCAGGAGGATTGCTACAAGTTTGAGGCCAGCCTTTGCTACAAAGTGAATTCAAGGCCAGCCTGAGCAGAGAAAGACTGTGTCTCAAGAATAAAAGACAAAAATAAATAAAAGGTGCTGCATAAGCCTAGTTCAATGACACACACCTGTAATCCCACTCTGGGAAGCTAAGGCAAAAGTAGTACAAGTCCAGTCCCAGCCTGGGCAACATAGTGACATAGTGAGACCCTGTCTCAAAATAAAAGTGGAGAGATGTAGTTCTAGGTTCAATACCCAGTACCAAACAAAAAAAAAGTGGGGGAGAGAACTTGTAAATGCATTTTGTAGAGCAGCACCAATTTTTGTCATTTGAAACTAGACCTGGGGCTAGCTGGGCTACTTCCAGAAAACCCTAAGTTGTCCTCTTTGTGATTATCACCTTTGATTTATAAATGAGGAAATAGAAGCTCTAAGAGAGCTATAAGGACTCGTAGAAGGCATAGCTGGGATGCCAGCCTATAACGTGATAACTCAGTCCAAACACTGAAGCTACATTTGTATCACTTCTCTATATCTCTTCTCTCCAAATCCCCATGTTGTATGGTTATGTGATCATTTGCTTAGTTCATGAGAGTTAATTCTAAGAACGCTTTGGAAGAATGCTTCAGTGCTAATAGTACCTTGTCATTTTCTAATCAAAATGCTATGCTATGGTCTAAATATATCTCCCCCAAAGTCATGTTGAGACATCATCAGCAATGTGATGATCTTAATAGGTGATGCCTTTGAGAGGTGATTAGGTCATGAGGGTTATCCTCATAAATGAGATTAGTGCCCTTATAAAAATGCCTGAGATAATCTGCTACGTGAGGGTGCAACAAGAAAACAGCATCTATGGGAGAGATAGAGTCACCAGATATTGCATCTGCTGGCACTTTGATTTTGTATTTTTCTGCCTCCAGAACCATGACCAATAGATTCCTACTGCTCATTAATTCCCCAGCAATCTGAATGGACCAAGACACAGAGTTTATTGCTTGTTTCTTTTTAGATATGAGTGTGATCACTGTAAAGACAGTTTAATAAATTGGCAGCAATTAGAGGGTGGGGACTTATCTAAATGATAAATCATTTGCCTACCAAGTAATGTAAAAGGCCTTGGTTGAATCCTCAACATTGCCCCAAAAAAGTTGATAGCAATCCACTTAAAAGAAATAATTTCTTTATTGCTTAAGGAATACAAACCAGAAAACCATAATACAAATGAAAAGAAAAATATTCCAAAATGACTCAGGATTGTTAAATAAATGTCATAGCCATTACAGGTATCTAGTTTTTCCTAAAGTTTTATGATGGGATTAGAATGGGAGGCTCAGAATAACAGCTCGAAGTTTTTCAACTCTCTTCTAATTGTTCATGAATAACAACCAATCACAGTCCAAAATGCATGGCTGAACAAATCAGCAGCAAGAAATTATTCCTGAGCAAGAAAGCAGCCCTATCACCTGAACAAAGACAGAATGTAAACTATTATTAACTGCTTTCAGGTAGGCACTTAAATTCACTGTGACAGGTCCTAGCTCATGACAGAAATGAACTGATTTCTTTCTGTGTTGTAGGAAATACTTAAAACAATCAGAAGAGTTTGGAAAAGCTAAAATACATGAAAACCAGTAATATGGCCTTTGAGGCAAGAAGGTCTACCTTTGGAAAGCGTGGCTGAGTCACCTGATGGCACCATATCACTAAAACAATTGATAGAATTTTAAAATTGAGAAAGAGAAGCAGAGTCCATCACTGAGTGAGGTCTTTAAATCTACTAGCTTTAGTACTATTTTTACATAGGTGTGAACTTCTAACATGTTTTATCTAGCAAAAAAAAACCATTCGAGAAAATATACAATTGAGGCAACCAAAGGGACAAAAAGATACATAATTTCCTCTAGCCTTTAGTCTGGATGGTGAATCCAAAGTTTATATGCCAGGCTGAAAGCTCTCCTTTCTTTTCTTCAGGAAATAGTTCAGTTGTTCATATAGGGAAATGATCTGTAAGAAAGTGCAGAAAAACATGATCTGAAATCTTTTTTTTTTTTTTTTGACTATGGATTGAACTCACAACCTCACACTTGCCAGGCAGGCACTTATGCCATTGAGCTAAATCCCCAGTACATGATCTGAAATCTTAAGTTAAACTCTGTCACTTAAAATTTACTTATATGAATCAAAAAAGAATAATTGTCACTTGTCATTTATAAAGTTATCTTAGCCTTAAAATGTTCCAAAGAACAGTCAAGAATACACAAAATGCTATGGCAGTGATATTGTCCTTTTTAAAGCAAAACCTCTAAAAGGAAGTCTTAAAATTGGATGTTTTTAAAACTGAATATGCTTGCAGTTAAAAACCTATGCTTCTGCTGGACATGGTGACACATGCCTGTAATCCCAACACTCAGGAGTCTGAGGTAAAAGGATTGCTGTGAATTTGAGGCAAGCCTGGGCTGAATAGTGAGCTCAGCCTGAACCATATAGTGAGATCCTATCTCAAAAAAAAAAAAAAAAAAAAAAAAAACCTACGCTTCTGTGCAGAATAATCCAAAGTCACATCACTGTCAGGGTAAGGGTGATTGGACCATATTCTAAGTGTCAGAAGATAAGACAATATATTCTCTATCCCAATGAACACATTGGTTCTTATACTAAGTATTGTCTTCTGCTTCTTACTACATTATGAAACACCTTAGAAATCAGGTCAGGGACCCAACCAGTCTCCAACCTGGTGATGTTCTAACTTATGCTTTCTAAATCAGAAGCTATGATCTTTTATGGTATGGGACTTAACTTCTTAAAACTGAAATTGTAAGTGAACAATAATATTCAGAAACATATATACTGTCTTTTAGACAAAGATTATTTTTTTTTTTAGTATTCAATTTAGGTCACTTTACCATTAAAGATTTTGTCTTTGAAGTGAAAGGAAAAGAGACTTATAAAAAAAATTCTGTGCTGCACAACACGTACCAAACACCTCCAACTGCTACCTGCAATAGTTTCGAGGCCTTTCACTCAGATATTGATTGACCCCAACTGACCATGCAACTGAGTCAGTTTGTTCTCCTTCGTGGGCTCTTTCTTCTACCTCCCCCTAAAGGTATGCTCCCTTTGTTCACACTACTTTCTGAACAGTCAACCTGGTTAATTCAACTAACCTCATGTCTTCAATAATCATTTGTGTATGAATTTTTCTCTGATCTCTAATTTTCAGAAGTACTTCCAACTATAGTCATCATTGCCCCCTCAAAACCCTCTTGGTGTTGTCTTAGTTTCAGTTAGTGCAACAGCATTTTCCATTTATCTGTGCTTTGGACTTCTCTTTGACCCTCTCTTTTTGCTACAAATCTGCTACAGTTTAAATCTGGATTATGTCCCCAAAACAAAAGCTAATATGCTAAAGGACCTTTGGGAGATGATGGAACCTTTAAGAAGGAGGGCCTAGTGGGAGGAATTCGGTCATTTTGGGAATCTCTTCTAAAGGAAATGTGAAATCCTGGCTTCTTCCTCTCTTTCTTCTTTTTGCTTCTCTACCACATGTACCTCACCATGATATACTGCTGCTACAGGCCCAAAAGCAAAGAGACCAACTGGTCATAGACCGAAACCTCTAAAACTGTAAACCAAAATAAACCTTTTATCTTGTGATTTGATTATCTGAGGTATCCGTTATGCCAATGGAAAGTTAACAAAAAAATCCAATCAATTGTTAAATTCTGGTTCCTTCTATCACTTGCATGTTTTACTAGTCTCTCCCTGTTCTTAGTTTTATCAATATACTGTGATGAAGAAATCTTCTTGAGTGGCTCTCTAGGTTTAAAGATAAAGCTAAGAGTAGTGGCTCATTATGATCTACACCAAAAATCTAAACTCTAGTCAAGCATCACTACCTCTGAGCCTGTATGCATACTACATTATCATAGAATGCTTTCCTTTCCCTATCTCATTATTAAAACTCTACCTATATTTTATAATCACAGGCAAATACTATTTTCTTCTTGAAGTATTCTCTAATTTTCATAGACAAAAGTGAGCTCTCATTTCTTTAAATCTCTGCTTCTCTCATGAGCTTTTGCCCAACTGAAGGCAGACAGCATCATAAGCATTTAAAGTTCCCTGAAGAACCTAGCTTCAAGAAGACAACCAATACATCAATGTTGAATAAAAGAGCTAACATAAGACTCTTAAGTAAATAAAGTTTTCGCTACATTTCTATGCTCAGAATGGCACTTCTCAGCACTACCTACTTGTATAAAAACAAACAAGACTGATGAATACTAAAACAATCTTGGCATTAACTTTTCATCTGGTTGTTTATAAGCAGTCCTTGGATAAGTGATTTGCTTGGAAGAAGGGAATATATAGAACATAAGAATGCCTCTGAGCCAGGTGTGGTAGTATACCCTATAATCCCAGTACTCGGGGAGACAAGAGGATCACAAGTTGCAGTCCAGCATTAGTAACTCAATGCCTTAGCAAGAACTTGTGTCAAAAGTTAAAAAAAATAAAAAAGGGTTGAAGATGAAGCTCAGTGTTAAGGCACTGAGTTTGAGCCCCAGTATTGGGATAAAGAAAAAAAAAAGCACGTCTCTGAACTTGTGGGGATGGGATATAGGGAGCAGTGCCTTAAGCCTATCCTCATAACACGAACTCCTGTCTTTAAAATTATTACCTATAACAATATAAGGCTGGAGTCAGCATACATTTTCTGTACAGCTACTTGACCCTCATTTATCTCATGCTACTCTTGTCTCTTTTCACTCTGTGTACTCTCCTATGGCTCTGGATAATAGTCACTCAAGTTAGATCTGGCATATATCCTTAACATTTATTTCTCTTTTATCAGCAAGCAATTAACCCAAGTCCATAAATCCTTAGATTATATTCTCTCATATATAACTATTCATAATAGCATTATTTACCATACCCAAAAAGTAGAAACAGTCCAAATGTCCATCAGTACATAAATAAGTAAAATGTAGTATATCCATATAATGGAGTATTACTCAGTCTTAAATGGAATGATGACTGATACTTGCCACAAAATCGATGAACCTTGAAAACATTTCTAATTAAAATAAGCCAAGAACAAAAGACCACACATGATTCTTCTTGTATGAATCATGTATAGGTAGTAGATTACTATAGAGCAGATTAGTGGCTGTCTGTGGGTAGCAGGGGAGAAGTTCAGATGAAATGGGGAATGACTGCAATCAGTAATGGGTGCAAGCTTTCTTTTGAGGGTGATGAAAATGTTCTAAAATTGCTATGATGATGGTTTCACAACTCTTTAAAATACTAAAAGCCACTGGATTATGTAGTTTACTTGGGTGAATTATGTGGCATGTGTAATATATCTCAATAAAGCTGTTATATTTTAGGGGTAGGGATATAGTTCAGTAGTAGAGTGCTTGCCTAGCATACACAAGGATCTGGGTTCCATATTCAGAACCATGAAAAACAAATAAGCATCACATTTTAATTGCAGTTTAAAAGTCTATACTTTCCATCTCTATTACTGCTACCTTAATCTAAATTACCATCATCTCTGTTATAGCGCATCTCCAGATGTTTCACCAAAGCCTCATGCTTTGAGAGATGGGGCTTTGGGAGGTGGCTGGATCTAGGGTATGTGAATATGGGTTAAGGGTGTGTAATAAATGAATAGTCAGCATTAGTCCACTGAATGGCTTAGGCTAGTTCTGGGCATGGATAATAGGAAGCACCAACCTAGGTGTGGATGGCACCAACCAATAGGCTTATATCCTGGATATAATATAAGGGGAAAAGAAGGTAGGCTGCTTCCTGCCTGCCACACCTTAGACTGTTTCTCCTCTGCCATGTCCCTCTGCCATGCTGCCCTGCCTTGCAGCCAGTTACCTATGGACTGAAATTTCTACAAACTGAGCAAAATAAACTTTTCTTCTTTAACTTTGAGTATTAGGTATTTTGTCTCAGCAACAAGAAAAGTAACTAAGGAAATCTCTTACGCCTCTTTGGTTTTATTCCTACTCTCCCCTACAATTTATTTTTCAGATAATAATTAGGATGATATTTTTAAAGATTAAATTAGATGTGATTTTTATGCCTTAAACTCTGAAGAGTGTCCTTTGCTCTTAAGACTAAAACCCATCCTCCTTTTAATAGGCTATGAGAAATGATACATTATAGTTTCTGTCACTTCTCCAACCTTGTTACTCTCTTCCTTGCTTTAAATAATTTCAGATGTCCTCAGATAGACCAAGTTCTTTCCCACTGCATGTGCTTGACCCAAAAGGCTCTTCATTCCACTTTACCCGTATTCATCCTTCATCTCCAGACTTAAATAACTCTTCCTCAGAGAGCTCTACTATAATAACCCAACTAAGTTCAGGATTCTCCTCATGCCAACTGCATTAATGATTTTTTTCCCTCCAGAACACCTTTTTACAATTTGTGAGCTTACATTTGTATAATAACTTTCTTACTGTCACTCTCCCCTGCTGGACTGTTAGCTCCGTGAGGAAAAGGATTATATTTGTCTTATTCAACTCTACATCCAGTGCTTTTCACTCCACAGTCCCTGGCATTTAATAATTACTACTGAGTGAGTGAATTTTCACAAAGACTTTGATTTACTGTGTTACTCTCTTTTATTTATTTAACTTTTTTGCTCTTTTTTTTGGTGGCACCCTCTTTTAGAAGTTTTTTCATCACTGTTTCTGTGACAGAACAGCCAATAATTAGGGTTTTTTAATTTTTAATTTTAAAAATAAAACAAAAAGGATAGAAATGATACAGAATTTCAAAAACAGGAAATTAACACTAGTTAATATATTGCATATTGTTATCTTAGAAGTAGTTGTTCAGATTACAAGATTTAGGCATAAAAATGATCAATCAAACAATAAACTGTTCTTATTGAACTTATAGAGATTAGTCGTACAGTTGTCTATCGGGTATATATATAAATATACAAACATGTATGTATATATGTGTGTGTGTGTATAGATATATACATATAATCTCTTCCTTTCTGGGATGGGAGATTCTTTATAGAAAATGTTTTCTGGCTGATTTAAAATATGTATTTCTTACCTGAACATTTCTTTGTTTTTCTTGTATGCTAAGATTCTCCAGCACAGACCTTAAATGGTTCTGGAAAACAAATTGTTTAATAAGATGAATGCTGAGGAAGGGAGAACCAAGGGAGACAGAGTTTGTCAAATAATTTGAAATATAAGAAAACTGTCAGTTATTCTTTTTAAAGGGCTTGGAATATAAAAATACCCACTAAGAATAGTGCTGTCCTATTTGATTTTATGCACTCTACACAGTATTTTTTCTTTCCTTAAAATACGTGGTAGGAATATCTTCATGATAACTATTTCTAGATTATTGCAAATTACTTTGGTTGTGATAACCTTAAATAGCTGGCTTGGAACCTGGCACTGATTCTTCCTCAGTTTCCCCTCACTGGGGCAGAATATCACTGCTTTTCACTAAGGCAACATGCAACAGCAACCATAGTAATACTGATATCTATATCTTTTAGGATGTACCCATATCTGTTAGATTTGGTTACTCTAAAGGACAACCCCCAAAGTGAGTGTAACTCTACTTCAAGTTGTTTCCCTTTGATAATCACTGCTCTACAAAAAATAAAATCTGACAAAGAATTCCTCAGGTGCTTTGGAATTTCTTTCTGTAGGCTTAATTTAACACTACTACCATATAAGGGCTCTACCATGGAGGGAATAAATATGGCCTAAACATACATTTTGTTTTTGTTAAACTTTGTTTTTTATAGAAGTTTCTCTTATACACATGCACTCTGAAAATCTGTATGGCAGATAGGAAAACAATCCAGAGAGAACAGTCAGATTCAATTCCCTTTAACTTATATATACCCACAAACTTAAAGTTCTAGCTGTTTGCAGTTACAAACTGCACTATATGCACTATTCTTCCATTCACTTCTATAGATTGAAGAATGGCAAAGATTATTCCAGCCTGAAATCTGCATTCAAAACAAAAGAACAGATCTGTGATCAGACTTCTAAACTAGAGTTTTACCAGTGATAAATTCAGAACACTGCTGCCTCCTGATTTTCAACAGAGCTGATAAGAACCTAATAGGCCACACTGCTATTCATAATGTAGTCCTTATGAAAATGCACTGTGAAAATCAGTACTGCAGACAGGCAGACATTAAACAGAACACATTCAGACTTTATTCTATATATCTAGCTTTTATCCAAACTTTGAGAGCTTTAGCTCTGAAGTTTCAAATTTTACTTCATGAACTCCTATTCACTTCTAAGGGTAGAAGAATACAAACTAAAATATGAACCTCTATTTAAAAACAGCAGAACAAATCTGTGATATCAGTTATACCTCTAACCTAGACTTCAATCTAATGAGACAGAATACTGTCATCTCCTGCTTTTCAACAAAGCTGAGTAACAACTTATGGCTAACTTATAGAGCCCTTATACTCGCGCACTTGGAAAATAAGTATTTCAAATAGGCAGACTTTACAGATAACAGAGCCAGAATCCCTATCCTGTATCTAGTCTATACCCCAACACTGAGAGCTCTAGCACTTTGCAGTTATAAATTGCACTTTATACACTATTCTTCCATTCACTTCTATGGGTAAACGAGTGCTAAGGAAAATCCGAGTCTGCAAACTTCATTTAAAACAGCAGAACAAATCTGTGATATCAGACTTCTTAAAAGAGTTCCTGCTAGTGAGACATTAAGAATATTGCTGCCTGTTTTTTTGTCTTTTTGAGACAGGGTTTCAATATGCAGTTCAGGCTGGCCTGGAACTCACTTTAGAGCCCAGATTGTACTCAAACTTATAGCAATCCTCCTGCCTCAGCCTCTCGTAGTGCTGGGATTACATGCATGTGCTGCCACGCCTGGCTTTTAAAAAAACTGTTTTTTAGGGGGCTCAGCAGCATATGCACCTGCTTTTTAAGCAGGCAGTCGTGAGTTCGATCCCTAGTACCGATAAAAAAGGAAAAAGACAAAAAAACCCTGTTTTTTAAAAAATTTTTATTAGTATATCTTTGCCATTCATAATGATCACATTGATCATAGAGGATTGTATCTGTACATAATATGTCTTAATTCTTTTTTCCCATTCTGCTCCCTTCCCTTCAACCCTTCTTGCCCTCCTCATATCAAAGCTTTGTTTTCATTCTTTCTCTTCATTTTCTTTTTAAAAATCCCTTTACCTTTCCTTCCCGCATCCTTCCCACTCCCTTGTTCCTTTCCCATTTGAATATGTTCTTTCTATTTCCCAGTATCCATCTTCTGTTTTGCTCCTTCTCATTTGAGTTTCTCATACATGAGAAACATGTGATATTCAAACTTGTGTGTCTGATTTATTTCATTAAATCACTGAAGGTCTTAAACAGATATTGCTAAAAATAAACCAAGATGTTTATTCTTGTTCAATCATGCACTGTAAAGTTTAAAATTAATAAATTCATTTTACTGAAATAAATACATTTTGGTACAAACAACTTGGTTCAATCTATGTCCCACTATTCACTGTAGTCTTTGGTAAATTACTTTACCAACTTCAAGTTTCAAGTATTTTTTACAAAGTAGTAATTGTGACTGCATTTGTTTCAGGGATTCAAAGATGAAATGAGATAATGTACATTTCTTTATATCCTATTTTCAGGTTAAATCCCCAAATTGGCAATTATTATCTTAAATTATTTGTTCACCCCCACCAAAAAAGCTTCCATTACATGTTCAAAAGTATTTAGGTACAATAAGATAGAACTATATTTTATTGAAGGCTTGTAAGTGGTGTCTGGGTTCATAAATGAATTAGAATACTGCATAGAGATGACTTAAGTAAAAACACAAAGATGAAATTTTGAAAGTAAAATATCAGGATTTCTTAATACCAATCAACAAAAACTTACCTTGAGGGTCATGTTTTCCACTTTTCTCATGATATTCTTCTGTCTTTGTGCTTTGTTTTTAATATCTTGGAGCTTTTTCTCCTTATAATGAATATGTTTCTGAATTTCCATAACTAAAAGAGATAGAGAAAGACTTCATGTATCTAAACACAGCTTAAACTAATGGGTAGGCTCGCAAGTCAAGTAAAACTCTACATCTGAGCAAGAAATTCTCAAATTTAGTTTTGAATCTTATGTGTATCTAGAGTTAGCCTTAGCCAGGTGTGGTGGAGCTTGCTTGTAATTCCAGCACTCAGGAGGCTGACGCAGGAGAATCACTGCAAGTTCAAGGCCAGCCTGAACTTCATAGTGAAACCCTGTCTTAAAACGACAAACACACACACACACACACACACACACACACACACACACACACAAGCAGTTAAGCCTTTAGCACTGCCACCTACCTCATCCCATCTGTTTGTCTTTTTCTTTGACTTACCTATTGAACTGACACTTTCCTTTGTCTCATGCTGGCCATATTCAATGATCTTGGCCTGTAGCTCCCTTTCTAAAGTCTCTTCAAAGTCATCATCATCCTCCTCTTCCTCCTCTTCCTCTTCTTCCTCTTCCTCTTCCTCCTCCTCCTCTTCCTCCTCCTCCTCCTCCTCCTCCTCCTCCTGATCTTCATTCTCATCCTCATCATGGGTGTTACTACTAGAATCACTGAACATGGTTCGAAGCATATCGTACTCTATTGGTTTTAAGTAAGAGGAAAGTGAAATGTCTGAAGTTTTGCAAATATTTCTCATTTCAGAAACAATTATACTTTTTGCTCTCAAACTGACTGGATAAATAGCAAATTTTAAAAATCATTTTTCTTACAGGAAGATTATTCTCTTCATGAAACAAGTACAGCATATACAAAACACTAACATTCATTCATTTATTCAATGACCAAGATGTTTAGAGAATCTAAGAATCCACAGGAAATTGAGTACTAGGGATGGATGGGAAATTAGAATTCCAATCTAAAACCCTTAAAGTATTGGGGACCAACAAAAGTGTAAAGGGCAATGTCATTCTCTTTCTGTTTTTGTCATTGTTGTTGTTGTCTTGTTTTGTTTTTTTTAATCGGTACCGGGGATTGAACTCACGATGGCCTGCTTGCAAGGCAAGTGCTCATGCCGCTGAGCTAAATCCCCAGCCCCCTCTTTCGGTTTTTGACCTCTTTCGGTGAGTCTATAGAGAAGGATCTCTGACCTTCAGTCAACACTTGCTCCATCTAAAGCCCTTGCTCAACCTTTATTAAAATACCTGATGAGGTATCACTTGGCTTATAACCACTCATTCCTGGGGATACTGGAAAGCCTGCAATGCAACCTTGACTTTCTACTTCCTTGGTTTCATCATCAGCAATGACTTCCCATCCTGAAAGGAAGGAGCTGTCAAGAAAAATTCAGAAGAAGAAGGCAGTGTTGAATGGGAGGAGGCTCTTTGTCTAAAATTGCTTTTTGATTTAGTATGATTTTTGGTCATTTGTATCTATTCCTAGTGTGGAGAAGTGCCTTATACTGAATTATACAAGTAAACAATATTTATTACAGGTATTTGCTGTTCCTAGCTAGAAAGTAAGATTTCTGAGAAAAGTCTTAAGTTCTACACATCAAAACTGGCACACAAATACCAGAAGTTAAGTTTGTTAGCACATGCATATGGAGTGCAACAGACACTATAGAAAATATCTGGGTCAAAGGATACGGGCACTGACAGCTTCAGCATCTGAACACAGCAATCTCTTCACTTCCTTTTCCACATCTGGTGATTCAATGTACTGAAGCAAAGTGTAAGAAGAAATATCAATAGTGTTATTTAGCATCCTGTGTATTGCAGGAATGCCCTTTTCCTATAAACAAACAAGCTTAAATGATTAGGCCCCATTAATTGCTTAGCCAACTAAAGCTCTATTTTAAGTAATATAGTTTATGAAGGAATATTTACTATGGTCTATATTTTATACAGTTGGCTTATTTTTCCCAATTAAAAATTATTTGAGTCATTTAATCTTTTCATTGTGCAGCTTTATGATAAAATATCTTTTAAAGGTTAAATCTTTAGGTATCAGTTATTAATTATTTGCCATAATTTATATGACAAAGAGCTATCACAACTCATCAGTTATGCAGAAGTAGTTTGATTTAAATATATAAATTACCAGATTTCATTTCCTCATATTTTTATTATTAGAGATATTCCTACAAAAAACTGGGTCTTAGCTAAATGTTATCCCTTGAATCCAGTTTTGGACAATTATCTTCACAGCAACCAAGTCATTATGCCACGAATAAAATTAAAATTTTGATGGGAAATAAGATCTTATAAACAACTGCTGATAAAAGTGAATCCTGACTCCCAAGGAATGGCTATCAAATCTGAAAAAAAGAAGATTGGAATACAGTCAGGGACCAAATTGTATATTTTCCTCTAGGAATTACAGGATATAAAATAATGAATTCCTTTCTTAGTGAATTAAATCTAGTGTATGTGTATGGAAGTACAGGTTAGAGTTGAGAAGAAAGGCTTAGAAGTAACCTGTATAATTTATCTCATTATTTGAAACTAATTAGATATTAAACATATTAAAGGTAACTGATGAAATTATAGTATACTTGCTCTACCTCAGTAAAGCTATTCTCTTCAATTTGTTTGAAATCAGTGACCTATGAAATGAAACATAATAAAAAGTATTTTATAATTTCTCGAATTCTGTAAAACTTCAAGAGATCTACAGCTATTCTTGACTTAGTTTTACACTCAGTAGGCATCCAATAAATGCTGTTGATTGACAGAACATTAAGTGAAGGCAATGTGTACACTGGAAAACTCAAAATAGTAAAAATGTTTACTTTCTTCTCCCCAAATTGGTGTTTAGTTTTAATGTAATTCCTATCAAAAATCCAGCCATGTTTGTATAGACAGACCAGCTTACAAGCTCCAGAATGACTAAAACAGTCTGTTTGTTTTTTGTTTTTTTGTTTTTTTTTTTTTTTTTTTTGAGACAAGGTTTTACTATGCAGTTCAGGCTGGCCTTGAACTCGAACTCATGGCAATCATCCTGCCTCAGCCTCTCAAGTGTTGGGGTTACAGGCATGTACCACCACCCCTGGCCCTGCTAAAACAGTCTTGACAAGGAAAAATGAAGTGAGTACAATCAATCTTATGATTTCAAGACCTATCTCATTGTGATACAAGTGGAAAGATTGCCACATGGATCAGTGGAACAGAATAAGGAACCCAGAAACAAGCTCACACAAATATACCCAACTAATTTTTGGTGAAAGTGAAAAGTGCAATGGAGGACAGAAAACCAATGGTACTGGAGCAATTGGGCATCTTTAAACAAAAAAAGTGTACCTTGAACTAAGCTTTATACTTTTATAAAATTAACTAAAAATGGGCTATAGATAGGCTTAAATACAAAATGTAAAACTTCTGGAAAAAACAAAAAAAAATCTTCAGAATCTGGATGAGGCAGACTTCTTAAATTTAACATACTAAAGAACAAAATCCTTAAAAGAAAAAAATCATAAATTGGACCTCATCAAACCTAAAAAGCGTTGTTCCAGGCATGGTGGTGCATGCTGGTAATTCCAGCACGAGGCAGGAGGATCACCATCAGTTTGAGATTAGTCTAGGCTACATAAGCAGGTTGATGGCCAGCCTGCAGTACCTAGTGAGACCTGTCTAAAATAAAAACAGACAAAAAAAACTAAAGATTTTTGCCTTTGAATGATCCCATGAACAGGACAAAAAGATAAGCTATAGACTGAGACAAAATATTTGCAAACTATCTGGCAAAATAGTAGTGTTTAGAATATGAAATTACTCTTAAGACTCAACAACATGTCGATATGCTGTTTGTGGTATTGTACTGTAGTTCTGTAAAAATGTTACACTGGGAAAAACAAAGGAAGGGGTACATGTTATCTTGCCCGGGGAGTCAGCTAAGTGGCACAAGTACCTGCCTGGCAAGTGCAAGGTCATGAGTTTGATCCCCTGTACCAAAAAATAAATAAATAAAAGAATTTTAAAAAATTGTATCTCTGGACATAGGAAACTAAATTGCATGGGAATCTATAAATATTTTAAAATAAAAATGTTTAATTGAACAAAGAAGCCAAAGCACAGTACTTCTGCAGTTTGTCCAAGTTTCCACAAGCCTGCAGTAAGATTAGGAATATAAGCACAATTCCCAATTTCAGGTTCTATATGGATTCACTTTAAAACTAGATCTTACAATTGAAAATTAAAAGGATGAACAGAAGTTTCAAATTCATGTTCCTTCCAGATCCATGACAACTAGCTTATAACCACAAAGATCTCGTTGGTTTTTATTCAATGCTACATTTCCAAATGCTAGCACACAATGCTGGGCATTTACCTCACACTCAACAAATGTTTACTGAACATATAAATGAGTGAACAAATTAATTCCCAACTGACTTTCTCTTTCCTTTCTACTCATAATCCTCTTCTAATCTACCCAGCAGACACACAAATGTGAGACTAACCTTTTTCTTTGTTTTCCGGAATCTTTTTTTTCTCACATTCTTAAGTGGTGGAGTAACTAAAAATAAATATAACATGGTGAAACATGAATGGTTCATGGTAGTCAAATATCTATCTAAATTTTATACAGAGCCACTGGTTCATTGTATGTCTCCTCCCATTTAAAAGAATCTATGAGCTGAACAAACAAGGCAAGAGATACTGACTGATTCAGAAGAAATTAGGATTCAGCAGATAAATATAACAGGCTATAATCAGCAATGGGTTGGTGACTTACTTCCATGCTTCCAGACATAAGTTTTGTCTACTGCTTTTTCCTTATTCGTGGTTACACTAGCATCAGTAAAAGTAACTGGTTTTTCCTGAGGAGAAGGGAAGTCGCCACCACTGCACACAAGCATCTACATTTAGCGAAGACAAAAAAACTAATTATGGTCACGAATTGCATGAGTGACATCCCCAGCCATTTTTTATTATTGAGTTATGATCAATTACTACCAGAAATCCTGGCATTTCCAGAAAAAAACAAGTATTAGGTAATATACATTCATACTTCCTTATATTTCTCTCCCTCTCCTCTCCCTCCCTCCTCTCCCTCTCTTTGTATCTCTGTCTCTGTCTCTGTCCTTCTTCCTTCCTCCCTCTCCTCTTTCTCCCAACAGCACCATATAACCGTGAGTTTTTAAGCTAGTGTTCACCACTGCAGAAGGAATATGCTGAAAATACATATATCTTAACATTTTCATTTATAGAGGAAATAAGACATCAACAGCAGAGATACAAGAAGCCGTTTGTAGAAAGTTCAGAAGATCCCAGCTGCTCATATTTTTAAATTAATAAAAGTCACTATAAATGGCAAACAGAAAGCACTCCAAGCCGTTTGAATAAAATGTGGCAGTAAAAAGTTAAGGATCAAACACTGAACGAAAATGTGACATTTTATTGCTGCACAATTGATCTGGAAATTAGAAATGGCAGGCTGTCATCCAAGTGAAAGAAAGAAAAAAGGAAGGATGAAGAAATTCCTTGAATGATGTAGATCCAGAAAACAAAAATTCATACCTGGGAAATATCTGCTGTTTTATAAAAGGTTTTTTTATCTAAAGTTTTCAGACTTCCAACCACACAGGGCAAATCAACCAGCTTAGCAGATAGCGAGACATCTTCTACCTCAACAACTGCACGGCGTCCATCAGCTAATTAGGAGTAGAGAGATTAATGTTGACATCTTCCCGAAGAATTTTTGGTACATACCACGGTTTGAACAGTGAAGACTTTTGTGGGACAGATTAGTCTTCTAGTTAAACCCACAATGCTAAAACAGTTACATGATGAGTAACTTCCCAGAGAAAAGAAGGGGCTATATGGAGCTCATTTGTCCCAACTTATGTCACCCATTCAAAAGTAGTTAAGTTTCTTAGTCATGCAAGTGAACAAAATGTGAGGGAAGCAGTAAGTTTTATCTCACCCTAAAAAGCAGATGCCAATCATTTAAACACATTTCTGTTATTAGAAGCATTCAATCATGTCATCATATATGTGTGTTTTCAAAGAGATCGATGTGGTCCTAGAAGGGTATTAAGGTAAAATCTCCAGTTGGAGCTGGACAAGGTGGCACACACCTGTAATCTCAGCACTCTGGGAGACTGAAGAAAGACAATCACAAGTTCAAGACCAGCCTAGGCAATTTAGTGAAACTTGGTCTCAAATTAAAAAATAAAAAATGGCTGGGGATGTCACTCATGCAAAGGCTTCAGTCTGATCCCCAATACTGCAATAAAAGTAAAAAAAAAAATCTCTAGTTGGTTTCACAAGCCTAAAATCCTATGCAACAGTCATGTACTGAAATCTAGATCCTGTTCAGATGTCATAAATATGAATGTCTTTTGACAGAGAGGATTCAGGTATACTCTTCTAATATTAACTGAATAAGAAAGATGCCAAAAATCATGTATAGTTTCAATACTTATTGCCTGAATTAATTTTTAAAACTGAAATTATTTAAAATCTACAGCTATGCATAAAATTTTTCTGAAATGAAACACAAGAAACAGTTAATACTGGTTAGTTTTGGTACTGTGGTTGGAACACTATGAGAAAGGAAAATTTTATTATCTGCTTTTGAGTTTTTGTTTTATTTGAATTTTATAAACATAAACTCATATTGCCTTTCATTTTTTAAATGTCAATAAGGCTAAGTGGTGGAATTATGGTTCTTTTTTGATTTCTTCTTTATATACTTCTCTATATTTAAAAAAATTCAGGCTGGGTGTGGTGGTATACACCTATAATCCCAGCACTTGGGAAGCTGAGGTAAGAGGAGCACCACAAGTTTGAGGTCAGCCTGGGCTACATAGTGAGATCCTTCCTCAAAAAAAAAATAGTATGAATTTTATTTTTGTTTGTTTATTTATTTATTTTGGTGATTTAGGCAGGTGAGCCTTATACAAAAGCATTATTATTTTTGCTTTTGGGTCTTTAAAAATTAGTATCATTTTGAATTGATGAATCATAACTAGATTACCTTTACAGAGTAAAATATTATATATGTATACACACACACACACATACACAATGTAGAATGATTAAATCAAGTCAATTAACACTCCACATTTTTGGAGTAATACACGTAAAATTTACTCTCTTAATTATTTTGAAATATACATCATTATTGACTATAGTTACATTGCTGTGCAAAAAAGATCAAAACTTATCCTTCCTGACTAGCCAAAACATTGGATTTTTTGACTAGCAACTCCTCATTTTCTCATGCCCAAATTCTCAACAATCTCTGGCAGCCATTATTTTATTCTCTACTATGAATTCAATTTCTTTTAGATTCCATATATAAGTCAGAACACATGTTACTTGTCTTTCTATGACTGGCTTATTTCCCTTAGCATAATGTTGTCTAGATTCATCCATCTGGCCCCCATTGACAGAATTTCACTCTTTTTTAAGATTGACTAACATTCTATTGTGTATGTATACCACATTTTCTTTACCCATTGATCTCATGATGAATACTTAAGCTGATTCCATATTTGGGCTATTAGAAATAATGTTACAATAAATAGGATTGTGCCTATCCCTTCAACACACTGATTTCAATTCCTTTGGATATATTCTCACAGTGGAATTGTGGAGGGTCATATGGTATTTTAATTTTAGTTTTTTAAGGAATTGCTACACTGTTTTTCATAATGGCAGTATCAAATTACATTTCCGCCAACAATGTGCAAGAGTTTCCTTTTCTCTCCATCTTCACCAAAATGTATCTTTGTTCTTTTTGAAAAAAGTCATTTTAACAGGTGTGAGATGATATATCACAGTGTTTGAATTTGCATTTCCCTGATTAGTGATGCTGAGCATTTTTTAATAACCTATTGGTTATTTGTTAAGTTTTCCTTTGAGAAATATCTGTTCAGGTCCTTTGCCCATTCTTTATTGGGTTATTTGTTTTTTGCAGTTAAGGTAAACTCCTTATATGTTTTAGGTATTAACTTCTTACCAAATGTACAATTTGCAAATAAAAAAATATTTATTTAAAGAAATAGATGCGTCATTTTTGTAAATAATGAATGGTATATTCATCATGCCTTTTGACATTCAGAAATGACAAAGCTTATATACAGGAGATTACCAACTGAATGAAAATCTCACAGTTGATATCCAAGTTCTTCTCTATGTACCCTGTGATAATTACCACAAGTTGCAAAATTTCTAATTCCTTTATCCTTAAAAAAAGGTGTAAGTGATTCTAGGCTCTGTAAACTGTGAGTCCATTAACATATTCTGTTCATGGAGCTGGGGATTTAGCTCAGCGGCATAAGCACCTGCCTTGCAAGTGTATGGTTGTGAGTTCGATCCCTGGTACCGATAAAAAAGAAAAAGACAAAAAAAAGACATTCTGTTCTTTTTCACCTAGTATCGTGCTTAGCATATAACAATCCTTTAATAAATGATTTCTTAATGGGTATTAACTACTTACGAGATAAGTCAATTTTTAGTTTATCCTTCATGGTGACACTTCCAGAACGCATTATGCTCCTGACAGTAGAAGCATGTTCCTAAAAAGGAGTTAAATCAAAATATCAGGATCATCTATTTAGCAGTTAATGGATATACCAAACATAATACTCCTTTAAATAAAACATTGTAGTTCCCAAATGTTAACAGTGTCTGTACCATGAGAGACCGCATTGTATACATCAAGTTAGGACGAAGCCAACTCTAAATTCGTTTGTCTTTTAATAGATATAGTTAGTGCCATCTACCAGTTCTACATTTCTGCCTCTCACTGCTTCCCTCAAGTTACAGGCACTAAGGAAAGACTCAGCTAAAGTTTACTGAGTATATTAATTAACTTTAATTGGGCAAATATCCATCCATATGTATCTTCCTAAATAATGCTTGAATATAGTTATCAGTCAGGGAAGAGATTCAAACACAATATCAAGATGTACTTTAATAACCTCGCCTGGTGATGAATTTGCAAGAGATATCACGACAGTCATTTTTACTGCAATTTTAGGAGAATCTTGGCTATTTAGGGAACAAACTATTATTAATGGTAAGTGATTGGACCCATCAATGTCACGGCCATTTGGCCAGAAATTCAACCCACATAATAGGTGCTATGCACAGAATGAAAGAAACTGTGCTTGAAGGATACATATTAGAATTGGGCTGCTTAATAGAATATGGTTGCTGAGGAACAAATGTTCTGAATTTTTATAGATTGAAAAATGTTAGAGAATCAAAGAAATATACTTCTGGTCTGCAGATATTTGCTCTGATACACAAAGGTTTCTTACCGGAGGCAGACGCAATATAAACTGGTTTTCAAGTTCATAAGGAGGTTCATCTTGGCTTTTATTCATGTCTTGTTGAGTTCATGAAAACAAAAAGAAAACGAAGTTACTAAAAACTCCTCTTGCTCCCTCTGCTGACCACTTCTAGTAGTACTGGTTAAATTACTATACAAATTCTTCCCCATAATCCTCACTGAATGATGTATATACAGTTCAGCAATAATTTATTTGATATTCCTTGATTACTTATAAATCTCTATCCCTGAAAATATGTACAGATTTTTCAAATCAATATAAAATACTTGATGTAATTTGAAGAAATGACTTAAGAACTGATAAAACATATGATTTACTCTTAATAATATTCTTAGATTCTCATGTAAAGAAATAAAATTCAATACACAGTGGTGGCAACGTAAGCAATCTAAATGACCTCTTCAGGGAAAGAGTACGAACCAAAGGCAGAAGTCACTGAGAAACCACTTGCAGAAATGTATGATGACTTAATATAAACAAAAGCTTAATTTTCAATATTTTATTCACCTTAAGGGACTAATAGGTACTTAAAGTAAGCAGCTTTTTATGACTCTAACAAGCATATCCAACCTCCAGCCTGCCATTTTCCATCATTTTTTGAATGGAAAGGAATTGTCATGAGTAACATTCAAACTATATAATTGATGTATATAAGTAATGAAACATCCTTTCAAAAATATTTTTATTAAAGCACATGTAAAACTAGGGGGGATGGGTCATAGAAGCTAGCATCATGGTAGCTCTTATCTACCTTGGGGAAAAATTAGGAGTCCAGTTCTTAAAGCTAGTCTATGTATGTGAGTATATACAACTTTATGGAATAGTTACATTCCTGAAGCACTGACAAATATAGAACAAAAAATTTGATTTAATTATTCATTACTAACATTTTTAGCATTCTGTGTACCTCACAATACACTGAGTGCTTTCAGTGTATTATTTCATTTAATTCTCAAAACAACTACTTATTTGAAATACTTCTAAAAAGCTATTTAAAATGACCCTAAGACAGATCCTTTTATTTCAAAAAATACTTTCATGAAAGTGAATCGTTATCCAAGTTAGTAGGCTTTTTGACCATATCATCATATATAATGATCTAGTACACAGTGATATTATATGTATACAATGTGAGATGCATCAAGCTAACAGTAGTACCGAAATTTACTCCCTAAGTGCGACTTTCTACCTTTTGACCGATAACTCCCCATTCCCCACACCCTGTAGTAACTACCTGTAGTAACTGCCATTGTACTTTTTTGTTTCTATGAGTCTGATTAGTTCAGATTCCATGTATACAAGTGAAAATATGTGGCTTTCTTCTGTTTTTGTGGCTGGTTTACTTCACTTAGCACAATGTCCTCCATATTCATCCATGTTACAAATGACAAAATTGTGGTTTTTAAAAGGCTGAATAGTATTCCACTGTGTATACAGACCACGTATTCTTTATCCATTTATCTACTGAAGGAGAGCTAGGCTGGATCTGTAAGTTTGTTATTGCAAATAACGCCGCAAGAACATGCGATTGCAGATACTTCTTTGACATACTGATTTCAAGCCCTGAAGTGGGATTGTAAAATCTCAAGTTAATCTTTACTTATAATCTTATTTTCCATTCATTTAACGATGTATCTGCAGTGGCTTACATTTTAGGTATCAGGACTCATGCTTCTAAAAAGTTTTTTTGGTCAAATATTGAAGAAAACAGTGTTTACATATGAAACTTGACAAGGGTTTTTTATGCCCTAAAAATACGATATACACCAAGTTGCAAGAGATTTTATCTAAAGTTAAAGTGAAAATTTTCAGTTAATATAGTTGTTAATATTCTTTTAACTATTAACTGGGATCTGAGTTTTGAACCTGAATTTCATTTAAAAGCATTAGTTCCTTCTTTTAACACACAGAAGTGGGTCTGGCACCCTACTTGGGTGAAATTATTCACCACTTATGAAATAAATGTTTTAGTATAATTTTAGAAAGTATCAGGTATTAAAAGATCAAAGAAGTCAGCAGTGGGAGATGCCAGATGCATTACTTGTGACAGTCATTTCTTTTCTTATAAATACATATGTACACATACATATATAAATCTAAAAATGGAAACGTAAATATAAGAAAGAATTTAAAGTAAAGAGTTGGAGCTGGGCACAATGCCTAACAAGAGAAAGTAGGAAACACTTCAGGTTGAGAGCAGAAGCACAGATTATTTGAAGTAGCTCAGAAGCAAGATTTTATCAGATCAATAGTAACTTTTGGAATTCTCAGCAGAGTGAAGACTAGGGCATTTTGTTCATATCACTGCCTTCTTGGCAACTCCTTTTTCATGGAAGAAAACTTAAGAACTGAAACTATTTCAGAAAAGTTCTTTGTAAATCACCCTAATAAAAGGTCCGGTCAGAGAGAAGGTTGAAAGCCGAAACCCTGCTTGAAATGCGTTTTAATTACTTTTAAACGTTGTTATCTACATGTCTCCAAAGACCCTATGGTATTTACTGTAAGAAATGCACACACTTTTTCACAGCAGGCATTATCTCTGATGTCTAATTAAATTAACAGAACCGTTCTCCACCTTTCACCATCAAGTCCTTCTCACTTTAGTAGAATTACAATTGGAATTAGCCAGAAGAAAGTCATCTAGCCTGAAGATTCAGGTAGCCCAAATCGGCAGAGACCGAGGTTTCAAGTTCATAGCTCCAGGCAGCAGTTTAGCGGCAGTAACCACTTCCCTGCTCATTCTTTATCTCTGGGTCATTAAACTTCCAAGGGAAAAGTTCTGTTCGCAGAGGTCTTCCCTAGAAAATCTCCCGCGGCGCCCAAACAGCCTCAGGCTTCGCACCTCGCAGTGCAGGTGGGCTGAGGAGCGCAGCGAGGCGCGCTGCCGACCTCCGCGTGCCCGGAGCCCTCCGCCCGCCGCGCTCACCCATTCCAACTGCAGCTCACCCATTCCTGCACCGACTCCCTCCGCAACGCCTCTGCGGGCCGGCTCCGGCGCCTCTGTCCGGCGAGCTCCCCGAGGACAGCGCGTGTGCTCCTGCTTCGGCCCGCGGCCGAGGAGGCGGCCGGGCGGCCGGGCGGGCGACCCAGCTCCAGGTAGGGGCGGCAAGAGCCCGCCCCTCCCCGCCTCGCCGCGCCGCGCCCCGCCCCGCCGACCGCCCGGCGCCTCCAGCTTCGGCCGGCGCGCCGCGCCGCGGGACGCTTCGGGGGCTCGAGAGTTCCCGGGTCCCAGGGACTCCTTCGGGCCGCCTGCGGGTTTCATAAGGCACGTTTATTAGAACTCCTAGACCCCGTCAGGTCGAGCGGTTTGCCGCTTGACTGGCGACCCCGCTTGTCGACAAATATGCGGGCCCACAAACCCACTAAGTCACCGGACTCCAGGGCAGGATAACACGACGCGGCCCTCCCCTCGCCTCGGCACTCAGTATCTTACGTCTTTTGCGTGTCTTTTCCTTATATTTACTTTTCCTTTGGTATTTCTGTGTGTACGTGTGTGTTTATTTATAAGCAAGAGAACTAAAAGTGACAGCCCTAGTCACCTACTCCTAGTCACCTACTCTGGAGTCACTCTACTCCAGAGAGTCGCTGAGGAGTTTCATACAAAATTTTAGCAGTTCACTTTTCCCAGAACAAATCCTCGCCTTGTGGGCAAACGAACGAACTTGAAAAGCCACCTACCTTTCTTTTCGGGGAATTTTTCTGAAATATCTTTATTAGCAACCACAGTGCTGTCCACATCAGTTTGAGGACATGGATCAATGGGAATTTCTGAGTGTTGGTCACCTGGCCTTTCGGTACTGCTGTCGCATGCGATTTCAGCACCATGGTCAACGGATATTTGGGGAGGTTGGCCACTCCTTTCTTCTGATGTTGAAACCACTGTTGAATCATTTTCTGAGACATAGACGTTTTCTCCTTCAGTGCGCTCCATGATCCACCACGTTGGGGGCTGGTGTTGTAAAATGGCTTCCTTCCAGTTAGTCATGTGATCTGAAAGTTTTCCAGAACTTTCATAAAACGATATAAAAAGTATGTTATTTAAAGGGAGACACTGTGGTGGTGCACTCTTGTAACCCCAGCACTTGGGAAGCAAAAGCAGGAGGATCCCTGAGAATTCAAGGAAAATCTGAACTACAAAATGAGACCCTGAACCCAATAAACAAACAGAGATACTGTTAGCGACCTAGTGTGTGTTAAAGATGGCACCTATAAAGTCCTACCACCTAACACTGATCTTAAACTTAATTGTAAAGAGTAGTTTTGAAAGACTAGTTACTATGCAGTCTTTTCTTTTGGATATGTGATTTTTAAAATTCAATAAAACTAAAATTATCAGAGCTTCAGATTTAGAAAAAAAACTTTGGATATCTTTTTTTTTCTTTTTCACTTTCTTCTTTCTTTCTTTTACTTTTGCAATAATAGGGGTTGAGTCCAGGGCCTTCTGAGTAGCACACATCTCAATACCAGTTTTACTTTATTTTATTTTTATTTTATTGAGACAAAGTCTCATTAAATTGCTAAATTGCCTGGGCTGCCCTTGAATTTGTGATCCTCCTGCCTCAGCCTCTCAGACTGTAGGAATTAGAGGCCAGCAGCACCACACCTGGCTTGTCCCTTTTTTAACCCATCCACTGACCTTTATTTTGGTATTATGCTATAGGAGCTACATTGAGGGTTGTAACAAAATAGACCAAAACACCAGTCATACACTTACAGTACAAAAAATCCTATTTTTACAGTAGAATATTCTTAAAGATTTTATTTAAAATGAAGAGTCATTTAACTCAGTCCAACATAGTGGTGCATGCCTGTAATACCCGCACTTGGGAGGCTGAGGCAGATGGATGGCTGTGAATTTGAGGCTAGTTTGGGCTACCGAGAGAGCTGAATGCCAGCCTGAACTACATAGTGAGACCCTGTCTCAAAAAACAAAAATAGTAACTCAAAGGACAGCTTTATTTTTGATAACTGAAATAGCTAATTGTTTTTAATCATATGAACAATATGAATGATATGACTTTGTGATGGCCGCTTGAAGACTGAAAACCAAATTTGCAGCCCACCTCTAAAACCTATGAACTTTACTGGCATGTATTGACCTTTTTCCATTATCTTAAACAGTTATAATCTTTCCCAGCTTCCTAATTAATTTTATCTTGTGCAGTAAACTATACTGAATGCAACTGGAAACCTTTTTTTTAAAATAAATACACATGCTAGATAAATGAAAATAGCACTCTGACACAAGTACTTCAGGAACCATTCTTGTGAACGGAGGATGGGAACACAGTAACACTTCCCTTATAGTCAGTTATCCAGCCAACAGAGAATTTAGTGTACTACCCTTTATTTGAAACATTTAATAAATGTTTCAAGAAAATGAGTCAAATTTTACCCTTAATAAATTTACAGTCTTGTTAGAGATACAGACACACACAACACAATTTCTGATTATTATCATGTTGTCTGGCCTCTTATAGAAAAGGGGAGTGAAAAGTGAAAGGAAGTAAAGGACAAGAATTATAATTTCCCTTGAAGTAGTATGGTGTACTTATCTAAAAACTGTCCTGTTGTCAGATACACACAGAATGTATTTTTGGTTGGGTTATGCCATGTTGGCATTTCTTTCTAATAAGTTTTGCATCAAGTAACTCAAGTAAATTCAGTTATGTACCAGGAAATTTTCTAAAGTTAATAGTTAACATTCATTAACGTTATATATACTTTTATATACTAGGCTTTTTTATATACTAGGCTCTTTACTAGTGCTTTGTATGGTTATTTCTTTTTTATTTTTAAATTTTTTTTTTATTTTTATCGGTACCAGGGATCAAACTCAAGACCACGCTTATGCCACTGAGCTAAATCCCCAGCCCCTATATGGTTATTTCTTTTAACCCTCATAATTATTCTATGAATTTAGTATGACTATAATTCTGTTTGTTGAATTTTAGACTAGTTAACTGAGACTAAAAAATAATTAACTCATTCAATGCCACACTCCTAGTAAATGACAGAGACAATATTTACTTTAAATCTGGTGTCTGTTTGACTCTCAGTACTGCCTATGCCTACATACACAGATCTGTCATGCATAATTAGACATGCAGTTACTCTTAATTGTCCCCTAATCCCAGCCCTTGGTAACTTCTACTTTCTGTCTCTCTGAATTTGCCTATTCTGGGTACCTCATATAGGTGCTACCATGCAATATTTGTCCTTTTGTATCTGACTTTACTAACCATAATGTTCTCAAAGTTCATCCATGCTATAGCACAAATTAGAATTTAATTTCTTTAAAATGCTAAATGATATTCCATTGTATAGATATACTACATTTTGTTTATCCACTCAACTGTCAATGGATATTCGTTGTTTACATTTTGCTATTGTAAATGGTACTAAGAATACTGTAAAAGTATCTGTTTGACTCTCTGCTTGCAATTCTTTGGGGCATATTCCTAGAAGTGGACTTAATGGGTCATATGGTAGTTTCATGTTTACCTTTCTAAGGAACCGCCAAACTGTTTTCAACAGTGACTGTGCCATTCTCCTTAACGTTTTCCAATTTCTTCACATCCCCAGCAACACTTGTTATTTTCCCTCTTGTGTAAAATAATAGATATCCTTATGGGCATGTACATGTTTGTTTCTTTTTTTCTTTTTTGTTTTTGTTTTGATTTTGGTTTTGGGTATTTCATATTGTTTTGTTTTGAGACAGAGTCAGGCTGCCCTTGAGCTCACTGTGTAGCCCAGGCTAGGTTGAACCTGCAGCAGGTGCTGGGATTATAGGCATGCACCACCATGCCTGGCCTATAGAGGTTTCTTATTGTGCTTTGACTCATATGTCCCTAGGATCTAGTGATGTTAAGCATCTTTTCATGCACTGACTGGTCATTTGTCTACAGTAGTTCCCTAATATCCGAGACATTACTTTCCTAGGTTACAATAATCCCCAAATAAGCCAAAGATATCCAGAAATAAACAGTTCAAACATCTAAATTGTGTGCTATTCTAAGTAGCATGATGAAATATCATACAGTCCAGGTCTGCTCAGTTTGGTATTTGAATCATCTCATTATTCAGTATATCCAAGCTATATAAGCTACTCAATGGCTGATCACTTAGTATTCAACTTGATTTATCAAATCAGCTATGTGGTAGCACAGTGTTCAAACAACCTTTGTTTTTCAAGGTTCAGTTGTTCAAATAACCTTTATATTTAAATAAACCTTTATGTAAATAAACCTTTATGTTACTTAATGACAGCCCCAAAGCATGAATAATTATGCTGACAATTTTATCATTAATTTTATTAAGTTCTTCCTTTGTCTAAATCATAACTTCATGTTTATGATAGGTAAGTATGTATCGGGAAAACATTATAGAGTTTGCTACTATCTGTGGTTTTTAGGTAATATTTGGTGGTCTTGGAATGTATCCTCCCTGGATAATGGAGAACTACTGTTTCTTCTTTGAAGAAATGTCTGTTTCAAACACTTTGCACATTTATTTATTAGGTTACTTAAATTTTAATTTTTGTTGAGTTATAGGAGTTCAACACATATTCTGATACTAAGCCCTTATCAGCAGTATGCTTTGCAAATATTTTCTCGTTTTCTGCAGGCTGTCTTTTCACTCTTTTGATGATGTCCTTTACTTTCATTTTGATGAACTCCAATTTATCTACTTTTTCTTTTGTTTCCTGTGCCTTTGATATAATATCCAAGAAATCACTACCAAATCCAATGTTTCAAACATTTCTTTGTGTTTTTAAGTATTGTACAGTTTTAGATCTTATATTTATGTCTTTAGCTCATTTTGAATTAATCTTTGTTTATATGGTAGTGTAAGGTAAATGACCAACTTCATTCTTTTGTGTGTGGATAGTCTATCTAGTTTTCCCAACACTATCTGTTAAAAGAGTTAGTTCTTGGGGATTTAGTTCAGCAGCATAAGCGCCTGGGGATTTAGTTCAGCAGCATAAGCGCCTGCCTTGCAAGCAGGCAGTCGTGAGTTCGATCCCTGGTACCGATAAAAAGGAAAAAGACCGAAAAAAAAAGAGTTAGTTCTTGCCAGGCGTGATGGAGCATGCCTGTAATTACAGCACTCTGGAGATCGAGGTAGGAGGACGCCATGAATTCAATGTCAGCCTGAACTACATAGAGAGACCCTGTCTCAAACAAACAAACAGAGTTGGTCATTTCACCATTGAATGGTCTTGACACCCTTGTGGAAAATCAGTTGATCATATGAGCAAAGTTGTATTCCTGGGTTCTTTATTCCATTCCGTTGGTCTACATGTCTTTCCGCATGTCAATACCACATTATAACAACCTTGTAGTAAGTTTTGTGATCTCATTTTCATTTTCATTTTACTTTTATTTTTAATTGACAACTATATTATGGAACACAATGAGATGTTTCAATAAGTGTATACAATGTAGAATGACTGTCAGGGTAATAAAAATTCATTACTTCACATTCTTATTTTCTTATGGTGAAAACATTTAAAATCTACTCTTGGCAATTTTGAAATATATAAGGTATCATTATTCATTATAATCACCTTTCTAGGCAATAGGTCAGTAAAGCTTAGTCCTCCTGTCTGACTGAAACTCTGTAGCATTTGACTGACATCCCTCTTTTTCCCTATCCATCCTCTCCCCCAACTTCAGTATTCCACTCTCTAATTTTATGAATTCAACTTTTTAAGATTTCCCATGGGAGATCGTGTGGTAATTGCCTTTCTGTGCCTGGCTTACTTCTCTTAACATATTTTCCAGGTTTCTCCATGTTGCAAAGAACAAGAGTTCCTTCTGCATAGATGCTAATACTTTACTGTGCAAAAACAATTTTTATGTAGTTGTTACATGTAGGAGAACCTGTCTTTAGTGATAAACTACTCTAAAAAATGAGTCCTAGTTTTCCTTTCACATCAAGCATTTTGTTTAAGTAAACTTCCTGTTTATAAACAAACTCAACAAAATAACTAGTAAGTCAGTAATCACAAATCTCCCAACAAAGCACTAGAAGGGCTGGACCAGAAGGGCTTACTGATGAATTCTACCAAATAATTAAAGAAGAGTTAATGATGTGTGCCTGTAATCCCAGCACTTGGAAGGCTGAGGCAGGAGGATCACTGTGAATTTGAGGCCAGCCTGGACTACAAAGTGAGTGCAAGGCCAGCCTGAACTGCATAGTGAGACGCTGTCTCAATAAGACAAGCAAGCAAGCAAGCAAGAAAGGTAGGTGCCCATTACTGTACTTATTTATGCACAATAAAGAACTGGAGAAGGGGAAAATGAAATAACAGAGAAAACTATACTGTAGTAGTGAGGATGTGGTAGAACCAAATTGTGGTTTTCTAACTGAGAATGTACTTATTTTTAGTTTGCAGGTAGAATTCTGGAGTCAAGTAGCAGGTTTGATTTTTTTTTTTTTTTTTTGTCTTTTTGAGACTGGGTCTCCCTATGCAGTTCAGGCTGGTCTCAAACTTACAATGATCCTCCCACCTCAGCCTCCCGAGTGCTGGGATTACAGGCGTGAGTTGCCACACCCAGTTTACAGGTTTGATTTTTAATAGATACCACCTGCCTGCTGCTGAAACATATTAATCATATCTTCATCCTTCATTTCAACTATGCTGGTATATCTGTCTCATTGATCACCAGATCAGAATCTGATCTGCCTCACTGATAAGACCTACATTCACAATAGGCTTTTCTTAATTTACGAAGTGATGTATGCCTCTTACTTTTATACTGCTCCACAAAACCATCTTGTCATCACCTTCAAAGTAGTATGATCACTGTTTCCACTCTTTACTTTCTTGGCTTTTCTGTTAGGCATAGTGAGCACCAGTCTCCTCAGCTGCCACATCACAAAAGAGATGCGAAGTTCTTGCTGAACAAGGACAAAGGCAACACTCAAAGGGGCAAAAGGATAGTGGCAAAAAAGCTGTTGAAATTTTATATTTCTCCATGATTCACTTTGGGAAGGTTGTGTACTTCTAGGAATTCATCAATTTCATCTAGGTTGTCCAACTATCTGGCATACAATTACTAACAGTATTTTTTTTTCTTGAGCATAATTAACAAAATAATATATATATTTAAGGTATGTAACATTTTCAGATTTTATGTATATTTACATGTGTTGTAAAATAATTACTATAATCAAGCTAGTTAACATATCCATCAAATAATAACATATAGCAATTTTTAAATTTCCTGTTTCAAAACATTTTATAATAGTACTCTTAAATACTTTTAAGCAAAAAACAAAAAAACAAACAAACAAAAAAAAAACGTGTTCAGCCTCTCATTCCCAGAGATTAAAGCCATTAAGTGAATATCATTCTAGACAATTTCTTGGTATCTCTATACATTAGTGCATTTCTTGAAATAAAAATTTGGCAGTACCATACGTACAATTTTGTAACCTGTTTAATGTATTGGGTACTTTTACCTCAAAAAATTCATATCATTATCTCTTAATACAATTGGTAACCACTTTTTCCCATCCCCCATTACCTTCTCTTAATGTCCCCTCATTTCAATCCTCTTGTCTAATACGAGTCCCCCTTCTACTTTTATGTAATTGTTATGATTGATACATTGTGTCAATTTAGGAAGTTCAGAAGTTTAATTAAGTGACTCAGTAGATGGCCTGGGTCCTCTCATCTGGTGCAAGAGGAGGGCAGGGAGACAGTGTGAATATTACACTCCCTCTGATGAGGATAGCCTGCTTACAATGTAAGGGAGGAAAAAAGGCTTGCTCTCTATTTGTGCTTGTGCCTTGAACCTGGCAGCCTGCCTTAAAGCCAGCTGATTATGGACTGAAACCTCCACAAACTGTTAGCTAAATAAACCTTTCCTTCCTTATTTTTAGGGTTGGATATTTTGTCTCAGCAATGAGAGAAAAGTAACTAAGACAGTCATTTTTTTTAGTCTATATATTAGGACACACATAATATTTGCCTTTCTGAGTCTTAGTTCACTTAATATGATGGTATACAGTTCTATACATTTTCCTGCAAATGTCATTTTTTTCTTGCGGCTAAATTGTGTATGTATACCATTTTCTTTATTCATTCATCTGTTGATAGGTACCTAGACTGGTCTTATCTAGGGTACTGTGAATTGTCACAAAAATATGTGTTTAATTTCTTAGGTATACAATAGAGTGGTATAGATGGATTATACTTCTATTTTTAGAGGGTTTTTTTTTTTTTGAGAAATTTCCCTAGTTACATTATGGCTGTACTAATTTACATTCCCAACAGTAGTGTACAAGGATTCCTTTTCTCTGAATCCTTGCCAGCATTTACTGATTTATTATTTCTGATAGCCATTCTGACTAGGATGAGACACAATCTCAATGTAGTTTGATTTGCATTTCCCTAATGGCTAAACATTTTTCATTCATTGACTTCTTTTGAGAAAACTCTTTTCAATTCATTTACCAATTTATTGATTAGGCTATTTGAGTTTTGGCATGAAGTTTTTTTGAGTTCTTTATATTTTCTAGATATTAATTCTGTGTCAGAGATAGCTAGCAAAAATTTCCTCCTGTCCAGGGGTTTAGCTCAATGGTGTTAGTACCTGCCTGGCAAGAGCAAGGTTGTGAGTTTGATCCCTGGAACCAAAAAAAAAAAAAATTGCTCCCATTTTGAAGGCCACATCTGTACTCAGTTGATTATCTCCCTTGCTGTGCAGGAACTTAAATTTGATGTAGTTCCATCTGTTGATTCTTGCTATTATCTCTTGCACTACTGTTAGGGAAAACAGACCAAACATGGGAAGAAACAGCACCAAAACTTTTAGGAGCAGTTTATTACACCAGTGGGCCTGACTGGGATCTCTCCCAGAGTCAGAGCCCCACTCAGCAGGGTTTGGGGGCTTTTCTGGGGAAAGCAAGCAGAAGGTACAAAGTGCGTTATGATTGGAGTGTTAGGTGACATCATGGGTTGTCAAGGAAGTTTAAACATATAATACAAGGCCATCAGTTAAACAAACATGGGTTACACAAAGGAAGCAATGTTATCAGATTTGTCCAGACATGTCCACTTGGTTTTTGGTGGGTACTCTTGGTAGGCTTAGTTGGTGAGATTTTACTTAGAATTTTAATTTCCCCTTCAATATTAGTCTGATTTAGAAAGTATCTCCTTGTGCCTAAGGCTTCAAGTGTTTTTCCCTACGTTTTCTTCTAGCAGTTGAAAAGTTTTAGATCTCATACTTAGTTCTTTGATCCATTTTCAACTGATTTTTTTAGAGAAGAGATCATTTCAATCTTACACATGTGATATCCAGTCTTTCCAACACCACTCATTGAAGAGGCTACTTTTTCTCCAACGTGTCTTTCTGTCTCCTTTGGCCAGAATCAGATGCTTGTAATTGTGAGGTCTGCGTCCTCTATTCTATTCCACTGTTCTATATGTCTACTTTTGTGCCAGGTACAGTGCCAGTTTTTACTATGGCTTTGTATGATATGAAATAGAGTATTGTGCTACTTCCAACACTGCTATTTTTGCTTTGAATTGCTTGGCCTATTCTAGGCCTTTTGTTTCTATATGAATTTTAGCATTGCTGTTTGTAGTTCTGTGAAGAATGTCATTGGAATTTTTACAAGGGCTACACTGAATCTGTAGATCACTTTTGGTAATTGTGGCCATTTAAAATGGTATTAATTCTGTTTATCCATAAACATGGGAGGTCTTTCCATCTTCTAGTGTCTTCAACTTTTTTATTCAGTGTTCTGTAATTTTCATTGTAGGTCTTTCACCTTCTGGGTGGGAGAAATGAGACATTGGTTAAAGACAGGATGTGCCATGGTTTATTCTTCAAGGTTCATGTGATTCAGGCATGGTCACCAGTATAATGTACTAAGTAAGATGTGGGGACCAGTGAAGGTAATTAGGTCATTGGAAACACTGGATTAATGCTGGTCTGTTGGAATGAGCTCTCACAGGAACTTCTTGTCTTACTATGTGATCTCTCCCACAGTCAGCTCCCTATTTCTCTGGCATAGTAGGACATAGCCAGGGAGCCAGTGCCATGTTGCTAGACTCTCTAGCTTCTAAAATCATGAGCCAAATAAACTTAATTTTTAATAAAGTACTGGGTTATGGTTTAGATTTTTAAAATCCTGCTCAAAAGTCTCATGTATTCAGAGATGGGACATTCAGAAGGTGACTGGATCATGAGAGCTCTAATTTCATCAGTGAATTAGTCCACTGAAACCATAATTCAGTGGCTTTATTAGAAGGTAATGGAAACTTAGAAGCGGGACCTAATAGAAGGGAGTGAGTCACAGGGCATGACCTTGAGGACTATATTTTGTCCTCAGCCCTTTCCTTTGGCTCTTTCCCTTTCTCTCTGTAATCTGGAAGCTATGAATTTAACAGCTTTCCTCTGCCATGCCCTCCCATCATAACATGTCTTCCTCAACAAAGGCCTAAACACAACGGAGTTAGCTGACCATGGACTGAAACCTCTGAAACTGTGATCTACAATATAAAGCCTTCTTTCTTTAAGTTGTTTATGTCAGATATTTTGTCACAGTAACACAAAGTTGACTAACACACTCAGCTCTTGGTATTTCATGGTAACAATATAAAACAGTCTAATACAGGGCACAAGTTTTTAGTTATAAGATGCCTAAGTTTTGGGAACCTAATATATAACCCAGTGATTACAGTTCATAATATTACATTGATTACTTAAAATTAAATTTTTGACAAGGACAAGGGGTGAGGAGGAGGGCAAGGGGAAACAAGTAGAATAAAGAAATGCCACCTAATAACCTCAATTAATATAAACATCATATGCCATACTATAAGCTAAGATTAATAATGTCAAACAAATAAAAAATAGGATAGAGGAATTAGAGGTGGGAGAAAGAGAGAAGGGAAGGGAATGGGGATTTAAAAAAAGAAACGAGCTATACATGTAACTTCACCCCAAGATGACTGTAAAGTGCATGTACTAGAAACATGTACTAATGAAATTCTTTAAAAACCTGAAAAACAAAGAAATGGAAATTTGGTAAGAGGGCACATCTTCAGTGCCTTCAATACACACACACACACACACACACACACACACACACACACACACGTACAGTGGTAACTGTGTGTGGTAATGGATGTTAATTAATTTGATTGTGATAAACCTTAACATATATGTACAGCAAATCATCACGTTGTACACCTAATATATAGAGTTATTATTTGTCAATTATACCTCACCTAACCTAGAAAACCAAAAAGTGAAAGATTTGAAAAAAAAATATGGTGAAAATAGCTACAGCCAGGCTGGGTGTGGTTGTCTATAATTCCAGCACCTGGGAGTGACTGAGGCAGGAAGATTTATTAGGTCAACATCCTGGGCTACATAATAAGTTAGAGACCAGCCTGACCTACACAGCTAGACCCTGTCTCAAAAAGACAAAGACAAAAACAAAACCAAAACAATAGCCATAGCCAACAGGAGTCTAAAAAACTAAGTTGACTACATATAATGTGGTACTATGGTTGAGATTCTGGGACAGGAAAAAGTTATATAAATACTATTTCTATAGTTTTTAAAATAAAATATGAACTTAAACAATAATATATCATATAATATACAGTATAACTGTGTAACACAAATCAGAATGTCAAAGTGGATATGCAAGTGGTTTCAATCTTTCTGGCAGTTTGTCAACATATATTAAGAACCTTAAACTGTCAAACTTACTTACTAAGCTCAATTCAGAGTAATTATTTAAGATTTCATCTAAAGTACACACAATGTTTTATGGGCAAAGATGTGTTTCACTAGGTTATTTGTCATAGGAAATAAATGGAAAAGATCTGAATGTGTAACAGTTGAGGAATATTATGGTGAACTTTACGCTTTGTACATACTATAAAGTCATTAAAGTGAAATAGAAGAATAGTATGGAATAGTAATCAAAAGCAAAGGTTTTGGAGACAAATCTGAATTTAAGATGAAGGACCATCACTGGTTATGTGATTTTGGGCAAATCATCTAATTGTCTTTCTAGGCTCCATTTTTCTCACCTGTAAAATAAAGACAAGAACATGTTCTAGCCTGAGGTTTTACGAGAATTAAATGAGAGTCGTGTTTAGCACATGGTCTGGGAGATAGCTTAGTAAAAAGTACATTAAAACAACTCTATAGGTTTTGACTACTGATCAAATGGAATCAGAGAAAGTACTAGGCACTCACTCAGTACCACACAGCTAGTAAGAGTTGAGCTAGGACTCAAACTGAGAAGAGGAAAGCTAGGACTCAAACTGAGAAATTATTCAAAATCCTGGCTTGTCAAGGCCTGGGATGTAGCTCAGTGGCACAAGCAACTGCCTGGCAAGCGTGATGCCATGAGTTTGATTCTTGGTAACCTACCCACCCCCCAAAAAGAAGAAAAATCCAAGTTCATAATTGCAACACCAAAATGTTTGCTGTTATTTATGTTGTTGCTGCTTAATAACATGGGAAAATGTCTATGGTAACATGTAAAGTAAAAAACACAAAACATAAAACTGTATTTATGGTGTTATTGTGAATTTGTTTTGAATGTTTTCATGCTGTGCATGAACATGAATGGGTAAAACTGAAGAGAAATGCCAATATATTAAAATTATTATTTTTCAACAATCTGTGTAGCAGAATCTTGGCACATAGAAAACATTTAAGTATTATATCATGATCATTTGTTTTGATGTTCTAAACATACGCCAAATTATCCAAATGTGAATTTAGTTGTACTAAGTTGTATTTCTCTTGCTCAGGACTTCTTGAATCCAAAGATTTGCATTTTTAAATCACCATTACTCTCAGCCAATACTTTGAATGACTTTTTTTCATTTGTCTGCTATGTCTCTACCAAGCTACACTCTGTATACCTCTACTCATTTTCCTACTTTTCTCATTAGCTGTGCGCAATAAAGTGGCTTAATATGTCCATTCAGTTTTCTGTTGTTTTTTTGAGACAAGGTCTGGGGTATGTAATTTGGGCTGGTCTTGAACTTACTATGTAGCCTACACTGACCTCAAACTTGTAGCAATCCTCCTGCCTCAGCCTTTCATGTGCTGGGAGTATGAGCTGTCATGCCCAATGAGTTTTTTATTTTAAAACGTTTTTTTCATTTCTACAGTTCCTATTCAAAATTAACCAATCTTCTAAAAATCAGTGTCTTGGGCTAGGGATTTAGCTCAGTGCTGTAGGCACCTGCCTGGCAAGCGTGAGGTTGTGAGTTCGATCCCTGGTACTAAAAAATAAAAAATAGAAAATTAGTGTCTGGTACATACACTGTGCATTGTCATTCCTAAATCATTCACCCAGAGCACAAGACATCTGCCTTCAATTGTCTGAACAATACCCGTACAAATCTTTCTCTTGAGCAAACTCAGAGAAATCAGTAAAAATTAGTGTCTTCTTGTCAGTTAGGTCATTTTAAATTTATTTTATAGCATATATCAGATGATTTTATTATCTAAATCTCTTGAAGTCTAATCCTGCTGTTTTGTATTTGTCCATGGTAGATGTTTCCTCATGTATTTTGTAATTTTTAAAAAATTGTGTTCAGGCTGGTCTGATGGCAGTGGGTTATCAGAACTTATTAACATTAGTGTCACTAAAGTTGGTATACCACCCCCCACACTGCTAAATTTGACTGGCTTAAAAAGAAATTGTGTTCAGTGTAACTTTCAGTAGGGATCCATGAAAGATGTGTTCCTGCAGAGCTGCTTAACATTGCTTCTGTTGGTAATTCCGCTAAGTTATCACTTTGTTGCTTCAGGCAATGTGGCGGGAGTGGAATGTTTCTGTCTGTGTGTGTGTGTGTGTGTGTGTGTGTGTGTGTGTGTGTGTGTCTCCTGGACCTTGCAGGATTTGAATCCTATGAGAAATCAGCTAGCTTGGAGGTAACAAATCCTCGTAAGACCTTTTCTTACTTAGATGCCAAGTTGTGTCTCTGTGCTAGTAAACAGACTTTTGTTTAGTTCATTTTTACTGGAGTCCCAGCCTTCTACACGTATCTTGGATCCAACTCTCTGCCTTACTTAGTACTAAGCCACTGTTTTGTCCCTCTACAAGACCATCAAAACCTGAGCACCTGCATGGTGAAACACTCCTTTAATCCTATTACTTAGAGAAATTGAGGCAAGAGGATTTAAGTTTGAGTCCAAGCCAAGCAACTCAGAAGACCTGACCTCAAAAATAAAATGTGCGCTGGCAATACAGCTCAGGTAAAGGCCTTGGGTTCAATACCCAGTACGGACGGACGGACGGACGGAAGGAAGGACGGAAGGACGAATCTTGAGTACCTTATTTAGTGAAGTAACCAAGCTGTCCCCACCCTACTAGTAGTGTACTTGAAATTTTAACTCCCATCAAACAAATGATTTTATTTTCAGATTTCTATTTGTGTTTTGACCCCAGGTGGTATCTTTTTAAAAAATTTGTAGTTATTTGGTGGTACCGGGATTGAACCCAGACAGAGTCTTTTTACTGAGCTGCATTTCCAGTCCTTTTAGTTTTTATTCTGAGATAGTTTTGGTAAGCACTCTTGCCCAGGCTGAGCTCAAACCTGCAATCCATCTGTCTCAGCCTCCGAGAGTACTGGGGTTACAGGCATGCACCACAATGGACAGCTCCTTTTCTTCTTTTAAACTCATCCATATATTTTTAAAGGGCTTTGGGTTAAGAAGGAAAACAGAATAACAAGCAGCATTGATTTTGTTGTTAATTCTTTACTTAGAAAGCCATCACCTTTCTTTCATAGAAGAAGGCAAATGTAATTTTTCTGCAATATTTCATGTTTATGGATTTTTTTTTTGGTTGCCTAAAACAGTTAACCTGAGGCTTGATGCCTTACTTTTATAAAAATATGAATTTTGGCATATTTGTTATAACAGATTTCTTGTCAGTTTCTTGAAAAAGACTTTATATTCTAGTAAGGATTAAGAGGATACAGCTCACATATATACATATTATTATGGATGACTATAACAAACTGATCAGATTAATGATTCTCAACTCTTTGGTAACTCTGATGCACAGACAAAAGCTGCTTGGCAGCTGAGCATGATGGTGCACATCTGTAATCTCAGCGCTTGGGAGACTGAGGCAGAAGGATTGCAGAGAATTTGAGGCCATCCTAGGCTACAAAGTGAGTTTTATGCTAGCCTGAACTACAGAGCAAGACTCTATTTCAAAAAACAAAAAACTAAATAAAAATAAAATAAAAAAGCTATTTGGCATGTTTCTTAAGAGTACAGTTGGCTCTCTATAGTTGTGCATCCCATGTGTGAATTTGACCAATTACCAATCAACAATATTTGAAAACAAATTTGTACTAAATCCACAGTGACTTTTTCCTTATTCCCCATTACTTATATAGAATCCCATTACTTATATAGAATTTATACTGTGTTACATATTACAAGTAATCTAGAAAAAATTTAGAGTATTACTGTTTTATATATGGAACTTGGTCATCCTCAGGGTTTGGTATCTACAAAGGTCCTATAACCAATCCCTCAGATTCCAAGGGATGACTTTTTTATCATACTTTGGATGACATATTTTGATACCATATTAATTACATTAAAATTACATGCCATATTTTCTAAGTAATATGATTATTAATATTAAATATCCTTCCTTGTTCCTTTTACTCATTTCTTCCTCAAACTCTAGTCTTTCATTAATAATGCCTTATATTGATAATGTATACCAAGGAACAGCTGTAATTTATTTTTCACGTATTTTAGGAATAAACATGTCATATGACATAAAGAACAAGTTATGTATGGTGAAACTTGAGTGATGAGTCTACCTCATTTGCTTCCTCTTATTCCTCATATTTAATCATCAAAACCTAGGCTATCTATCTTGGAATCACATTTCCTTTTTAAGACAAGATCTAATTGTATAGGTCAGGCTGGCCTTAAACTTACTGTATAGCACAGAGTGGTCACAAACTCACAGCTATTCTCCTGCTTCAGCCTCCCAAGTCCTGGGATTACAGGTGTGTATTACCATGCCCACTTTGTAAATACATTTTTACCTTAAAATCTACTAGACTTCTAATTCCAGTCTTAACCTTTTTTAGTGTTCAGTACTCATGTGATTATAATCTTTCCAAAACACGTGCTTAAAATGTTAGAGGTTTCCCTTCACCTTCAAAACAAAATTTAAGGCTGGAGATACAGCTAATTCAGAGTGCTCACCTAGCATGTGTCACGCCCCACAGTCCATCCCCAGCAACACACAAACACATTCCTTAGCATGACCTAACTATATACTATATAGTCCATGTCTACCTAGTGCTTATCTCCAGAGATTTTCAATGTCTATCTTGCTTTTAAATTGTACCAATTACTAGAACTTTCCTCAAATTCTATATTCTTCCATCTAATGCTTTCCCAGCTGAGCTTTTTCAGTTAGTAGGCAAATTACAACGAAGTTTCTGATTTCAATGAAAATATATTTGCTAAGTTTGCTTCCATTAAAGCCATGAAAATAAAATTTAATAAATTCTGCTTTTAGTAAAAATATATCTTGAATTCAAATGCCTTGAGTTCTAATACATCTATTTTTAAATGAACCCTTGGGAGATATACTCAAAACAATATCAAAACCATAATACTTGACAACAGTGAATCTAAATAGCCTTACTCCATAGATGCAGGGACTAGACCTTTCCGTATCAACCTCAAGTCCAGAAGGGTCCAATAAAAATAAGGCTGGGCTTGGGATATAGCTAGCTCAGTGGCAGAGTACTTTGCCTACCATATATGAGGTCCTGGCCCCAACCCCTAACACCACCAATGGGGAAGGGGCACTGAAGTATATGAAGTGTGCTGTTTCAGAATCTGTGGAATCAAATCACACTAGGCCAAGATTTTTTAAATGATAGTATTAATATAGGAAAAAATTTAATGGACCATCATTTGCTTTCCTTTGTTCCATGTAAAAGCTATTGTTACATGGAGTTTACTGACTTACTACATTTTACAATTCAAACTCTCTACAGAGATTTGTTTGGATTCATGGGCAGAGACTTTACACTGGTTCCATTTTCACAGTATGCTTGGTAAATCCTTATAAATTTGAAGACAGTGTCTTAGACACCACTATGGGCAGTAGGTGAGCAGAACAGCAGGCAGGTTTCCCGACACACGCCCTGCCAGAACAGTGTTTCTATTTTGTAAGTAAGATACCATTTTAGAAAAGTCTGCTGACCCAACCCTTTTGTTTCACAACTTAAGGAATTTTACATAAACACATTAAATAAATTTTGCAGGGAAAAAAATCATCAAGAGCATGTAAATACAAGGTTTGTACCAGACTTCAAAAGTCCAGCATTCTTATCACTACAATTCCCCGTGCCCATGTTTTACAAACAGCAGCCAGACTCCTAAACTTAAGGTATAGTACAGAACTCTTGCTAAAATCCCTCAAATGGCTCCTCATCTTTAGTAACAGCCAAAAGTTCTTACAGTGGCCTCCAAGATCCCATATGATCAATGTACACCACTATTCAGCATCAATCTGTATCATACGTATTTCTCCAACCTTTTCTTACCTTTCTTCTCAATCACTGAACTCCGATTCTACTAACCTTTTGAGATTGTTTAAATGGCCTCATACAGTAACAACTTCTACTTTGGGGCATTTGGATTTATTACCTCTGCCTAAAACATTCTTCTCCCATATTCCCACAAAGCTTGGTCAATTAGTTCTTTCAGATCTCTGCAAAAATGCCACCTTCCCAAGGAAGTCTTCTCTGATCATCTTCTATAAAATAACAATAGGTTTATTCTTTTTTCCATGGCACTTATTACACTGACACATTTATGCATGTACTTCCTGTCTTTCCAGCACCAACATAAGCTCTTCAAGGGCTACGGCCATTTTTATATATTGTTCAGTCCCTTTCACTAGAAACAGTGACACCAAGTTAAGAACTTAAATGCTGCTTGAATTGTGTTTTCATCAGAATTTGTAAAAATTTTCTTATAGTGTCGATATGAAAAAAGGTGAAACAGTGACTTAAGGCTCCCAAAAATGTTATTTGAATGATTCTCATGAATGTGTACTAGAGGCTCCCCAACAAGTAGTTCACTTTAGTTTTACATTCCAGTATAGTAGGATGTGAAATAAGAGAAAGAGAATACCATCAATACAAGTTCTGCAGTACTCAAGGTCTTAACTGTCCACAAAGAATTTCTTCCTTCCCTATCTCATTTCAAGGTTCCTCTTTCAAAAAGGTAAAGAACCAGGGGCTGGGGATTTAGCTAAGCGGCATAAGCACCTGCCTTGCAAGCAGGTGGTCGTGAGTTCAATCCCTGGTACTAAAAAAAAAAAAAGGTAAGGAACCACTAGACCAAAGACTGGCTAAATCGCAGCTTTGGAATGAACCTCTATTAAATCTCTATAAATTGCAGATAAAAACTAGAATGGAGCCAGGCATGGTGGTATGTAACTATAATCCTAGCACTTGAGGGGCTAAGGCAGGAGGATGTGAGTCTGAGGCCAGCCTGGGCTATATAGTGAGTTCAAGGCAAGCCCAAACACATAGCCTCTCAACTGAATCATGTAGAATTTTTTATTTCAGTGATCAAAAAAATGCAGCCAGTGGAATCTATAATGATTGAAATCAGGCATACACCTCTACATGAAATTGCTGTTAATTGCTCACTGACTTAAATCTTTATAATTTCTTTAGACACATCTTTGAACTTTCTGTGTCCTGATATACAAGATAGGTTAACTTCTTCCTATAGCCATCAAATAATGAGAATTATATTTACTGGCTAGATTCCTTTATAACACAGGCCTCTAGATTCTAGGGTTGTCTGGTCTACCTTGAACCCATAATTTAATATGTAAATTATGTCAATTATGGTGTTGGGGAGGGAGATATCCTAGAAAGCTGAAATGCATTGTACAAATACTCCATAGATTTTTTTGTTCAATACTGATAGTCAATCACTAAAATGCCCAGTTTACTGCCAATTTGTTCTTCTCTCATTGCTGTCCTTTTTGACAGACACAAAAATTTCCCCAAAAATCTGAAACGGATTCACACAAATAGATTTTACCCATGCAGCTCCACTATCTAAATATAGAAAGCAGTTCCACTATCAAAATCATAGAAAGCAGTTAAGGGGACTTTGAGAAAAGTGTAGTCCCATATACAGTAATATACATCTAATAATTTCCCATTCATCTATCAATTATTTTCACAAGATTAGCATTAAAAATATAACCAAATATACAAATAACCTTAAACCCCACACAAAAATTTGGTTTTTGCTCATTTTCAGATGTCCCAAGAATGACAAACGGTGAGAGTTAATTCCCCCATAGCCATTTCTTCACCATCCCATCAACAGTTCTTCATTTCTTGAACTACCTTCCTTTTCCAAAGAAGTCATGCTGAAATCAGTCAGAAAGACTTTCTGAGAAGACTGGCTTGGATTTCTGGGTCTGTTCCAGTCGATTCAAGATGAACTGGCTTGTATCGATGAAGCGCTCAACACAGTTCACAAAACAGGCCTCGGCCCGACTGTCCAACTTTGGCCCAGGCTTGTCCATGCACTTTTCCTGCTCAGGACAAGATACAGAATTAAAAAGGAATCTGGGGTGAGGGGTGATGATGACTGGACAGGACAGATGACTTCTTATTGTTTCTAATAAGACACACCACCTAAAAACAGTATCTGGTATATTACTAGCATTTCACACTTGTTAGCTTACCCAAAACTTAGATTCTCACAAAAATCCTATGGAATAGATGCTATTAATCCTTATCTTATGAAGAGGGAAACTGCAACAGAGATATTTTACCCTAAGTCATAGGACCAAAAAATGGTGAATCTGAGATTTTACACAGCGACAACACACAGATGAAGTTACATTTTGCTGAACTCCACATGTAACTCCACAATGATGTAACTCCACAATGTAACTCCACAATGATGTAACTCCAGATGTAACTCCACAATGATGTTTGTGTTAAAAGGCTTTAACTGAATTGCTGAAAGCTGGGCATGGTGGCACATGCCTGTAATCCCAGCACTGGGGAGACTGAGGCAGGAGGAATGTTGCAAATTCGAGACCAATTTGGGCTACAAAGTGAGGTCAAGACCAGCCTGAACTGCAGAGCAAGACTTTGTCTCAAAAAGACAAAAAAAAAAAAGAAAAGAAAAGAAAAAAGAATTGAGATCTCATAACCTTGTTTACCAAAGCCTAATGTTCCTGAATCTTCTCACAAGGAATGAAAAATTGTCTGAAATTTCCCAAAGGGTACACAGCTTAACAGACTCTTAAAAGTAGTCTTTAGCCACACTCCTCCTACTACAAATGTAATGCATAAAAATATTAAAAAGAAGAAACCAAAGCATGGCTCAGAGCCTCTGCGTTTTGTGGCACATTCTTGTTTTGTTTTTTTTTTTTTTTTTTGTTTTTTTTTTTTTTTTTTTTTTTTTGTCTTTTTCCTTTTTATCGGTACCAGGGATCGAACTCACGACTGCCTGCTTGCAAGGCAGGCGCTTATGCCGCTGAGCTAAATCCCCAGCCCTGTGGCACATTCTTGTAATCCCTGCATTCAGGAGGTGGAGGTAGGAGGATCACTGCAAATTCAGGGACAGCCTAAACTACATAGCAAGACCCTGTTTCAAAATAAAAGATAAAAAAATTCAAAGCACTCTCGTCGAAGGCAGATAAAATTAAAGCATTTGGTAAAGGTTATAGTCCAATAATACTATTAAGTTTATGGGAAAGGGACAGTGGAAATTGATGGCTGTATATGGTTCAAAGTTAAAATAAACTTCATTTATAATTCTGTTGTATATAAAAACCTCAGACCCTCCAATTCCCTTAGGCATATTACCCTTAGCCTCTAAATGAGGCTCTTACATGAGTTTGTACTCGAGGAAGGGAAATGTGCTGTCCTTGACAAGCAGAACACTTTGATCTCAACCTGCAAATGCCTTCCACCCTTTGCCAAAGTCCCTTAATAGGACCCAATGAATTCAACCTTCAGACCCGAAACGGTTTGCTATTACACAACAACCCAACAAGTAGGCAAATAAATGTGTATATTGGAAGTGATCATGCCCCTTTTATATTTAGTGGGCTAGAATCAAAGTAAATCATGAAGATTCCAGCACTCAGCAGATTCACGGACTCTCCCCAGAGAGGGATTCAGGCTCCCCGAAATAAATCCCAGTAGTGGGGGATCTGATCAGTCTAGACCAGCACTAAACAGCTTCCACCTCAGGTGCCTGAAAGTGCTGGGTGGCACATCCGCCTAAGTCTGCCATCCCCAGTCCTCTGCACCAACAAAGCAGAGGTCCGGAGAGACAGTCCACTGAGGAATGGAGTAGCCCCCTCGCTTGGCCTAAGGAACCTGAGAAAACCAGGGAGTGCTGCCGGGTCCACCTTCTTCCCAAATCCCCGACGCTGTAAGGAGAAGCTCGGGGCAAGGACAGAGGGAAAGTAGATTGTGTCCACACCCCGTCCCTAGGATCCTCACCCAACAAAGTTCAGTCATCTGATGCACCAGCTGCTGGAATCGCTGCTTCTGAGTCTCTACCTCGATGAAATGCTGCAATTGTGGGTCCACTGTGCCCAAACCCGCCGCAGAAGACAAGGAGGAGGAATCCATCCCAGCTGAACCGCGCTAGCCTACACGGATTCAGCCCCAATTCGCCGACCTTCACGTGTCTTGGCAACGGAACCGGAACCACAACCCACGGCCTCGGGGCCGCCCCACTAATGCACTGCGTCTGCGCGAGGCCTGCGCGGAGCCGCCCAGTGGCCATAGCCTCCAGCTCCTGGGACGGGCGCTACGCTCACCCGGGCGACGCTGCTTTCTCCCCAAGGGCTGGGCTCTCCAGGCCGCAAACCGGTAGCAGCGCCTGGCCTATGCCTCCAGGCTGCGGCGCGCTCAGGCAGTTAATCCAAAAATAAGAGAAGAGGGGAAAAGGAAGTTACTTCAGCCCACGTGGCCCATTGCGGGCGGGCCCAACAGCTCCGCCTCTGGCCGCCTCCAAGTCGGTCCGCGCTTTCGCAGCAAAGGGATATTTCAGATTCCGGACTGCTGGCCTCTTAATTGGCCTTCACTTTAATGTTTGGTGGAATTTTCCTATCTTGATTTAGGGAAACGAGGTTCTGGCAGAGTTTGTCCCCAACTTTAAATTCATTCAAGTGATACTTAATTTCTGCAGTGTGCCAATCATTGTGTTTTGGCTTGTGCATTCATCTTGGATTCAGAAGCAGAATTCAACTAGAACCACAGCGGTTAAAAGTCAAAGATCCTGTCGCGTTCTTAATGTAGGAATGTGTCAAAGCAGTGCCACACAATTTTCTGCAACTTCAGGTAGGGAGCCTCAGCTAGACTGCGTAATTGAAATATGAGACTTTTTTACTCTTTTCAGGATTTTATTTTATCAAAATAGCCCACTCATTTTAATGACAAACTTACTCTTTTGGGTTTTGTTACTTTAAGATAAGATCTTGCTATATACTTCAGGCTGGCCTGGAATTTACTATGTATTCCAAGCTGGCCTCCAACTCAGTGATCCTTTTGTCTTAGCCTCCCCCGTGCTGAGATTACAGGCATACACCACCATGCCCAGTGATCCCGTTTTACTCTTAGCAAATCCTGACCCACTACCTAACTCTAATACTCCTGTAGGAATCCTTAGAAGTTATTTACACCCCTCCCTCCCTAAAAAGGTTTCCCTCCCAAATTCAGTCTGTCTTAATAGCATTGGGAAATTTACTCTCTTAGGGGAGGGAGGGGAGATATTAGGTACAAAAATTCGTTTGGTTTTGCTCAGAAACACTATTTCAGGGAATCAAAGAAAAGAGACATTCCTGGATATACAGGGGCCTTCGTGTATTCAGGAGAAGCAGAAAGACTCCAAAGCCTGTAAGCCTGGGATTTCTTCTGAGAAAGTGAAATTGGGGCTTGTAGAAGTGAGGAGTAGAAAACTAATAAGGTGATGGGCCAGCTCAAGATTCTTCATCCATGACATCTAGAATGTTGCTCAGGAGAATTTTGAATGTGGGACGCTCATCTGCTTTCTGAAACCAAAGAAAAATGGAGTGTTATAGTAGCTAGATTCCAAGGGAAATGCAGTAGTAAGCAACAAATGTTTATTAAGTATATACTATACGCCCAACAGCATACCTTGTTGATTAACACCCCCCCCAAAAAAAAAGGTGATACAGGGGATAGTGGTTGTTAAAGATGTGGCTCAGTAATAGAGAGCTTGCCAAGCATGTACAGGGACCTAGGTTTGACCACTAGACTGCCAAAAATTAATAGTTCTTCATAAGTAAATCTTTATGTACCTTTTAATCTTTTGTAACTCAGGTTATTAGTGTAATAACAATTTACAAATTAAACATTGATTTAAACCAAGGGCAAGTTTATTACATAATGGACAGTGCATTATTTTGGAGCTTCAGAGAAAAATGGCTACCAAAACACCAGTTAGTAGCTGATAGAACAAAAATTCTACAAGCTACAACAATGTTTAAGTTTGCTTTCAAACATTGTTTCAATCAGTCCAAAGCCACAGTGAACAAACAGCTGAACATTTCAAAAACCACAGACTGTCTGTGGGCAGGAGCCTTGAACACTTGGGCCCTTTTGTTAATGTAGCTTTCCAACTAAGACTGTTTTTTGACAGTTAAGGTTCATAAACTCCTGAGGTATTTGATGATCCAGGAACATTCATGCCAGGAATGATCTCAGTCTATCAAAGCCAAAAGGTCATCGGTTTCTCTGTCCTTTAAGTTTAAAAAGATTTCTGGATTTCCATTTCAGAAAGATCTGATCAGAATTTATGGGGAAGAGCACCAAGTAAACTATATTTTTTAAGAATATCTCAGGGATTCTAATATGAATCTACTTTTGTGACCACTACTTTAAATAGGCTGGGGAGACAGTGCCACCTGAAAAAGAGTAGTTTTGTTTTGTTTTTTTTACTTTTTATTTTATTGGTACATTTAGATATACATAGTGGTAACATTCATCATAGGCAATTTGTATATGTACGTTGTATAACTTGCTTCGTCTTTTTTCCCCCATTCCCCTCCCCTCCCTCAGCCCCTCCTCCTCTTTTTATTTACAAAAACTTTGTGAAATACAGTTTTTAACAAGCAGAAGGTTAGAAGGGAGGGAGCATAGTCAATCAGCCCTAATCCTAAATCACACAAGAAAATTACTCCAAAGGGTTTTCCCTTCCTCCATACTTTCTTTGTGACCTCTGTCATTTGTTCAAGATAAAAGAGCCCTGCACTGATTCAGATATCCAATTTTATCCCACCAACAGTGCTTTTGGATACTATCTTTCCCATTTCTGATGAGGCAGAACTAAGAGATGAGCATTTATTTCCAACTAAAGGGTGGGGTTGCCAAATATTTACTGAAAAGTGGAGAAAGCACCTTAGAAATAGCCCAAGGTGGAAGCAGAAAAGCATTTTTTTAAACTGTAAGGTTTGGGAGGGACCTAAAATAGGTAGTTAGGGGTTGCTTTTACTATAGTGCAAAACTTTCTTTTCTTTTGAATGTATATATCCTTAAAGCGAGTCATATTGGCTGTATTGATGTCTGCTGATAATAACTATAGTGAGAATTGGAGTGGCCTGGGAAAGCCTGTGGCCATCAGAGGATATGGGGGCAGGCCATGATCAGAAAACATGTGCAATTCTCAGTTGGTGCTCAGCTGTCATGTGGCTATGGAGAGTGGGGACTGGCCAGCTAAATGAGGAAGTAGGCTGAAGGAAATTAGGAGGTCACATTGAAACACTTACCTCATGCCAGCAGCTGTACATGATGGTATATACTCTCTCTGAAGCCAGATGAGGCCTATAGAGACGTAGGCCTTGGGCAATGTGTTCAGCAGTCTCACTATTAGTAAATCTTTCATATGGCATCTTCCCCAGGGAGTAAATTTCCCACATTAAAACCCCTAGCAGTGAAAAAAAAATTACTTCAGTTTGCAGTCTTTGAGGACAGTAGAATTCCTAGTTTTCCTAGATCAATCTCAAAGATTGCAATCAGTTGGTTAGCCCCTATGTTCTTTTGAATTTTGTCCAGGCTCTTGCCACAGTACCAACTACACTGAATATCTATCACAGTTACATTCTAGACCATTATCTACTATAGAAGAGAGATGGCAACTTACTTGCTTTTGTAGTTTCAAGTTCTGGCAAAGTGCCTCAGTGATGGTGAACCTTTTAGAGCTTTCAACAACAACAAACAGCCCCCTGCAGCACACATGCCATAGGTTCACCACCACTGAAAATAATCAGTGTTCAGGAACTGTTGAATACTGAATCGGTTCCCTCAATATATTGTTGAATTCTAAGGAGGCAGAGATCTTGTCCAGTTTACTGTTTTTATTCTCAGAAAATTCTAAGGTTCCTGACACATAATACTCCCTAGGGAACAGGTAAATGAAAACAAAAATAATTTCTCTGTGGAGGTTGCAAAGTGTGAATTTTGCCATTCCTTTTCTTGTGAGCTGTATAACTTGGAATATTGAAACATGGTCTCACTATGTAGCTCAGGCTGTCCTTGGACTCACTGTGTAGTCCAGGCTGGCCTTGAACTCATGACAATTCTCCTGCCTCAGCCTCCATAGTGCTGGCCTTACAGATGTGTGCTACCATGCCCCGTTTCTTAATTTGAATAATTTAGCCACTTACCAAAAGCCCAAATATCAGATTTACTGCTGAACTTGCTATACATAAGGACCTCTGGTGGAGACCACCGCACGGGAAACTTGGAGCCTACTGAGCTGGTGTATTCATCATCCAAGACATACCTACAAGGGATGCAAGATATGTTTCCATTAGGATTTAGAGAGCCTGATATTGCTCTAGTAGGTATTCTTTCTACTTCTGTACCCTTCTTTTTTGTTCTCCTTTCCTTTCTTATATTGTACAGTTGCCAAGGTGGGATAAGACTAATAAGGACAATTTAAGAAAGAAGGATGGAGGAAAGTCAACAGGATTAACAGATCAAGATAAGACCCTGGGGAAATAGCTTTTTTAAAAGGGGGCAGAGATAAAGGAAAAAGGGAGAAGGATACAACAATGCAACAAAAGAATGAAAGAAGTGGCCTAAATCAGAGAAGGAAAATGAATAGAAAGGTGGTAGGAAGCACTAGCACTAAGCCTAGAAGAGAAAAAGAAAAGCAGGGAATTTAAACCTATTTACTTCCCCATGTTTGTACTGTGATATTTTTACTTACAAAGGGAAAAATGAGAAGGATATACTCACCTGGACAGGCCAAAATCAGATACTTTTACAACTCCTTGATCGTTTACCAAACAGTTTCGAGCAGCCTGTAGTGCAACAAGGACTAGTGAGACCCCCACCCCGGCATACAGGTTAAGTGCACAAAGCTTCTGCTTACTAGTGGAATGAAGCCAGGAATACCTTCAACTAGAGAGACCTTCCCACCTAATAGGAAGCTAAATGCTCCCTGTTAGCTAAGTGGTATCAGCTGGTACCACTGAAAAAGTCTGATTCATTTCTATCATGTGGAAAGCAATCTGTTGTGTAGTTCTAAGTAAAGCACCGAATACATACAAAATGATTTCATTCACATGGGCAATTCCACAACACTGCTTCCTTCACTGAAATGTTGGGAGGATTAAGGGAAAGGGGAGATAAATTTGTTTTGTTTTATGCCTTTTGGCCTGTGAAACTAGGGTAATTTAAGTGTTGACCTGGCTAAAAGAAACATCCACCAACTCTGATGCTTCGAGGAGCCAGAAAGAGTGTAGTGGGGCCAGGTGGAAATTGCAAGAAGTAAAGAGAACAGCTTTGGCTCCAGATAATTGTTAAATGGTTTGTAAGAATGTGGGCCCAATGTTCCAATACAATCTCCATTTTCTAGAGAAGCTAGAAATTCCAGTTGCTTTTTAAAAATGTGAAATGTTTAAGTGTTTAACTATTACAAAACATTTTTTAAATCACCTGCATGAGCCAAATGCACCAACAGGGCCCCAGCTGGATTCTGATATAACTAAATAATCACTCTGATCCCAGAAGCAGTTCTATTGGGAAGCAGAGAATTTTCCTTCTGTTTTGAATCCAGAATGGGTACTAAATGACCCCACTATTTTCTTGTGAGTCACAGGGAGCTGGGCCTGAGTGGCTGCTCCTAGTTCACACTGTATGTGACCAAATGCAGTTGAGGCTGGACAAAGTAGAGCGGCTCATCACTGGGGCAGCAGCACATTTGTTAGTGTTTTCTAGATAAAAGCGAAATGCTGGCCTCCACAACCCTCCTAACATTGTATATCTTCTACTGATACTTCCACCCTCTCGGCCCACAATCCCTAACCAGTCCTGAAGTCCCACCAGGTCTCGGTGAAGGAATTGCTTTGATTCCAGGTATTCCATGGCCTCACAGACATCCTTGCACATCTCCAGCAGCTGCTGAGTCTGGAAACGGTGGCGCATCTCCCTCAGGTAGTTCAGGAGGCAGCCGTTGGCCATGTACTCAGTGATGATGAAGATGGGACGCTGTTTGGTGCAGACACCATACAACTGCACCAGCTTCTCATGGGAAAGATTCCTATAGGAGAGGCAATCAACTAGTCCTCCCCTTGAGTCTGCACACTAGTTATAAAGGGGTGAGGGAGGAAAGGGATTGACCTAGAATATATATCAGATGAAGTATCACCATAGTGAGTTTATCTTTTTCTTGCTACCACAAACCCCCAAAGAGTCTAGTATGTGGAGGCAAACAGGGCTTTAGAGCCTATCAACTGAAATAATTCTAGGACTGAAGGAATACTCAGGCTAAATTAGAACCATCCTTTGTTTTGAAAGTCTCATTTTCTACATCTACACCCCCCTCCAATGCTACAGAGATGGTACATAGTCATAATCAATACTATTCTCAACTAGTATCTGAGGCAGTGAAATGATTACCTTAGCGGTTAGAACTCTCACCAATTAAAGGTCAACCTCAGGCTCTTATCCCAGATTTCTTTCACCTTAGGCCACAGTGGGTTGTCCTGGTAATTCCTAGATACCAGTGACTGGACTGAGGTGCTGAATTTGGGTTGTAACTCACATCATGACTTTGGCTTCTTCAATGAACTCATCCTCAGACATGGAGCCTTCTCTGATCATCTTGATGGCCACATCATACTGGCCTCTCCATTTACCATATTTCACTACCCCAAATTGACCAGTCCCAAGTTCCTTCAAGAAAGTCAGGTCCTTTGGGTCGATTTCCCATGATCCTAACAAAAAAGTCTTAGTGTCATTCTTTAGGGCAACATGTATATATAATACCTATGTATATCATAATACCTATGATAGATAAGAATTCCCCTAAGGATTCTTCTTTACCGTGACACAGGAAAATCTGTAAAGGGGAAATTCTCAGGGGTACTAATCTATGTATATTTGGGTAAATATCAGGGACAAGGGGTTATTGGTTGAAAGCATCTTGAAACTTTAGGTTCAAGTTGGTCATAGGCAAGAAAATTAATTAAACAACCTCCTTTAAACCCTTTATGATTATGTAATGACTACAACTAAACTCAAGGTTAGTGCTGAAAATTTTTACCACAATTAAAAATAAATAACAAAAAGATCCTTAAGGACAAATCTCTTTGTGATTCTATGTTTTGCAGTCCAAGGAGGAGCCACTAGAAGGATAAAATCATTAAATAACTTTTGCTTGGCTCTCTCTTGACTTTTCTTGAGGCCACTGGTGCAGAAGCATATACTTCAAAGAGCAATCCTTAAGACAAGGTCTGCAAAAGAAGTCCTTGCAACCAGCCAGTTTACCCCAGAGAAATAAGCAGTTACCATAGCCCAAGCCTGCAGTAGATGGTGCATTCTTGTTTTGTTGAGACACTGGATATTTCAACCTGGATATGAGTCCTGAAACATACAGAGAGGTCACACTGTCGGCGAAGCACAGGGTGTGGCATGCCTCATGTATCCACACTTAGAGCCTCAGACTTTCAGTATGCTGCTTTCTAGTACATGAATGCACATTTTTCTGGAAATTGCTCAAAAAAAGTTTTCATAGACAGTGGAAAAACACTAAATAAAATATACTCCTATGAAATATATTCCCACTTATCAGCCCATATTTAGTTTACAGGCTACCTTCTCAATGAAGATTTTCTCTTGTATTTATGCTCTCATCTATCTCTATTTTTAGAATTTCTATACTACTTAGAAACTGTCTCCTTTTAGGGTGGGGGATTTAACTCAGTGGTATAAGTGCATGCCTGGCAAGCAGGAGGTTGTGAGTTTGATCCCCAGTACCAAAAAATGGGGAAAAAAAGAAACTGTCCTCTGATGATGTCTAATCTGTATATTCTTTGACAACAGGGACCTGAATTTAGAATTTTCCTATGTTTTCTCTGAGAACCAAGGAAACTGCTGAATACACAGTAGGAACATGAATAATTGTTAATGAATATTTGCCAGTTAGTCATTAGCATCTTCTGTGTCTTAGCACTGAGCATCAATAACTAAATAATAAGCTAGTCCCTCTTGTGTGTAAAGTTTAATGACTTCTTAACTAGACTCATGGCCACCATCACAGGAGATTACTTTCACAGATTACTTTAACAGCTAATTCACGCTATCTGATGCAGCATATTCTTCTCTTCACTACTTGTCTAATTGATTCTCTTGGTGTTCCAGAAGTTTTTCTTTTGCCTCTGGTACTCACCTGCAGAGTTATGTTGATGATAGTTAATGAGCTCAGGAATGGTGCTGAAAAGATGTTTCTCAGCCAGGTAATACTGGCTCTGAGGTGTAGAACACACAACATAATGGCGAATCACCCCTTGAGGGTCCCTGAAGAAGTGGATGCTTAGTCAGTAACTTGGGCACAGGAATCTTTATGAGTCGAAACGTGAAGTGAGATGAATTTTGAGTTTAAGGGGCAGAGGAAGCTAGGTTTGGTGCACACCTATTATCTCAGAGCTGTGGGAGGCAGAGGCAGGAGAATCTCAGGTTTGAGCCCAACCTGGGCAATTTAGTATCGTAGTGAAACTCTGTCTCAAACCACAAAGTGAAAGGGAGCTGGGGATCTATCTCAGGGTGAAAACCCTAGGTTCAGTCCCTAGTACTGAAGAAAAAATCCGAGAGACAGAGGAATTAAGAGAGACACATCATTTAGGAGCTGTTAGGAGGGAACGTCTGTCCTTGTCTCCAAGACCTTGGAACAGCAGCACTCACCCAGTAGATTTAGCAAACACAGAAACAGTGTATTTTCCAGCTTTGCTGGAGTCTCTGACAATGAAACCTCCTTCTTTACCCTGAAAAATGAAAAGGAACCTGAGTGTAGGAGGAAGTGGTGCCCGCATCTGCACCCCATCTGCCCACACCTGAGAGAAAATAGAGAACACCTCATTTTACTGCCAAGTTCCATGCTTTAGCTATAGCTTTCTTGCTTTTAATACTGAAAAGTGCAATTGAGACTCCAGATGAAGGGGTCCTTGACATTGCCTTGAAGGTGGTGAGTAAAGCAGTTCAGGATCCTTGCTTATTGTGCACAAAGAATGCTACTTGCTGTGAGCCCACACTCACCTCTTGCTTTAGTAGTTGCTCAGCTTGACTGCGAGTCATATGTTTGGAATACCACCTGTGAAGAGAGAATGCTTGTATGGTTCCTAGAACATAAATAGGTGGGAAGTCAGAACACCCTTCAGGGCTTATCCCAGCGTGTGATTCAGTCAAATAACCCAAAGCTTCTTTATAGAGAGTTTACTATGTGCATAGCACACAGCATCTTTTCCCAAGCTGAGAGTGGCAGTGAAGATTTATGGAAATGGAAAGTTGAGGGTATAAGAAGGCTTCAAAGTTTGCAAGGAAGAGATTTGGGAGTATGTTCCTCTTGGACAATCCACTTTATGATTAGGGAGAGAAGTTTGGAATTTTTATCCTTTCCATTGTTTCCCAGCAGGTTGTTACTCTTTTGTGTATGCTTCTTTTAGATCTGGAAGCATAGAAACCTCTCTGGAACTCACATGCTAGAGGGTATTTGGAACATAAACGCTAGAGGGTGAGTAGAACATAGACCCTAACGGGGTGGTGGCAACATTTGACCCAGCCAACACAACTTTAATTTGTTTTGAGACAGGGTCTCACTGTGCAGGTCAGGCTGGCCTTGGGCTCACTTTGTAGCTCAGGCTGGTCTCCAACTTGAAATGACTCTCCTGCCTCAGCCTTCCAAGTGCTGGGAGAACAGGAATGCACCACTACTCCTGGCAATGCTAACTTTAATATGTACTTTGAAATAAAAAGTTTGTTGAAAGTATAAAATAGTATATACTATATTGTGTTTCTCCTGGAAGATTGTGTGTTGGGAACAAGCATACTCACTCATACATTTCTATGGAGTCTTCTGCTTCAGTAACATAGTTACTAGGGATGTAGCCTTCCTGCCTGTAGAGAAGACAGTGTGATAGATCATACAGCATTTCCCCATTCTCAGGAGGCAGATGTATGTACTTACATCCCTGAGCTCAGAATCAATATCAAATTATATATATATATATATATATATATATATATATGTATATAATATCCTCCCTCAAAGAAAAACACATCTGATTAGACCAGTAAAGGGCAGAACTCCTGAACATGTGACATTAGTTATATGCACATGACAAATGACAACCGATTCTGAGATGACAGAGGCCACCTATGGAGCTGCACAGTAGAAAATATTCACTGGAAAATATTCACTTTGATGCGAGAAGAACAATTTCTGATAAGAACACTGAGCAGGAAGAGGTTTTTTTGCAGCAGTTTGCATAGGTGTATAGTAGGCAGGCATGAGATCAAAGAAAGCTGGCATAGGCGCACCCATTTTTATCTCGTGCTCTCCACCATGGTAGGTTACTCTCCTCCAGGATGAAATACTCTTCACCCTTCCGCAGCTGTAGGTCATTTGCATTCATTGGCATGTAATCATAAAGGGCTACAACTTTTTTCAGCTCACTTGCAGAGACTGGTGTTGCTGTTGGCTCAGGAGGCAGTGGCTTTTTCAGGATCTGTGTAGTTAGCAGAAAAAGAGTGTATGGAGTTGGCGAGTCATCAGGCACTCTTTCTTCCCAACTCTGGTTTATTAGAGACACCATTCTAACTCAAATCAGGCATAATAAAAGCTTTACTATGCATTCATTCAACAACCATTTTCAAGCACCTGTGCCAGGAGTCTCAACCTGGGGCACACGTGCATATCGTCTAGAGAGTATTTAACAACCCCAGCATCCAGATAGTTTCCTGCAAACCAATTATGTCAAAATGTTAAGAGTGAGTCCATGTACAGTCAAGGCCAGGAAAGCTGCTAGTACTAACTAGTACATGGGCTTACTAAATGGCTCTGAGACTCAGTTTCCCTCTTTATAAAATGATCATCACAATATCTGTCCTATTTACAATATATGATAAAGGACTTTCTGGATCTTGAAAAGTACCCAAAAAATCAAGTTTTAAGTAAAATTCTATCAGTGCAATCTAGGAGTTGGGGATATGGGAGTTCAGTGCTAAATTCTTTCAACTTTACTGTACATTTGAAAATATTCTTCATTAAAAATTTAAAAGCCATTTTCATTAAAAATGTTTCAGACAGGTGGTTGGCTTAAATGGTTACTAAGATCTACCTAATAACCCTCCATCTTTTCCTGAAGAGGAAGTCCTAAGTAGTATGACAAATTCTCTTTCTCAGCCAGAACAGCAGTTAATGCTTCTAAATTCCAGGGAATTCTAAGACTCTGGCGTGTTTTCAAAGTTTCACTGTAAAATTCCACTTAAGTAGTAACAGTGTGCAATTTCCCTTCGCAGAGGTACCTGGTCCTCCTCTGGTGTAGGGGGAAGAGGTTTTTTTGTCTTCCTGTGAGAACTCCCAGGTTTTAAGCCTGCAAAATAAGAAACCAATGATGACATGGAATGCATTAAGGAAAAAGCACAGGAGTAAGTTTGGTAAGGGACTTTGCTGTGGTACACAGTACGTTTTGGCAAGTTAGAAAAGGTGTCTGGATGCCAGACTACATAGTGTAGACAGCAGATTACCACGCCCACTAATCTCCTCCCCCAGGCCCGCTTGTGCAGTGGCTAAAATAGTCACTTATTCTGTGTCACTGGATTTGACAGACTATTTGGAGTGTGTTGGAAATACAGGGGGAGGAGGTTGGGCTGAGAATGAAGCTCAGTGACAGAGTGCGTGCCTAGCATATGCAAGAACCTGGATTCAGTCTCTGAACACACACATACAAAGGAAGAAATTATACTGATTGGATCTCTTACTTCCATTCCTGTTCTCCAAAATTTGGCAGCCCATAGCATTTTTGGCTGTCTGTGAGCAGCAGAGATACTGCCCATCAATCCAGAAGCAAGGATGATACTTCTGCACCAGATCACTGTTGTACCGGATTACTGTAACAGGAGAAAAAAAAAAAAGAGGAGAGATTACATCTGACAGGCAAAAAGAAGAAACCACCATTTCCATGTTTTCCTCTCTGAGCTTATTGGTAAGCTTCAAACAACAGCTTCCTCCTCAGCCACCCTAAAGGAAAGCAGACCATGAGCCAATTGGTTCACATGACTGTCCTGCCTGCCAGTGTGCCCTGGCTCCACACAGTTCCTGTGCAGTTGTCTTCAGTACCTCTCATGAGGAGTATCTCAAGTCAACATGATAAAAGAATATCTGATAGTTCCAGAAACATAGAAATATTATCTATGTTTTCCCCAGTAGCCATTAGTCTTCTTATAAAGCAGATATTATTTATGGCATTTGTTTTTCAGATAGCAAAACAATGTGCTTAAGTCAAACTCATACTCTATCTTTCAGGGATATTTGCCTTAATGAGAAGTTACAACATTAGGTTTTCTGTGTTTGCAGAATTGTCAATAGAGCTGAGTTCAAGATCAAATGATGGTAAGTTTGGCTCTAAGATAAGCATGGTAACAATTTTCCTACAGTCACTGAGCTAGGCTGAGTTCATTACCGGATATAAACACAGCACCTCTGTTTCCTTCACAGGGATGGAGGCTCGAGTGATCTCCAAGAAGCTTAAGTACTTTGTAAAGAGTCATATGAAGACAGAGAAGATTAGTATTACTGTTTACAATACTGTAGCATCTCAAGGCCTTCAGTTAGAAACAAACGTCCAGGGATCATAATGTGAGACAACTGAGAGAAGCAAAGACAATTGAAATGACTGACTAAATATCAAGTACTGTGTCAAAGACTCAAGCTGGTCTAAGAACATGCACATTTGAAGACTTGCCCATTTCAACATTTACTGCTAAGAAGCACCCCACATAATTTAAAAAGACAACATCAGAAACAAAACAAAATCTTTGTTGTAGAAAACAACTCAAGTCCTTAAGAGCTTGCTAGTTATACTCCACTCATTTAAGGGTTTGGGGCAGGTCTATCAGTTCTGGTGGGCTGGTACATTTTACTGTCAAATGAACAAAAGTGTTTTTCCCCCTTTCTTTCTTTTTTCTTTTTTTTTTTTTTTTTTTTTTTTTTTTTGTCTTTTTCCTTTTTATCGGTACCAGGGATTGAACTCATGACTGCCTGCTTGCGAGGCAGGCGCTTATACGGCTGAGCTAAATCCCCAGCCCCACCCCCTTTCTTTCTTTCTTCCCTAAATTTCTCAACAAGGACTTGAAGACGTCTAACCACTCTTCCCTGCCAGTCTTCACCCTATACCTTTTCAGCATTCCTCTTCACCAAGGCTAGGGTGGTGGGAGCTGCTCAGAGTGCAGATCATAAAGGGCTGTACTGCCTATAGAGAATTTTAAAACAGTAACAAAACTGGCCAAAAGTCTGTCTGCCTTTAGTTATTATTAAGCATTGGTATTTCTGAATGATATCACTGATATTCCTTATTACCAGGACTGATTGCTCCTACCACCTCCTCTTTCTTGACTCTACCCTCATGTCATTCACTCCCCTTTACCTGTTGTTTTAAAGACCCTCAGGTTCTCTGTGGTGTCTACAGGGCAGGGCACCAGTAGACATGCTAAGAATTCTTAATCAACAACTAGCCACTCCCTTGAACTAAGATATGAAACATGCAAATGAGGAGGAAATAAAGCTTCCTGCCTTCCCCACCCCCAGCACACTCATTAAGACCCTGCCCTACATTCACAAATAGTGTCTGCCTCTTAAGAAGTCCTCTGAAGATGGCACCCCTTATTTTGTTACTAATCTAGAAATAGTATTTCCAGCTTCTTAGAAGAGGATCACAAAAGCAGGGTGTTCATGTAGAAGACACTAGACACTAAGAAAAACTGCTTCACCAATGCACAGGTGCATTATCTGGGAAGCAGTTATGGTTGGTATACATTTTCCAAGTATTTGCTGGACTGGTCTTTGCTATGCATGTTTATCAGGATACTGCCTAAAATTCTGTTTCAGGCATGCATAGATCATTCCTCTCTACATATTGGTTATTGGAGTTTTGCCAATGCTGTTTCCCCATTGATTTTGGTGTGATGAGAACTTTGCTTATTTTTGATGTTGCAAATAGGATAGACTCTATTGAGATTGACCAAACAAAAATTCAGAAATAATGTAGGGCTGAGGTGTAGCTAAGTGGTAGAGAACATGCTTATCATGAGTGAGGGGCTGGGTTGTTAGTGGTTGTTTGTAAAATAGAAGTTTCCATTACCATGTTCAAGAAGTAGAAAGACAAGTCTATGGCTAAATGGGGATACAATTTCTGCATGCAAAGTAACATTGAGACAATATGGCAGCTAGATATGGGATAACTGAAGTCCTACTTTTAAAATTGAGGCATATAAAAAAGATAAGGTCAAGACATTTGTAGGTAAATGGATGCACCTTGAGATCACACTATTAAGGTAAATAAATCAGACACGTGTAAATATCACATTGTTTCTCTGGTATGAGAAACTCAAAGTGTACATAAGAACCAAAATATATAATAGCTATTGTGAAATAGGAAAAATAATTTCAAATGAGAAGAGGAACAAGGACGGGGGAAGGGGGAAGAGGAAAGGAAAAAAGAGAAAAGTGAGGAAAAAATGGAAATAAAATTTTTGTAAATAAGAAGAGGAAGAAGGGTTGAGGGGAAAGGAGGGCGATATTAAACAAAGAAGTAAGATGTGTCCAGTACAGGTGCAAATTCCCTATGATGAGTGTTATCATTTTATATATATATATATATATATATATATATATATATAAAATGTAGCGACAAAAATGTGAAAAGAAATAAAATTGAGGCATGACATATGTGATAATTAAATATATCTAAAATATAGAGTGAACCATATTTGTATACAATTGTTTAACATTCACTCAGATCTGGCACCTCTGAAATCTTCCTCATGCCCCTCCCTGGTCAGTGTGCCTGCAGATATAATTAGTATTCAGATGAAGTTACCTTTTTATATTAATGATTTCCAATAGTTGTGTTTTACCCAACAGAGAGATAAGAATCACTACCGTGGGGGTTGGTGGCTCCTAGGGTAGCTCATTTTTAGCCCTGCTAGCATTTGGGGCTATCCTGGGACTGTTAGGGATTTCATCTAAGTCTCCTATGGTACTTGTTGGTAGGTATCTACTTTTTGCTTCCTGTGATCAGTCCAGTCATATATGATAAGGAATACACCCAGATGGAACTACTGCAGAAATGCTTTCAGTGAAACAGCAGAGAAGAGAAGGCAAAACTGCACCTAACCACACTATCTCCCCACATAATAGCCCAGACGAAGTGACAGGGTTTCTATTTCAGCTTTATTTTTTAGCCTATGGTAATTTTACTTAGCTAATGAACATTAATATTAATGCGTAATCAACATGGTAAGGTTAACAATGGAGTACCCAAGACAACAAACCATATTTCTGTATCTTTGGTTATTATTCATACCTTCAACACAGTGGGCACTCAAAAAATACTTGGACTAAACTGTGACTGGTTTTGAAATTAGTATTAGAAATGTAAAGGAGCTACTAACTAACATGCCACAGTCTTTTTCTCTTGCTTTTTTCTCAGGTTGTCTGCCCCTTCTTATCCATCTATCAATGTGGTGCTCAAGTTGGTAGTAGTTGTTTACTCCCTCAGAAAAAAATCAATTAACACGACTATTTATTGATCCCTTTCTGTGTGCATGGCACTGTGTGCAAAGTACTGTGAAGGGAACTGGAGAAGTACAAATAAATATGCCCTCTGGAGCTCCTATCTCAGTCGCTGGGAATATTTTTCTGGCTTGAAAATAGCGCTTTGGTTCAAGCACAGAGTGTGGAGCCTAAATGCAATGCTTGAGCCAGCCATTTACTAACCGAGTGTCTCTGGGCAAGTTACTTAACCTCTTTGTAACACAGTTTTGTTATCTGTAAACTGACGGTGATGAAAATAACTGCCTTGTGTGGTTAATATGAAATGGCTCAGTTAATATGTGTGAAGAACTTAAAGAAGATCCTGGATCATAATGTACACTATTGGAGAGTTTGCTCATTTTTTTCACTCTCAAAGTTAAAGCAGGCCCATGAACTCAATATATGCCAAGAACAGATTGAAATGTGTCATGCAGGACAATACTTATTTGTAATACTCAGCATAACTTTACTGTAAAATATTTTGCAGCCAACTACATGTGAAATTTATGAACTTGGAAAGCAAGCAGAATAAAACTATGTAATGAGTTTAGGCTTATGACACCCAGGAATGTGGTAAGAATTCAGGCTCCACCACTCACTAACAATGTGCCCAGGAGAAAGTTAGGTGACCTGTCTGAGACTCTGTTCCTTCATCTGGAAATAGAAGAATAATATATACTTCATAAAATTATTGTGAGGATTAAATGAGTTCCTACATTTGAATCACTTGGCACAGAATCTGGCACATAATATGTGTTCATTAAGTGTTACTTCTGTTTTAGCCTAAATTGTAAAAAGTACATGAGTTAGTAACTATAAAGCATTTATCCCAGTGTCTGGCAAATAGCAAGAATTCAATAAATGATGCTTTTCTTCTTCTTTTCTCCTTTCGTCTTTCAGTTTGATAGACTTAGTGATTATAATTTCCACCAATAATACTTGCTTTCAAGGGAGTGAACAAGGCTGGTAGCCAGTTAACCACCGAGTATCAGAATCTGAATATTTATTAAGACAAAAGGCTGTCATGCAATAACCCAACCACGGTGTTATCAGGCTGCCCTCCTTCCTGTTTCTCTAGACAGCCTTTCCTGATGTCAACTCAACTAGCTAATCTTTTATCTTTTAGTCACTATATATATATATATATATATATATATATATATATGTGTGTGTGTGTGTGTGTGTGTGTGTGTGGTGTGTCTTGTACTGCAAGCATTTATAGTGAAGTTTATGTTAAAACACTACATGATCTATGTTAAATGCTAAAGTAGTGTTGAACTTTAAGTCCTCACAAAGCAAGGAGCATAAAATAGCTCCTTGGGAAATATTTATCTACAGTGCAGAAATGTACAGTGTTTTCTTACATGGTGCTTTATGGTGATACATGTACTTTCACATATATTATTGATTCATTTAATCTGTGTGTGTGTGTGTGTGTGTGTGTGTGTGTGTGTGTGTGCATGCACGCTGTAGGGATTGAACCCAGGACTTCACACACACTGGGCAAATGTTCACATACTGAGCCATACCCTTATCTCCTCATTTGATATTTAGGACAACTCTGGAGGTTTATTCAGCAAGCATTATCATTATCCCTATTCAGAAGAAGCTGACCTTCAAAGAAACTTATTGGCTTATTTGTGAGAATTCACTCAACTTGTAGGTGATAAAGGTTGTTTGATTTCAAGCACTCTCATATATCATTTATTTAATTTTTGGCGCTAATTATTTCATACTTAGGACTCTAAATATTGTGTAATCATTTGACAACACACACTTTTGTAAGTGGTGTAAAGAATGGGACTTGTTTTATAAACAGCAGAATCAGGGCCCACAATTACAAAACTGCACTAAATGTGGTGGAACGGGGTTGAAACTCTTAAATCTAATGTGCTATTTTTTATTCATATGATAAAATACTATACTGTATCACAATTATTGGGGCAAAATACAGTCCTTTTTCTGTCACTTTCTCTCCCTCATTTCTTTTTTCTGCTATACCTCCCTTCCTTTTTTCTCTTTCCATTCATTCTTTCTTCCTCTCTAGCTTTCTTCTTTCTCTTTCCCCATCTCCTTTCCCTCTTTCCTCTCTCTCTCCTTTCTTTTCTCTCTCTTTTCTTTCCTGTTATGGTTTGTGTCTAGATATCCCCCAAAGCATCATGCAATCATAGGGGTAGGCTTTACATAGACAGCTGAATCTATGCTTTATGATGCTTCAGTGCTGGGATTATGGGTATGAGTGCTACACCTGCCTTAGGGCATATAGCCTGCACACAATATAAGGGACAGAAAGAATTTTGGTCCTCTATTGTTGATTTTACTGTCTTCTGCAGCAATGAACTGTTGCTTCTCTGCCATGGGCCAGCCTGCTTGGAACTAGCCAATTATGAACTGAAACTTAAACAAATTGTAAGCTAAATAAACCTTTCCCCTTTTAACTTTGGTATTGGATATATTGTTTAAACAACAAAAAAAGTAACTAAGACATTTCCTTTCCTTTTTTCCTTTAAAAACTAGTTCACTTTCCAAATAATCCTTACCACTTTTGAGCTGGTGAATCCAACGCTTTCTCAGTTCTTCAGTTGGGGAGAAGACATAGAGAGGCCCTTCATCATATACAACCTAGAGCAATGGACACACAGACTTCAGCAATTAACATTCAGGAAAAAAAAACCAAGAAAGACTGAAGCAATGAATCTAAAGGTTCAACTTGGTATACTATCGCTGGGGATTTAGCTCAGTGGCATAAGTACCTGCCTTGCAAACAGGCAGTCGTGAGTTCGATCCCTGGTACCGATAAAAACGAAAAAGACAAAAAAAATTATACACAACTTGGTATACTATTGTAGAAAACAAAGGCAAGGTCTTCAGTCAGCAGTTGTTCAAAAGTTGTGTGAACTACCTGAAGTATTTCAGAACTTCTTATTTTCATGGATGTAGAAGACTTAGAAGTGATTCCTTCTTTAAATACTCTCATGTCCTCTTAATTTGTGTGTACATTTAGTCCATAATGTTTCCCTTAGCCTTTGGTAGAGGTAGGGCTTTTGTTTCTCCAACAAAAATAGATCTTATTTTATAATGTTATTGTTAAACTTAGAAAACTGAATTTTGAATTTATGATACAGAAGATAATTAAAGTAATCATCTATATAATTCTTATTTACTTTTTTTGTACCGGGAATCAAACTCATGACCTTGCACTTGCCAGGCAGGCACTTATGCTGAGCTATATCCCCATCCCATATCTTAACTTATTTATTTTTATAACTTAAGATTTGATAAATATATACAGATCATTTACTTAAGTAATATGGAGCAAAGTTTTAATTCATAGCTAATGCTCCTACCTAGTAGCTTCCTACTGGCAGGACAAACCAAAATAAACCAAATTTGGACCACAAACTTACTTCAGCAAGAGAAAAGTATATAAGTGCAAAATTAAATCATTCAGTATTTTTTAAAGATTTATCATGTTCAAGACATCTTGTAAGTATTAAGGAGATGTGACTTAACCTTTAGAGAGTTCATATATAACACAATGAATTCTAAAGTCAGATATAAATCAAATATGAATTAGCTATTGCTTAGCATTATCTACTAGCACAATTTAACATCATCTTGTTCAAGACAATTGTAGTTAAATCTACATCAAAAGTACCTTCCTTCACACAGATTTTGAAATACTCAGGAATATAAATAAGGTCCTTTTGTATTTTTTTGTTGCTTGTTAGTCTTGCTGTGCTCATAAACCAACCAAAGAAAGCCCCTTCCCTTGAGACTTTCCATTTTCTTTGCTGGCTTTCACTCTTGCAGAGGATGCTGTATTCACAGCAAGGGGCCTCCAGCATTCTGAGGCCATTAGAAATCCGAAGTGAAGAGCAAATCTTGCTCTCCTTTATGGCTTACGCTGTATCTATTTAACAGATGCTTATGTGGCTGAGTTTTTAGATATTTCAGACTAGAATTTAAGTCTATGCATAAATCCAAACAATCCTTTCCCATATTGAACTTTCTAATACTGCTCCTTCCCTCCCTTTTTCTGTCTTTTCAACACACATGACCACCGTTATTCTGATAGGTAGAAAGAAAAAGAAGTGAAATGCTCACTCAACAAGCAGAGCATCTTTCTCAATGCAGTTATCATAAACAAGAAACACCATAATAAAATTGGTGCTGTTACATATTATTTTTGAGGTACCCAAGGGAAAAGAAATTATGTTGGTTGGAAAAATAGAAAAACAAACATGCTCCGCCCTGTGAGTCATATTTATTGGTCCAATGGAACCCTTACTAGGATAGGCCACAACCATCTGCTGGGTTGTTTACCAAAAGATACACTTACAATTATACATATGTATCTTTCACTGCTCAAAAAATAACTCTCAAGGTCTCCCAGAGCCATTGTCAGGAAAGTAACTATCAGAAGAACAACTTGTACCTGTCCAAGACTCCATAGGCCAACAGAATCCCAGTTTTGGTAATTACCAGTCAACAAACTGCACTAACCTAGACTGATTTACACAAACTAACCCTTTGTACTTATATTTCTCTGGCTCAAAGCCTCTATGCTCCCTCTTCTTATTTGCTTTTAGTTGACTTTAAAAATCACTAATTCTATGGAGAGGGTAAGGTATAAAAATGATCAAAATATTATATTTATATATATTTCTCTAAGCAAATATAATTATTGACACAAATATATACCAATTGGATTTTAAAAAGTCAAAGCTAAAAAAGAAAAATTTAACTAAAAATTAACTTTATAACAACAAAATCACTAATTCTAGAAATCCTGAAGCTGACTACCACTAGTCTCACACTCTCTTTGCTGTAGATAACATCTCTACCTGTGGGTCATAATACTGGTTGCCTAGGTTACTTTTTAGGGAAGTGAAAATCACTTCTTTCACTTGGTCCTATTCTTCACTTGGTCTTCGGCAGGTGTCAAGTGAGTGACCTTCTGACATCAGTAGAACAAATACTGTACTCTTAGATTATGCTAATGCCACCATTCTCTAAACACACATCTCATGAATACCCATGAAGATGGACTATGACTATGGATGCACAGATCACTGATGACTCCAGTTGCCACCTACAGTCTTAACAGGGTGAACCCTACTTCTTTAGCCTATAACTATTCCCATTTTCCCCACTCCATGTTTGCCTTCCATGCTTGGCCACCACCTTCGGGAATCAAGTTTTTCTCTTGTACAAGATCTGTTGTTTCAGGACTCGGCACACTATTCAGCAAACAAAGCAGGTGTAGTTCAGAAACACAGCTTCCTTTTCTGCTTCGCTTCTGTTCACTGGGACCTAGTATCTCTACTTCTACCAGATGCTCCGTCCCTAATGACTACATTTCCGGTTCTTTCCAGAGCTGATAAGGAAAAATAACCCACCTGGAAGGGGTAAGGAAACCTCTCAATGATTGAAATCTGCTCCATTTCACTGGACTCTTCACCCCTTCTCTGTAATGAAAGGAAGTAGGGTTACTGGTCAGTTCATTGCTCTTTCCTGGATTTCTTTAGGTAGCTTCATTATTGGGGTTTTGTTTTAGCTGGATGATGGGATTATACAATGTTTTATCTTGCTTTTCAGCTTTTTTATGTTTTTCAGTGTCTATAACAAATATGCACTACATATCATGTAAAAACCAAAAATGATATTATTTTTAAAATTCAACTCGGAAGTCAGTATGTATTCTGACCTGGAAAAGTTTCAGGAAGTGAGAGGAAAATAAACAGTGAGATATCAAAAAATCTCATGGGCCTGACCTGGAACCATTTACCTTCCTCCCCACCTCCTCTTTTCACACTTTCTGATTCCTCTATACCATGAACAGCTATTCTTCTGTCATGCTCCTGTGCCATGCTATCCTACCTTGCAGCCTGATTACTGAATCGTGAGCCAAAATAAAACTCTCCTCTTAAAAAAAAAAAGAAATAAAAGAAAGAATCTTATATGACTCAGAACCCTAAAAGGCTGACATTCAGAATTACCTAAGTCTCAAAATTGGATCTTGATAACTAAAGGAGTAAAACCAATCATCAGTGCCAGTTTGAAAACTTGCCATGGCATTATTTTAAAACTGTTGTTTTAAAGTTTTCTAGGTTAAATGAGATGTTCTACGTGTGGAAGAAAGATGCTGAGTCTCAGTATGAACAATCCAGGGCAAAATAAAATCTTTCATAAGGGAACATGACTCTGATCCACATTGCACAGCGTCAGTAGTTTATTTACAAACTTCAAAGGTCCAAGTTTCTTAAAGTCAACAGCTCTGCCCTCTCTGACACTGGTTTCTTCTTACCGGAATCTGTCTTTCAGGAGGTGGATTTTTTTCAGGAACTACTGTTTCAACACACGTAATCTTCTCAACATCTATTGAACCCTTCTTACTGCCTCTTCTCTGAAACAGCGAATGAGTAAGAAAACAGAGAAAGATTAAGAGTGATTAAGCAACCAGATGATTAGATTTTGTTATCTAATCACTCAACAAGATGAAGGGACACCTACGTGCTACATTAGAAGCTGTCATTTTGAAAAAAGAAAAACATTTCCAGATCTATTAATCTAACCTTTGACTACCAAATGGAGGACAAATACTTTGAAAGAAAAAATGACTTTGCACCTTTGTCATAAGGAATAAGAAGCACTTGGATTTTGTTCTCCAGCAGTCATTTAATGAGTATTCATCACTTCCTAGATATCATGGTAAGACTTCCCTGTGACTTCTTAGCACCTTTAAATTTTTTCCCCAGAATGGCTGTAGCTAGGAAATACTTTGCTGAGTTTGTATATAATTAGGTCTATTCTATCTCCCTTCACCTAGAAAAGATGTAGCTCTTTCCCAAAGAAATTCTAAGGCTCATTCGTTCAAATCTTGAAACTCAGGCTTCACAGATGAGAGACTTACCCCACGTTCAAAGTCATACTCGTAGTAGGAAAGTTTATGCATAGTCAAAAGAAAGAGGCGCTTCTTAAAGTTTAAAGGTGATGTTTTCTTTTTTTGCTGGGAGCGTTTCAGAAAGATGCTTTCCAGTATCACTGCAGCCATTGCTTCTTCCTTCTGAAGCTCACTTGTATTCTGTTGATAATGAAAATTCTTGAGGTTCCAGCAAATTAATTCCCATACCTCCTGTTCCCCCTCAGCCTAGCTACCTATTTAAGATGGAAGAAAAATGTGCAATGTTACTTTTAAAAGCCTTGTTCCTACTTTGACATTCTCCTTCAACAGTCCCCAAGTCTGTTAATTTTCAAGTATGATGGATGGACATTGTATTGTGGGGATTAACTGCACATTGTGAGGTGACAAAAGCTGGGTTGTTGTAGAAGGCAATGGGATGCTTGTGTTGTTGACTTACATGTTCCTGTGTGCTTGGTAACATCAAGAGGCAGTTTTACACCATTCACCCTTTGTGATACATATACAGAGTCTGTGAACAGCAGCATAAATCTCTGTGCAGCTGTTGACCCTGATATTCCCAGAAGGGATAATGCAGGTGCCAAAACTCCACTGAGACAGATATTAGACTTTCAGTTCCCAGTTTCCTAGACAGTGAACTTAATTTCTCATACACTGTCCCAACGGGGGTCTGTAACCAAGTGGTCTAGTAAGAACATGGAGGTTGCACCTGCAGCTATGGATTTTCAGTAACGGCCATTCAACTGATTTTTCCCACCACCCACTGTATGAGCTACAAAGGATAGAGGGTTTCTTTTCAAGTTGAAAGCACAAGCAGTGTTTATTTTTGGTGGTTTCCCCCCACCTTTTTCTTAGATTAGTTCTTTTGGACAGCGTCATGCAAAAGGGAAATAATTGTTTTACCAGTGCGGATGCCAGATGTGCTTATTTAAGACAAGTAACTTGTTTAACCTCACCAAATTTACAATACTCCTGAAGAAGTCAGTTAAGGTAAAGGAAATACAGAAAAGCAAAGAAAGTCCCCCAAATCCACCAATGGCTTTTTACTTACAGAAAACAACATTTCACATCATTTATTCACCTTAACTTTATGCACAGTTTTATTACTAACTCCAAACTTTCTTTACATAAAGTGAAAATAAATACTTTCATAAAAATGGAATGGTGAGTAAGTAATGAAAAAATCACCATCCTTTCCGCAGTGTTTTCTTGTGAGGAGGGTGGGATTAATTTTTAAAAACTAAACTCCTCATACTTTTGGTGGTACCATGGAAGCAGAATAAATTCAGCAGTTTTTTTATTTGTGAAGCACAGATTATTGCTTACACTAATAGTGTAAGGGAGCGGTTTTTTTTTTTTATCGAAGCCTGGGGCTATCCACACTGTTATTTTGCTCTTTCCTGTGGTATACATGGTTCGAGCATCACACTAAGAAGAAAAAAAAATAGAACAGCTAAATGCTCAAAATGATTACTTTGTCTCTTGTCCGACATGTAGATGCCACATTGTTCTAGTTGTAGATTTGTTAAATATTTTCTTCAGAGAAAAATTGAGCAAAGATGCAAATTTTTTTGCATAGTCTGCCACACAGTTCTCAGAATACCAGGTTCAAATGGTCTCTCACAGAAGTGACAAACTGCAGATTTTACAACCAATCAGTCCTTTGAAACATTCAATTTCAGCTCAAACTCCAAAGAGGTTCCTTTTAACATTACAATTATTCATTTACCCAGAAGTAGTGGTAACCAAACTATAGAACTTACTCTTAGGAACTGCTAGTTCATTGAAATCTCTGTAATAATATCACATTTATTTCACAGTGTATTACAATTAAGTACCTCGTCACAATCAAAGACTCAAGTTACAGAAAACAAAATAAAACCCCAAAGAAACTGAGCAGGATAAACAGTACAAGCTTCTCCACAAACCATGTCCAGTTGTGCTTCTCTCACTGAGGAAAGCACATCCAGCATTTTACCTTTAGTTTTGCTGCAGGATCTTGGTGAATGAACTCCCTGCTCAGATCCAGCATTTACTCCAGCCTTGGCTTCTGCTCTTATTTCCTGTAAGACAAGTCCTTTTGGACACTCCCTCTGCTCCTCTTTTTGTCAGAGCAAATCCAATTTGTACAAGAGGAAGCCTTCTTTTCTCTCTTAAATGTCTGTGCTGGCGTAGGGTTTAGTGCTGGTCTAAATATGAGGAAGTAAGTGGGCCTCTCATTAGCCATCACCCACAAGCCAAGACTGAAATGGCCTCTACCTCCAGATTACTAAGTGAGAGATTACTGGGATTTCCATGGTATGGGATCTCTTTTTTTGGCTGTCTCTTTCCTATTATTTGTTATCCAATCCAAACTCACATAGCCCAAAAATGTAGTTTTTCTTTAGGCACCATTGGTTCATCAGCCACTAATGTGAAAGTAAAGGTATTCAATTCTATTCTTTCAGGAGGTTGATGGCTATTAGACAGCTCTACATTAGAGTATAGAGCTTCTGTGGATACTTGTTACGAAAAGCCCCAATTTTTTTCCTCTAACAGTTCCAGCATCATACAGAGTCAATTCAACCACAAAACACACAAAAGTGTAGGGCTGACCCTACCACTCAGGAGCTAGGAGATGCAGTAGAAATGGAAGTGATATGAATGTGTCACACACACACACATGCAGTTGTTCATAGAGAGAAAAAATAGAGGCAGGAAAGATAATAGAAATAAGAGTTTTCCAATTAAAATAGAGTTTAGGGGCCAGGGAATTAGTTTAGCAGCATAAGCACCTGCCTGGTAAGCACGAGGTTGTAGGTTCGATCCCTAGTACCAATAAAAGAAAAGGAAAGAAAATAGTGTAAGCATTATAATGCTTTTTTTGTTAAACTACAAGTGCAAAGGTTTTCATGTAGCAACTTTTTGTAGTCTCTCAGGTTTGTACAGAGCAGCAGAATTCAGAAAGAGGATGCTCATTAATACAAGTTCAGCCATTATGCAAATTGCACTATGCCAAGGAATTAATATAAATAGTGCTTGCAGCATCAGTAAACTAAACCATAATTGGCTTTTATCTTTACTTATGATGATATAAAACACTATTAAGGACAATATCAGAGTAAAACACAGAAAACTACATTGTCTGCCTATGATTAGTGAGAGTCTACGAAATGTCAGTTAGCAATAACCAGTTAAAAGTGCTTCAAGTAACTACTTAGCTAAAATATACACAAAACAATATTTTCCTGTATAAAATACTACTTAGCTGGTCAGCATAATCCTGGCCATTCACTTTCTCTCCATATGGAACAGGACCCCTGTTTCTCTACCTGTCAAGCATTTTATATGTAGTGATTTATTTATTTATTTGTAGTGCTGGGGATGGAACACAGGGCTTTCCACATGCGAGTCAAGAGGTCTGACACTGAGCTACAATCTCAGCTCCTGTTAGGCATTTACATGTGTTACTTCATTGATCCTTTACAACAAACAGATGAGGAAACTGAGACTTACAGAGAATATGTGATTTTTTCAACTTCATCCTTGTAGTCCTTTATAGTCCTTGCTATTTCTGCAATACTTTGTGAGGTAAGATGCCATCCACTTTAGCACCTTGTCATTTCTCAAGGCTACTATCAAAAAAGTAATTGGGACAGATTTCTCTGTATCTTCTATTAATGCTCAGCAAAAAGGAAATGGTGAAAAATGGGGCAGGGTGTTGTAAAAGTGAATTCAGGATCCTGAGGCACTTTCCTTTGCGTATTTATCCAGGCTAGTGTGTTCTCTCCTGTCCTCCCCTCCCCCTCACTCTGTAGTGCAGGCCAGCCTTGAACTCACTATATAGCTTAAGCTTGCATGGAACTTCAAATCTTTTTGCCTGAGCCTCCAGAGTACTGGGATCACAGCATTCACCACCATGCCCAGCTCATTGCCTGTTTTCCTTCTTTATGTCCTTCCTCCAAAGGAATTTCTGTCTCACTGATGAATTCTTAGAGTTACTTGATGTTTTCTTTCCAAGATGATTCACAGTTAATGGAATGAAAGCATAGCATTAAAATAAGGCACACCTTTTCCCTATCCCTAGGTTTGTTACAGGTTCATGTAAATGTAAAACTTAGATTGAATAATTGTCTTGTATATTATGTAATATTTCAAATAGAAGGTACAGAGAATAATAGTATCAAACATTGTATTCACTGGCTCCCACTTAGTTCTAAGGAATGTTAACATAGTGCCTTAATTGCATATGGCATTTTTTTTCTTTGTTTTTGTTTGTTTTAGATAGTCTCCTCTGCAGTTCAGGCTGGCCTTGAACTCATTATGTACCCCAGGCTGCTCTCAAACTCACATGGATCCTCCTGCCCTAATCTCCCAAGTGGTGGTGGGATTACAGGCATGTGTCACCACTCCCAGATGGCATCAGGGTTTTTTAGAAGTAAATTATTATCAATGGAGCTAAAAACCCCTTTCCCCACCAAATTCCTTTGTGTTCTTTACTGTCTTAATCTCCTCTTTCCTTAGAAGTTACTGATATCTTGAATTAGTGTTTGTAATATCTAGGCATGTTTTTATATTATTACTGCAAATATCGGTATATAAAATGATACAGAGCATTAGTTTTCTCTTTTAAATTTTTATATATAAATGTTAAGTATTCTCTACCTATTTGCCCTGTTTTCCTCACTGTAGTATTTTATAATGTATCTTGGCAGCTCTAACTCCTGTATTTTAGTTCATTTTATATGCATATTTTATCTAGTCAGTACTGACCAATTTATTTATTATTCTTCTGTTGATGGACATTTAAGTTGGTTTTCTTCAGTGATAAACAAGGCTTCCATGAATATTCTTTTACATGGATTTTAGTTTTTTCTTTCAGAATGAATTCGCAATTTTTTATACATAGTTGCCAACCCTACAACCACTCTGTCATCCAACTATGCACTTTGTTCTCTTTCAGTTCTTTTTTCCTGGTGCTTTAATATTAAATTTGGCAGAATTATTAAGAGTTTCTAGATGAAGGATATAATTAATGGGCTAAACTTTGCCTGCTATAAATCTCTTGTCAGTCCCATGATGTATATCTCAGGTTCTTGCTGAGATTTTGACTGAGAACTCTTTGGTCTTGGAAGCAAAGTAGTCTTTAATATATAACTATAGCAACAAAGCAACCTAATTAATCTTGTTAAATTCCTAAGAAACTCTATTCAAGACCCAGTAAAACCTACTACTTATTTCATGATAAGCTTCACTGTCAGAACTGCAGGTAATCACATTTGTAGTGAAGACTTCCAGCCAAAATCAGTTTTCTGGCTGCATTCTAACCAGGAGAATGCTCACCTGCTAGAGTCATACCCATGAAGTTGGAGGGCTTTGGTTCTCTCCACAGCATGTCATGTTGTAAGCATGTTACATTTTTTTCCTGTGGGTTGAGAAACGTCTATGTTTCAGTGATTCATCCTCTCTTCCATCTGCCCTAGAGACAACAGAGTCTGGGCAAGTGATGATGGAAGGAGAACCAGATACTTGATTTGCAAGCCTATAGTCATTGTCAAATTAGTGGTGATACTTTCAGTAGTGTTCCTCTGCTGTATGGATGACTGCTAGGGTGCCCCCTTGTGTGCCCTTTTGGCGTTCTTTTCCAATTAGTTTTTGTTTTCCCTGGTTTAAATAACTGATTTATTTTCCCTTCCATATCAAAACAACACATATTCATTAGAGAAAAATGTTTTAGGTACAAGATACTAAAAGGAAAAAAATTGCTGGGCATGGTGGTACAAGCCTGTAATCCCAGACTTTGGGAGACTGAGGCAAGAAGATCACTGCAAGTTCGAGATCAGCCTGGATAACATAGGTAGACCTTGTCTCAAAAAATCAATACATAAATAAATAGAACCAATTATAAGCTTATCCAGATGTATTAATATTTTGGCAAATTTGCTTCTACTTTTGTACATTTCTTATCATATTTGAAATTATACCACACATACTGCTTATGGTTTTCTTATGTTCCTAACATCATCCACCTATTGAACATACTTTTTCTAAGAAAAATCTAAAGTTCTTGTTTAACATTATTTATCATTGTTTTTCCATGTTATTAGGATCTCTTTACAAACATGTTTTGACAAGTCAAAGTCTACGCATTTTGATACATATTGCCAAAATAGTCTCCAGAAATACAGTACCATATTTTGTTCTTTACAGTTTTTGAAAGTCTTCTTTCCTCACATACTCTTTTCTGCTCCACTTATAATCATTTTTACTCTGGTTTTATTGCAGGCTAATGATCTGTTTTTATTATTGAATTAATAATCTTGAAGATCAATATATTCCAACCTCCAACTTGTCTAAAAATTTTTTTGAAACAGAATTTCACTGTGTAGCTCAGGCTGACCTTGAACTCACTATGTAGCCTAGGCTGGCTTTAAATTCATGGTAAGCCTCCTGCTTCAATCTCCCAAGTGCTGGAATGGTGTATGCTGCCACAGCCACCTTGTCTAAAATTTAACTTCTTTTGGCTTTCTAGAATTTCTATTTTTTTTTTTTTTCTTTTTGGTACCAGGGATCAAATTCATGACCTCATGCCTGTTGGGCAGGTACTTACTCCACTGAGCTAAATCCCCAACTCTAGAACTGCCTTCTTCTAAGGATGAGCTAATAGAGTATTTTCATCTCAAGTAGGCAGAACAGTGAGATGAGCTTCTTTTTGAGGTTGAAATAACCATTATAGCCATAATAGGATCTGGTGAGGGTTTTCAAAGTGTTGGAAGGAAAGCCTGGGATTAAGGCTTCTAAATTTGTAATGCTCTCAGTCACTGCTCAAGAATCTCCATAGAAACTGAAAGTCACACGTGGCCCAATTGTTTCAAGGTCCTCAGAGTAGTTTGTCCCTCCCCTCCCCCTCTCCTTGGCTTCATGCATAACCAAGCAGCTTTGGACTGAGAGAGGTCAAGATCTCTTCTTTAGCTTTTTTTCCCTTTTCCGTACTAAGTATGGGACTCAGAGCCTTTACATGAGTGACATCAACAGTCCCTTTTTACTTTTTTCATTGTAAGACAGTGTCTTGTTAAATTGCAAAATTGTCCAGACTGGGCTAGAACTCAGGATGTTCTTGCCTCAGCCTCCCAGAATGCTGGAATTACAAAGCATGCACCACCAGGCTCAGCTTCTTTCTTTCTCTCTTTTTTTAAAAGAGGATAAAACAGAATAAAACCAACCAGTGTAAAAGATATAGGACTTCAAAACATTAGAAAATCAACAATAGTCACCATAATACCTTTTGATGTCTTCAAAATAGCTGCACATAACTTTGGATATAATAAAAATCAAATAGAACAGAATAGAATAGAAACAATAAAAACAAAACAATTAATGTAACAAAGAACTTCAAAACAAGACTACAGTAACTCCAAAATTACTATCATAATATATCTTGCTATCTTTGAAACTGCTGCTCATGCCATTGGATTTGACATAATCAAACAAAACAAAAGTGAATAAACCCCAGTCCAACAAAACAATGGAAACGATAGGATTTCCAAAACAAGACCGTAGGGAATCTTATTGAGCACTGCCTCAAATGAAAATTTTATCTAGGTCTCCCTTCTTTTCAGGAGTTAGCAATCATATCTTGGCATCACTGAGGGGAAAATAGCAGGTATTCGATGATCCTTTGGAAAAGACCCAAACTTTAGTTTTCAAAAATCATGTCTTCCCCTTATACCCAAGTGACTTCCTGGTATGGGTCTAGTCCACTGAAAGGAAACTCTATAGGAAATTTGCTTGAATGGAAATAGCAAATCATAGTGATAATTTAAAACTGCACCAACACCCCTAAAGTGGGTGGAAAGTTACACTAGTCATATTTTAAGGGGTTTACAAAGGATTCTAAATGAAAACATCAATAGTCACAAGCAACAGGAATTTGGAATTTAACACAAGCAAGTAGTTAAAAATTGAATATAAAAGGGGTCAGAATAGATCACACATAGAAAGCGCTAAAGGATATTGGCTAGATGTAACATTTTAGGTTTCATGAGTACTGGCAATTTATCTTTTTTTTGGAGTACTGGTATTTTGTGGTTTATTTGGTGTATGACATTGTTTTATCAAATAACTGAAGCTCCAGAGAGGCCGTAGCACTTTTGCTTTGGTGACTTGGCATGCAAAATGAGGGAAGGAGAAAAATTGATACACAACTAACGGCAAAGAGAACAGCCCCTGAGCTCTGTAGATACCTTTCCCAACCCTTCTCTAGGCTTTGCTGTTGCCCTGCCTCTAGAAATGCAAGGCATGGATATAGGCTTCAGTGTAAAGAGGTGGATAGCAGGGAAACTGGAGGTCTGGCAACTCATCTAAGAATGTCTTGATTACGGCCAGCAATCCCTTTTATTCTGAATACCACACAATTTGATTTAGGTAGGCCTCATGGGGACATGGGCAGGTCTTAGGCAGAATAAAAATAATAGCAAATATTGCAATATAGCCACTTATCATTACCAAGGCCTGTGTTGTGTTAACTGGTTTACATTCATGTACATGTTAACTGTTCACTACAACACTAAAGAAAGATATTGGGCACAAAGGGAGGGAGATAAGGAAAAGGAAAACAAGCTGGAGAAAACAGTACAAGAAAAATTCAATTTACAGTAATCCACTAATTATTTATTGAGTGCTCCGTGACAGAGGGTATGGTAATGAATAAAATAGTGTAAAAGGTGGGGGATACAGGTAGCAAAAGAGAGAGGAGGAGGAGAGGAAATGAAAGGAGAAATAATGAAGACAAGAAAAGTAAGCCATGCACATGGTGGGCAATGGTAAACGGAGAAAGTACACCAGAACCTCAGGAGTTGGCCACATTGTCTGGGCTGAGGCAGAGGCTATTTTCTTCTGGCCTCTTAGCTTACCCATTATCACCACAAGGTTGGTGCAGCTTCCACATAATCCTTGCAACAAGTGAGTGCTGATCCTGGCAATATTTGGCCTGATGCAAGACAACACAGGTACGCTACACCATAGTCTAACTGGGGCCTTTCCCCACGTCTAACTGCCTATTGTGGCGTGTGAGCTTTTACCGATTTCTCAAATAACCTGCCTCCTAGAATTTCTTCTTTGAGGGCTTCACTGACACAATTATACATTTTGCATAGTCAAGCAATATTTGACCTAAAAGCTTGCTTTTACCCTACTGCCACTTGCAATATTTCTTTTTCACCAAGTTTTTCAGAGCCGTCTCTTTCCAACATTTGCTACATGTTCAGATTAGTCACTGCAGGACGCTTTTTGCTCTTCCTGTTTTCCCCGTATCTTCCCTCAGAAAAGACCCTTATAAACCCACTGATCACTGAAGGGTCTGCCCAAGCCTTGTACTGATGACACTCCCACCCTCATCAGCCTATGATATCAGCCACACTTTCTCTTTGGCCTTCAGGGATCCCAAGAAAGATAAATGTTGTTGCCTCCCATTCCCTGCCTTGTACCAGACTCACCTCGGTTCTGATTTAATACAGGTGGCTTCCCAGATGCATTGAGATGCCAGGACTTGGAAGGTGGGACTCGTTTTCTGAAGACACTGGCCCTGGACACATATTCTTACAGTCCAGAGAGGAAGGACAGTCTGAGCAAACCCCACCCTTTCACAGCCACTCAGTTCCCTTTTTTTGTTTCCTGGCTTAAAACCAATGTCTTTTTTTTTCTTCTTCTCAGCAGCATGGTATCTGGTTCCTTGCGGCTGTCCTTATTCCACCCCCCAACTGTCCCCGCCCCTCATTTGCTTGGGACCTTTGACATTACTATCTTGAGACCAGCTCTGAAAGAACTTTTCTCAACATTACTGGGGTCACTGAGACTCTGAATGGGACTGGGTTGAACAGACAGATTGTCACCCTGCCCACCCCAAAGTAAAGGTGCAATATACTTTAAGGGCTATAGGAATGGTCAACACAGTGAAAGGAGACTTACAGGAAAGAAACAGGGCCATGCTGGAACAGAGAGACTGCCCAAAAGGAATGTCTTTAGAGTCTCCTGTTTTTTGAAGCAGAGGAGATTCAGGGTCACACAATTAAATTCAAGAACAAAGGACACAGAGTACTCATGAAGGGACCCCAAAGTACAGAGCCCAACAGATATAGAGACATGACTTCCCCTGCTGAGTCATTTTCTAAGAAAGTATTGTTTCTACAGATAAAATGCCAGAATGTAAGCCCACATAAAGGCATATGCCCTTCCCTATTTTTTGTGAATGTCGATTTCCTTCATTTAAGATTCAGAAATGAACAATTTACAGTTTTCGTTTTAATTCTATAAAGCAGTAAACCATACTAGGTGTTTTACTCAAAGTGTGGTGGTTTCTTCAGTAGCTTCATAGTGTAAGTTCTTGCAGTAATTTTCTCCCCGAGGATTCTCTGGAGAAATGCAGCTGGAATGCCGCAGTTCATGATGGTGGCAGAGCCACCGGTGACTGATCTGCTTCCCCACCTTGACTCATGGGCACTCCCATATTTTCTTGCCCTGAGACTCTGTACCCTAATATAGACACATCCCAGATTTCACAAGTCTATTAGAATTTTTAAGGCATCAGGATAAAAAAAACCTCACATTTGTAGCATGATAGAGTGATTAATACTTACATTTGCACAAGATAGATGAAAGCAAGTGTTGTATGGATCTCCCTACCTTATTCAAAAGTCACATTTTTCACCAACCACCTATAGTAGCTGTCCTAGTCACTGTGTGAGTGTTGGCCACAGGCATTCACTTTCCCTCTTGCTTTATTTAGTGCCTGAAGTCACATGCCCCATCTCTTTTCAAGGTTCATCTTGGGGTGGGGACTGGGAGTTGATAGGCATACAGTGGGAGATCTAGACAGACAGGAGGACAAGGAAAAGGGCAAAGTGAACCCAGTCTCTTCTTCACTCTCTGTTCACAACTGTTCCCTTACAATACTCACTCATATCAACGGAACTGCACCAAAACAGTGCAGATGAAATCACCTCAGGTCACCTCAAGAGATTCCCAATGTAGTATAGAGCTCAGTTCTTCCTGCCAGGCTGCTCAACATTTCTATTAATGACCTTTGAGTAAAATAAAGAAAGTAGCCTAGTTAATCTGTGAGTAGTTCAAGGTTGTTTTATGATGTACCCTGGATGACTGAAGCAGGGATTTCCCTGTGTCCAAAAAGACACTGATTACCTGATGTGACTCCAGGTGAAAGTGTTGAAGCAGGACCATTGGTAAACATTGTTCAGTAGTTTTTCAAAACTGACAGTAACCAAGAGAAATGTCATGCCAATAATATGGCTACCAGAAAATCCAAGGTGATATTAGACTTTCTTTTAGATTTTTTTTTTTTTTTTGGTACCACGGATCAAACTCACAACCTCACACTTGCCAGGCAGGTGCTTATACTGCTGAGCTAAATCCCCAGCAACTAGGCTTTCTTTTAGAAGAAAAAATATCTGGTACAGAACCAGCCTAAATTCCCATCAATAGATGACTAGATAAAGAAAATGTGGTATGAATACAAATGGAGTATTATTCAGCAATAAAGAAGATATTCTGTCATTTGTACGAAAGTATATAACACAGGAAAGCATCATATTAAGTGAAATAAAACTGGATCAGAAAGACAAGTATTACTTGTTTTCCCTAATATACAGAATATATAAAAAGTGACATGAAGCAGAGGGAGACAGGAAAGTAATAAGGGGAAGGAAAAGGGGTAGGGTAAAAGGAAGGGTAATAGAGACGATATATGCATTTAAAATATATGTATATATGAAAATACCCTGAAATCCAGTATTTTGTAAAATTAAGTCAATAATAAAATGTATTATAAAAAGAAGGAAAACATGAAAAAGAATGAAAGTATGTAAAAGTGTACCTGCTACCTACTTTGCAAGACCAGGCCACACCTAGAGTTCTGTGTTAAATTATGAGTGCCTCATTTTAGGGGAAATGAATGAGCAGTGCAATTCTAAAACAGAGACCAGCATTGGTATACAAATTTTCAGTTATAAAATATATAAATTCTGGGGATTTAATGCACAGCATGGTGACAGTAGTTAATAATACAGTGTTGTCTAATTGAAATTTGATAAGACAGCAGATTTGAGTCCTTGCCATACACAAAAAAATGATACCTATGGGTAGTGATGTACATGTTAATTAATTTGATTGTGGTAATCATCATATAATATATATGTGTACCACTTGAATATATGTAATTTTTCAATTAGCTTTTAAAACAAAGTGGCTGTAGTGGTGCACACCTGTAATTCCAGCTCTCTGAGAGACTGAGGCAGGAGGATTACAAGTTCAAACCAAGGCTGGGGAACTTAGCTAATTAGTGAGACTGTCTGAAAATTAAAAAAAAAAAAAACAGTTGGGGATATAACTCAGTATGAAGGCCCTGGGTTTGATCTCCAATACTGGAAAAAAAAAATCCCAACAACACCCAAAACCCAAGCAATGTCACATGGGAAGTGATAGAACAAAGGTTGATGGTTGAAGAAGGGCGGGTGTTCACTGTCTTTATATTTACAGATTAGTGACATAAAAAGCCTTTAGCTTTCTGAGTCAGTGAGACTGTTTAAGGGAGCCTGGACAGAGAAAAATGTTGTGAGACTTCAGGTTGGCAATTTGGCAAAGAAAATTTTAGGAAATGTATCAAATAATGGTAAATGTTTTTACTGGCCTTAATACCACAGACCATACAACAACAAAAAGTCAGTTGAAGACTCATGGGTAGACCTAGAAGATTATGAAAGCAGAATATTCCAGGCTGTCAAGTTCCTTAGGTCTAATGCTTTAGACTCCTACTAGTGCGTCTCTTTCTGGATCCCAGCCCAATTCTTTCCTCCCCTTTCCCTAGCCTGAAGATTTCCTCATTTTACCTATGTGATACAGTGGTTAAGTGCAAGCCACTTTCCAGCTAAAAATAACCACCTGTGACTTCAGGTAAGTGATTTTAAACCTTTTATGACTCAGTTCCTTCACCTGTTGGATACTAGTAATGGTACATGGGTCCTGAGGTTGTTAAGTTTAAAATAAGTTGTATGTTAGTGCGCTAGAAGAACACCTGATATATTCCATTATTGTTAGCCATTATAATTAGCAGGTCAAAACAGCAGTATTTTATAATGGGAAAGGAAAATAGAGCTGATTTGGTGGTGAGAGCCTCTAATTCCAGTTACTCAGGAGGCTGTGGTGAGGGAAAGTCATAAATTGGAGGTCACCCTGAGCAATATACTGTAGGGAGAGCTTGTTTCAAAACAGAAAAAAAAAAAATACAAACCTCTGAAATCAGACCACTTGAGATCTATCTTAGATCTACTAAATCCTTTTGACATTGGACAAATAATTTAACATCCCACACCCTCGATTACCTCTTCTGTCAAATGAGAATAATAATGTTACCTACTGTAGAATACTGGAATTACAAATGAGTGCTACTATGCCCAGCTTGCTGGACTGCCTTGAGACTTAGTACATGCCTGCTGCCAAGTGTGTGTGTGGGGGGGTGCCGTTAGACATGTTCTCTCTTGGTCAATTACTGCTGTTGCAGGCTGAATACGTCGTTTCAATTTTTTAGAAGCTACAGCACGCAACTTACTCCCTTCAGCATAAAAGGTGGAGCTTCAGCGATCACCGAAGCTTTTCTTTAAAGTATTCAGTGCATAACTGTACATTAATGAGTATATTATTGTGTCCTTCCACTATGACAGTGCCAGACACAGAATAGACGTTCAATAAACACTTGCTGAATGGACCATCTGACTATGGGATAAATGAACTGGAGCAGTTGCCTCCCTCAAAGCCTTCACTGAACCAGCAGTTCGCTGCTAAAGAGGTTCCTAGGGTCCTTGCGGTGTAACAGGATGGAAAGTCTTTCCACTCGGTAGCTAGTTTTGGCTTCCCTTTGAGACAGCGAGGGTAGAGAATCTGGGAAGTGCACTGCTCACTTTATGTAATGCTGTTGTGTAGTAGGTTCTGTCAAAAGCTTTGAAGTACTGTAACAAAAAATTGCAAAGCTTTGGGGCACAATTAACTTCAGAGTGGACCAGCCTTAAGGAAGCGCCCCTCTGAACCCTCCCACCGGCGGTTCAAATCAAGTCCTCCGCCACTGGAGGGCGCGCCGCGCTGAACCAAGAGGCTGTAACGGTCGCTCCCTCCGACTCCCATGAGGAAGTGTGACCCAGAATCTCCTATATACTTCCGTTTCCGGCCGGCCTCTTTCTTTCCGTGTTGATATCGCTCTTGCAAGCATGGTAGGTCTTTAGTAATATCCAGTTTAATCCTTAGCCCCACCATCACCGGTACTGTCTCTGAATGAGTTCGGGCCCCAGCGTGTACCAAAGAAACCCATTATTGTCGGAATCGGCCCCCTTAAGGTACCAGGCTCTGAGGTCAGGGCTCAAGAGCTAGACTTGTGGGTGGAGTTAACAATGTCTCGCGCTTTGAGGCTAAAGACAACTCTGTGCCTCAAGCACAGGAGTCTGGGACCACCTTTTAGTTGGAACTACGGAGTCAGGTTTTATACAGGAGTGGAGTCATGGTACTAACTTCGGCTGCTATCGTAGTCTGATAAAACTTCATGTTCCAAACTGTTTATTAGGTGAACGTTCCTAAAACCCGGCGAACATTCTGTAAGAAGTGTGGTAAGCACCAGCCCCACAAAGTGACACAATACAAGAAAGGCAAGGATTCTCTGTATGCCCAGGGTAAGATGGCTTCATTGTAATGTGGACTTGGCGGTGGCATTTGGGAAGTGTACTACGAGTCCGCTTTTTTCCTCTCAGTACTGGGGCTTAACTCCAGGGCATGTGCACAGACCTACATCCCCAGCCCTTGGTATTTACTATTTTGAGGCAGGGTCTCAAGTTACCCAGGCTGAACTTGAACTTGGCTCCTGCCTCAGGCTCCCAGAGTGCCTGAAAGGTTGTTGTTTTTTTTTTTTAACATTCAGCTGGAAAGCCCTAGATAAAACTCATTAAGTCTTGATGTATTTTGTGATTTATGATCTTAATTATATCAACACCCCCCCTACCTCCAGGAAAGCGGCGTTATGACAGGAAGCAGAGTGGCTATGGTGGACAGACGAAGCCAATTTTCCGGAAAAAGGTTAGTGGTGGTCACTAATTGATAAGTTTCTTGGGTACATTCCTAAACTGTGGTAATTGCCTTGTACTTGTCATCTCAAGTCCAGTCTTGAGCATTAATTTCAGCAATTACTGCAGGCTGTGGTGATAGGTTGTGCTGCTAGTCTACAATAATGTAACTATATTTTTGTGTGTCCACCTCTCCCTTTCTAAAGAGCCAAAAGTCAAAGAATGCTTTCTCCTCACCTAAAAACTGAAGCATGAATTTGATAGTAAGTCCTATCATGTTTGAGTTCTTAGCACTTGGTTGCAGAATGAACTGGAGCTGAGGGTATAACTTAGTGGTTCAGTGAATGCCTAGCATGGGCGAGGCCCAGGGTATCATCTTCCACCGTGAAAAAGGGGAGAATTGTTACTGTGCCAGGAATGTACCTCCATAGTATTGCTTGACACGAACAAGGCAAGTAGTTAGCACACTGCCTGGAATAGGGCATTCCCACCAGCATTTCTTAGCACTTTGTCCAGAAAATGTTAAAGAATGACTGTACTTAGGTATAATAAATTTTCTTTCTAAACTTATTTAGAAGATAGAAAGATTTTGTTGTTCTGAAAAACACGACTAGCAAGAGAATTCTGGCTAAAGGGGTGGGCTTCAAAAGTTGAATTTTAGGTTCATGCCTGTAATCCCAGCACTCGGGAGGCTGAGGCAGGAGAATTGTTGTGAGTTCGACACTGATCTGGGCTACAAAGTGAGCTCAAGGCCGGCCTGAACTGCATAGTGAGACCCTGTCTCAAAAAGACAGAAAAAAGTTGGATTTTAGTGAAGAGCATATCTTGATTTTTTTTCAACCAGATTTTACTGGTACATTTTAGATGTACATAATCACATTTATCTCAATAGAGCATAACGTGAATTGTTAGCTCATTTTTTTTGATTATGTGAAATGGTTAACTGCAGATTTGAAAGGCAAGCTCAAGGATGTATGAGAACCTAATGAAAACAGCATTCTAGCATGGTATTTTCATCTAGCTAAAAACAAACTGTGACAGTTAAAAATTTTGTAAAACTTTAAAGTACCATTTAACCCAACACAATCTTGGGTTTTGAGACAGGATCTCACTATGTGGTACAGGTTGCCTCAAACTTGGAGAAATCTTCCTGCTTCAGCCTCCCAAGTACTAGGATTACAGACATGTACCACCACTCCCAGTTTACTCATACTTTTTAGGGAAGTGATTTTCTGATTTGCCTTTTTTCACAGGCCAAAACTACAAAGAAGATTGTTCTGAGGCTTGAGTGTGTTGAGCCCAATTGCAGATCCAAGAGAATGCTGGCTATTAAGAGATGCAAGCATTTTGAACTGGGAGGAGATAAGAAAAGAAAGGTAGAAGTCATTTGTTACAGCTTTATTGTATTTGGAGAGGTGAACATTTCTGCTCATTAATGGGTGGCATAGAGATCTGAGGTGTTTTCAAAGACTCCATCCAAAGCTGAAAGGGGGTCAGTTAAACATCCCTTATCTGAAATGGTCGGCAATAATCTTTATCTAAAACCCAGAACATTTTGAGCATCAACATAAGCATTTTCATATTCAGTTTCAGAAAGTAGGAAAGAAGAATAAACAGATTGCCCTAATTCAGCATGGTGATCTCTTTATTTAAGAGGAAAAAGAGAAAAACACAAAACAAAACAAAGCAGTGTAAGGTTACACATAATACAGAACTACAAAAAAAAAACATAACAGTAAGAAATCACCTGTTAATAGATTACATATTATCACCTTGGAAATAGTTGCTCAAATCACAGTATCAAAGAATACAAATTAGACATTCAAACAGAGAGACTGCAAACAGCTGTGTTCAATGATCCAAAAACATTAATATAGTCAGCTATTTAACATCCCTAAACACACTTGCTGTTATATCCGTTAGAGCTCTTTTTTTTTTCCCTCCCTCTCTTTTTTACAACAAAATTTACATATTTTGGATTTTATTACTCCTTAGTTCTTATTACTTTTTTTGGGGGGGAGAGAATAAAGTCAAATATGGCAAAACAAAGCTGTAAGTCAAAACCAAGGATAGACATAGCACATAATGTAGAACAGAGTACAAGGTTATTAACAATGGTTATCAGCATTGTCTCTTGTTTCCTTAAAAGGAATTGTCTATCTCATTAGATATTATAAAGTTGGACAAAACAGTGGAGAACAAGACCAATAAAACTTAGGCATTGTGAACATTACAGGACTTCCAAAGGAGACAATAGTCAAACCAGAATGGGCATCTTTGTGAATCTTATTGCCTTCAAATTAGTTGCCTATACCCTCAGACTTGCTACTATCGCACAGAATGGAACAGAGTCTAATCAGTCAAAACAAGATCTTGGGAGTATTACAGGACTTCAAAACAAGTTAATAGGAGATCAAAAAGAGTTACTACTATATATCCTAATTTTTTAAATTTTTCCCTTAATTGAAATAAACATAAGAAATAGCTAAATGAAATACAATTTTCAACTTTTTTTTCCCTTCTGTTACAGGGCCAAGTGATCCAGTTTTAACTTCATGTTTTGTTTTTTTATGAAGACAATAAAATCTTGCCACATTTACTTCATTGGTTGTATTATGTCTTTTGGGTAGGAATAAGCTACCATAAGCCATCAGCAAAATTTCTCATGGGAAATTCCTGCTTCGTGGTTCTTTTTAGTATTTCTTGATTGAATTTGACTGGTTGAATTCACATCAAATGTTAGAGATTTAATTTGACACTTTTAAGCCCTTGGGTTGTCATGGGATCCTGTTTGCTGTTAAAAGTTGGTTATGTTACCTAAGTGACATGTTTGAGGATAATGGGGACAGGTTCAGTAATATAGCCATACTGGCTAAAGTGTATCAAGAATTAGGCAACCTACTGGTATTTAAGACCTTTGATAACGAACTTTGGCTGTGTTTTCCAGGCACCAATACATTATATATTATGTTTGTCTTCAGACTTATAAACCCCCCCCCCACTTTTAAACTAGAACATTCAACTGAACTATTGTGTTGAGTGCCCCAAGGAATCTTAATCAGGGACCTTTTTTTTTGTCTTTTTTGAGACAGTCTGTTATGCAGTTCAGGCTGGCCTTGAGCTCACTTTATAGCCCAGGCTGGTCTTGAACTCGCAAAAATTCTCCCACCTCAGCCTCCCAAGTGCTGGGGTTCATAGGCATGAGCCACCACGCCCGGCTAATCAGGGACACTTAAAAATAATGTCTTGATGTAATTTCAAATCGTATATTCTTATACTTCATTCTTACAGATACTGAACTCTGTATTTAAGCAGCAAAAATAGGGTAAAACAAATAATGCTGTATAAATTTCATAACTGGAGGTGCATCTCAAGGCAGAGCAATTTGCCAAATTTGTATATTTACAGACAAGTACAGGTTTAATGACTTTTCTGAGAAAAAAAAAGGCCGGCCTCAAATTCAGTGATCCTACTTCCTCAGTCTCCCCATTGCTGGGATTGCAGGCATGCATTACCACACCTAGTTTAGGTTTAGTAATTCTATCACAGTTTTATGAACTAAGTATGTATTAGTCCTCAAATTTTTGTGTGAAATAATTACCTGGTGGGTAAAATTATTCCAGCATGCACTTTTGTGTTTTGGACAGGCCCTTTAGCTGGACATGGTGGTTCATGCTTGTAATTCCAGCACTTGGGAGGCTGAGGCAGGAGGAACTCTGAGACTACCCTGCACCACAGAGTGAGACCCTGTGTCAAAAAAAAGTGTTAGATGGGCCTTCTGGTATTGTGTGTACATTCAAGAAGGGTGAGATACATACTTTTTAAATATTTTTGCTCCTGTGAGAGAAAGGTGGTTGGTTATAAATGCATTCTCAGACAAAACAGGAAAAACGCAGAAGTGTGTCTTGAATACATGGTAGCATGTGCCTGCAATCCCAACACTGGGAGGCTCAAGCAGGAAGTCACAAACTTGAATCTAGCCTCTAATTTTGTGAGACTACCTGAAAAAAAAAAAAGGGGGAGGTGGGCTAGCAATATAGCTCAGTGTGAAGGCTCTGGGTTCAATCCTGAGTACTAGAAAATGGAAATTCCTTTTAAATTGTTTGTTTAAATACCCAGTTTGAAAATCACCATCTTATATAACAAGACAGTTGATTTTAAGGGGAGGAGGGTTTATTAGGTTAAAATTACCTAGTTATTCTTGGTGAGAGTAGTTACTAGTTTATCAAGGTTATTGTTACCTAGCAACTTTTTTGCCCTTCAACCAAGAAAACTTCATTTTCTCTTTGCATTAATATTGTAAATAGCCATCCAAGTGCCTCATTCGGCAGCAGTACAGTGGTTAAGAGCTTGGGGTTAAATCCTGGCTCTGCAATTTACGGTGAGTGAACACCTGCGCTGGTGGGTATTGTTGAGGGTTAAAATTAATCAGTAACATTTTGTCCATCCATTACAGTTCCTTGCACAGAAAATACTCAATAAATTACAGCTATTATTTCTTAGAACATTAGTTTCAAAAGCCTTTTCCAGTCGGTTGCCTTTACGCCTTTAGAAGTAGTTTTTCTTGTTTTGTTGAGAGGATCTTACTATGTAGTACAGCGGGCCGTGAACTCTCAGCAATCTTGCCTCAGCCTTCCCAGTCTTAGTAGAGGTGTAATACCACACACAGTTTACCACACCCGGTTTAGAAGTTTTTAAAAGTTCCAATCTGGGACTTGGGAATGTAGCTTAGTGATAGTGTGCTTTCCTAGCAAACCAGAGACTCTGGGTTCAATCGTTAGCACTGTAAAAAAGAAAATTCCAAAGTTGAGAAATTTTGTGTACAGGAATCCAGCTTTTTAACTGGAAACGGGTGAAGACTGAACAGGAAGTGGGGTAGACACACTGCCAAAATACACATCCCCAAGTGCATTTAATTTTTTTGAACTATTGTGGCTGCTTCTAGCCGAAACAAAACAGTGCCTGTAGGATTTATTTGAGTTTTTAAGCTTGAAGTCCACTCATAGAACCCCAGCTCTTTTTTCACAGGAAGGAGCTGAGTAATGAAGCAGCCAGGATTACAGGCCACTCCATGACCCAGGGAAACAATTGTGATAGTGTAAGAACGAGGTCCGCCAATTTCCTGCAGATTTCTCACAGCTACAGCCCAAGCTAAATTTGAGAGCGGTCGTTCCCACACTTCAGTGTTGTCTTCCTGAAAAACCAAGAAAATAGGTATGACTGCTTGGTAATCAACAATAAGCTGCATTGTTAGTTTTTTTTTTTTTTTTTTTGTACTGGGGATAGAACTCACACAATCGCATTTGCCAAGCAGGCACTTACACCTGCTGAGCTAAACCCCTGGTCCACTGCCTTGTAGTTAGTTTGGCATTCGGTTTTGTCACAACCATCATGTGCTTATAGGAAAAATTCAAATTATCCTGTAGCACATTTTGGAAATAATAATTCTAGCACGAAGCCTTATTACTACTGATTACAGCATCAAAGTAAAGGACAAAAAACAAATATTCTCAAAATACCAGTCCTATGCTCTTATGTAACAGATTTAGGCTTAAGACAAACTTGGTACTTGGGCATAAAAGCCACCTTAAAATACAAAGCAATGCATGGTGGTGTGGGTTTGTAATCCCAGCAATGAGAGGCTGAGGTAGGATCACAAGTTCAAGCTCAGGCGGGGCAGTTTAGCCAGATCCTGTCTCCAATTAAAAACAAGGCAGGATTTAACAGCTCACTGTAAAGGTCCTAGCTTTGATCCCCAGCACCACCAAAACCAACAAAACCCACTCAAGATAAACACTTGGATTAGTTGTAAACCAGAGGCAGGAGAACATGCTTCTAGCATATTTTCTCCCATACAACATTCTTTACTATACCTTTCTAAGGCAGTACCCCTGCTTGCCCAAGGGGTCTTGATTGATGGCAATCACATCCTTATTTTGAAGTAGAGCTTTGGCTTGAGGGCTGATCTGTCGGAGATCATTGGACATCAGTAAAGGAGCTGCCATGATAGCCCAGAGGGCCATCTGAGTTACTTGCTGATCCCAGCTGAGGCCAAAGTTACCAATCACTAACTAGGACAAAGAATGAAATAATTCAAATGAGAGAACAGGAAACATTTTTAAATACCTGGGTGACCCATAGGAGCCACTTTCCACAGGACCCTGCTCTATATACTCTCACAGAAAGTGTACTCCCAAGGAACTTTACCTGTATTTACCCTGAATGTGGAGGAAGAAATAGGTCTGTTACATGCTCTTTGAAAAGGGCTTCAGCTTCTTACCATATCTGGGTCATTCCAACCCCCTGGTCCAGCGACATCAACAATTTCTTCCTGCCGAGATGATGTCCAGTCCAAAATATCGTTTATACTTTGCCAAGAATCAGAAACATCATCAAAATTTCTCCAGTGATTGCAGTACTGTCGGATATCGGTGTAATTAGGCTGTGAAAACAGGACTCTTGTTTACTTTATAATATCCATGCAAGATGAAAATGGTCTAATTTAAAGGAGGCCACTTGAAGGCTTCTCTTTAGTTTACAGATTGAAAGTCTTCATGAGGAAGTCTAAATATTATGAGGGAATTTTACTGTAACAAGTTTGCTTTCAGAAGTAGGCCATATAATTTAAAATCCCTAAAGTGACCTTAATACTGTTTATGCTGGAATCTCACCAAATGGTATCTAGGTTTTGGCATTATGGAAGATTTTTATTTTTTTTACAGATCATTGTATTTGCAAACTTTTCTAAAATGAACATGTATTACTTTAAAATAAAAAAATAAAGTGATCTTTTTTGTTTGTTTGAGGTAGGATCTTGCTATATATATAGTTCAGGCTGCTCCTGAACTCACTATGTAGCCAGCCCAAGCTGGCCTCAGACTTATAGTGATCCTGCTGTCTCAGATTCCCAAATGCTGGGATTACAAGTGTGTGTGTGTCACCACACTCAGCTAATGATCTTAACTAAAACTAGGTGGAAAATTATACAGGACTCCATCAAACATTCTGAGATCTCAGTATAATATATATTCACATACATATGTATATAAATAATCTTAATGGGATAAATAAAAGTTTATTAATAGGTAGGTGGGATGGCTGAGGTTTGTGTTGAGGACAAGGTGGGACTTTTCTAGCAAGTTCAAGAAAAAATAGAGATTCAATTCATAATTATTTAATACTTATCACATGCTAGGGATACAGGGATAAAATCAGACAAGGGACCTGCCCTTATGAATTTATATTCTGCAAATCAACAAATATTCTATATGGTGCTAAGCTCTTAGAAAGAAATTAAACGGGTTACTGTGATAAACAATGAATCGACAGATGGCTACTTTAAAGAGAATGTGGCATTTGGTCTGAGACTTTAGAGCTGATCCTTTAAGTATCTTGAAGAAAGAAGGCTCCCCACAGAAAACAAAAAAGTGTAAATATGTTAGTGGTGTTCAAGGGATAGGAAAAAAAGTCATCACTCCTGAGGCAGGTAAGGGCCAGATGAATAGTTTAATTTTATTCCAAAAGTCAGTTAAGGGTTTTAAGTAGGGGGAGTGACAAAATGCCAGTGATATTTAACAAGATATCTCTGGTGCTGCTTTGGAGAATGGATGGGGATGGGAGAAAGAATGAAAGTAGATGAAGCCTCACAGCAGTCTAGATGAGAGATATCACCGGCTTGGAAGGCCAGAGCGATACAGCGGAGATGGAAAAAAGTTAATTCAAGATATTTGGAAGATATAGGAGGGACTGCTGATAGATGAAGCATGAATGGTGAGATAAAGAAAAGAATCAAAGATGATTCACTAGGTGGTGGTAGCTTACAGGATTATAACAGTGTTAAACAGTGGCTGGGCTATGATGCAGAATTTTGTCTCTTTAGCTGTCAAATTCTGTAAATCAGATTCTGGGCTCACTAGCTCACCTTGTGAAAGGGCCACAGATATAAAGGCCACTCACAGGAGTATACAATGCTTCTGCCAGTCCTGTTGAGGGCCAAGGACATGTACTTATAACCTGTAAGAGAAAACAATGGGTAAAATAAGGGATAGAGAATTTCCAGATGGGGCTGTACATATAAGGTTTCCAGAAGGTCTGTGTTTACATTTTAAAACAATGCCAGGGACAGATCGTTGCTTTGTATATAAATTGCATGTAACATCTTCCAGACTGCTGTGATTGTCTGAGGAGCCAGCACAGAGATGCTGTGTATATTGAGGAAAAGCAAGAATAAAGATGATTTTCTCTGTGACTGTGTGGCATCCTGGGCTTTTTCATAAATGACATTATAAAGAGTTACAATTACTAATTCTAATGAATTCATAGAGCCTTCTTGAATTAAAAGTGCACAGTATTAGCCATGGTTAGGCATGCATGGATTCCACATACATGAATAAGGGAATGAATGAACAAACTAAAAGAAATTAGGTAGGGCTTCTGGCACATTGAAAATAATTTCCAATAATGTGACCACGTATTTAAAGTCTGAAGATTAGTTCTTTAGATACTTAGCTACCTTGTCCTCAAAGTTATTCCCTTTGCTTGTGGCTAAATTTCCAACTGAAACGTACCATTTTCCAAATGGTTTATACTGTCACAGTAACAGCCATCAAATTTTAGTAGATCTACTCCCCAATCAGCAAAGGTCTGAGCATCAAGGTCATAGTGCCCAAAACTTCCAGGGAAGCCAGCACAGGTTTTATTTCCAACATCTGCATAAATCCCCAGCTTCAGCCCTTTGCTATGAACCTGAAATGAGAAGTAAGGACAATCATGAATAAGCAGAGAGAATCATTCCATCCTGGGGGCAGAGATAAGTGTGCTTCACCAGGTATTGGGAGCCTTCTTTCACAATCCCTCATTTGTATTTTCTAGATGAGTTTGTTGGGAGACAAAGAACAAATCCCTCAATTCTGTCAAGTTTAAACTATATCTGTGAGCTATCGCATAGCACTGAAGAAAATGCTATTAGCTACCCTAATATTCTTGATGTGATACTAAACGGTACCTTTCCAGGACAGTAAGAGATTTATTTGGAAAAAAAAAAAAAAAAGACTTTCATTCAGTGAAATTTAGTTAGGATCTGTGAGAGTTCTTTTCATGTTGGCCTTGACTGTATCTGTCCTAGAAAACTGAGCAAACATTATGCTAAGTTAGCCCTTCTATCTTGATGTCTCCTTTAGGTAATTTCTCATCTACTGACCTCAATCTGCCCTTGGATATAAACACTTAACTTATCTTCTTGCCTTTGGATTTGAGTATGACTCTTTGCTCTATTGCAATAGTACTGAATAAACTCTACCTTCATCATCTTTAGCTAGTGTTAGACCCTATTTCTCTTCAATAATCTCCAGAATATTGTTCTCTCTTCTGAAATTCTAGTTTATAATTGAACTGCAATTGGTGCCTAATGCTTGTATATAAACATACACACATACGAAAAGAACCAAGTTCCTTTTTCTTCTCAGAAAATTCAATGGTTTTAGCAAAAGGAGAACTTCAAGATGGGGCTCAAGAACTATTGCAAAACATGGATATGCTGATGGGATGAAAATTCCACCTACAAACCTTATAATTTCGTGTTCAGATACCAAGAATCATTCTGTCATGAGGGCTGTTGAGCAACAAGAAAAGTCTCTACAGATCCCTTGGATTTAAAAATATCTGTAACAGCTATGGCAAACCTTTTAGAGCTTTCAATGATAACAAACAGCCCACTGTAGCACGCATGCTATAGATTCACTGTCACTGATCTATAAACTCACATAATTAGCTAGGCGGCGGATCCCACCAGGAAAGCGTTGAGGGTCTGCCTGAAGTCTATTTTCTGAATCTCTTTGGGGAGCCATCCAACAGTCATCAATGCAAAGGTACTCATAACCTACATCTTTCCAGCCATCTGAGACCATGAGTTCTGCCATCTGCATGAAGAGCTGCTCACTGAAACAGAAATTATCATCAGCATTATAAGTCATTAAATGAATGCTTAAATTCCTATTAGGTACCTTCAGATTTCATAGATTTTAAATCTAGTCATACTATGATGGTAATCACAAGCAGCAAAAGAAAATGAAATGCACTTCTTTCAATTTTTTTTATCTTCTTACCTTTATCCCTGAATACTTCCACACCAAGAATTTCAAAACAGGGACTGGAGATACAGTTCAGCAGTGAAAACTGGCCCAACATGGGTTAGGCCTTGGGTTCCATCCCCAATGCTACAAAAACAAAAGACAAAAAAACAAAAACAAAACTCCAAACAATTAAAGTAGGAATGACATATATATGAGGAAATTGAAGAGGTTATTAGAATAAGGAAAATTCAGTAAAGAAAGAAGCAAGAAAATTATACAATAAACCAGGCATGGTGGTGCACACCTGTAATCCCAGCACTTGGAAGGCTGAGGCAGGAGGATCTTTGCAAGTTTGAGACCACCAACCTGGGCAACAAAGTGAGCTCAAGGCCAGCCTGAACTGCATAGTGGTACCCTGTCTCAAAAAAGACAAAAACCTTATGTAATAAACACCTTTCTTAGATAGCAATACTAACCTGTATAGAGAAAATTATCCCATTCACAGCTAAATTTTGGAAACAGCTTAGATATCCAGCAATGACTGAATGGGTAAAGAAAATGTAGTTCGTATATGCAACGGAGTACTAAGCTGCCATAAAGGATTAATTTGAGGCTTTTTTAAGGAAATGGATGCACCTTGAGAACATAATTTTAAGTGAAAGAAATCAGACACATGTTTAAATATCATATTGTTTCTCTTATATGAGAAACTCAAAGGGTAAACAAGGACCAAAATGGGTGATAAATATTGAGAAATAGGAAGGGGAACACAAGAGGGGGAAGGGAGTAAGGGAGGGGACAAATAGGGATTTAAAACAATAAAGAATGGAAGGAAAGCAATAAAAACAAAGTTTTGGAAATGGAGAGGGGAAGAAGGATTTAAGGGAAAGGAGGGGAATGGGAAAAAACAGGTATTTCCCATAATGAATGTGACTTTTATATGTCAAAAGCACACCATAAAATTAATTTTAAAATGTCATTCATAAGTGCAACTGAAAAAAACAGAAAAACTTCAAATATCTAGAAATACTATAAAATATGCACAGAGCCCATATGTTAAAACAATGATACACCTAACTAATAGAGAAAAATCATTTTGTTCTTGGTTAAAACACAGGGCTGAGGATGTAGCTTTGCGCTAGAGTACTTGCCTAGCCTTCATGAGACTGTCTGTGGGTTCAATCGCCAGTACCACCAAAAAGAAAAGTAATGACTATGCCAAGCATGGTGGTACATGCTTGTAATACCAGCACAGGAGAAGCTAAGGCAGGAGGATTGCCTTTGAGGTTAGTGTGGGCCACACAGTGAGTTCAAGGCCAGTCTGAGCAAGACCCAGTCTCAAAAAGAATCAAAAAAAGGAAACTCAGTATGTTAGGGCTGGAGATGTAGCTCAATGGTAGAGCAGTTGCCTAGCATGCATAAAGCATTCATCAGTATAAAGCATCCTTCAGCATAAGGCATCCTTCAGTACCACATACACACAAAATAAATAAAAACATACTAAATCTCCTGATAATCCTTTATGAAACCCTGTATATTTATTAAATATTATATTTAATAAAATCCCAAACAAATGTTAGGTTTTTAAGGAATGTGGTGAAAAGATTAAGAAGTTCATCTGAAAAATTAAATGTGTATGTTCTATAAAAGATAAAGGAAGCTAGTGTAGCTTATCATTAGAATACAAAGATATATAAAATTCAAGAGAAAGTTTTGAAAGAGATCCAGCCATCTGACAGCCAGGGGATTTTGTCTCCTGCAAAGAATGCTGAACTGAGCTATCCATTTTTTTGTTTCAAAAACTCAATTTTACCTTCCCTCTGAGGAATTCTGGTTCTGTCTAATAAACCTGAATTCCAGATTTGTAAATCTATTGTGCACCAAAATAAAACATTTTAAGGTAGCATCTTGCTGTGTTGCCCATACTAGCCTGGAATTTGTGATCCTCCTCCCTTGGATTCCAGAATAGATGGGATTACGGGTGTATACCACCATGATCAGCACTTGTCTTTCCTTTAAACGTCATTTATAATTTCTTTGTTTACAGACACCAATGCCAAAGATCATAAATGAAAGAATCGATGTTAATTACTTAAGTATCAAAACCAGTATATAACAAGAACTACCTCTACTGACAACTACCTATATTCAAGACAAAAACAAAACAACCCCCCCTCCAGATTCCAATTGAATAGGAGGCAGACACAAAGGGGTAATCCATAAAAGAAATACCTACGCAAGCAGCCAATTGAACATAGGAAAAGATATTCCACCTTGTTAGAATGTAATCAGAGAATGTAAATAATTTGGTCTGGGGTGTAGCTCAGATGTAGATAATTTGCCTAGCCTGTTTGAGGACTTGTGTTGACCCTTGGCACCAAACCAAACCAAACATACAAACAAAAAACCCAATGCAAATAATAAAACTGATAAGACTGAAATGTTGACCAAATTTTGGGGAAATGGTATGGTATTCTTACAAATTGTTGGGAATGTGTATTTGTAAAATCTTTGAGAAAGATAGTTTGAAATGCATCAAATGAGAATACTACAGTTTTTAAAGGAAAGAATCAGGTAGGAATCAGATGATGTACAAAAACTGAGACCCTGAGTAGCTATCAAAAGGGAACTGCTTAAATAAATTTTGGTATAAACATATATCAGGTTGCCAGAGTCTTGTGGTTAACCACTCATGACAACGTACTATTTTTATGGGAAATAGTGAAGAAAAGTCTGTTTTCATTTACATAGAAAACAATTTTAAGGTCGTATATGAATGTTTTAATCATGATTATATTTGGGTGGTGAAATGGGGGAATCTTAATTTTCAGTATTCTCTTTTCTATTCTCTACATTTTTTGCAATTACTATGCATTAGTTTTATAACTGGACAAAAGGCAACCATCACTTAAAAAGACAAAATAAATCTACAATTAACAACTGCCACACACTGTACCCCAAGGTCACAATAGACTTAGTCTGAAAGTTGGCCAATTTTTTTTGTGATGTGACTAGCATCCTGATGTTATTTGTGGATATATATATATGGCAATTTATGAGCAAAACACGTTACCCTGACTGCTGTGTTTTGTGGGAATTCTGAATTGTGGGCTCTTTTATGATTTCAACAATATCTAGCAGTGATTCTTAACCTTTTCTAGATCTCAGATTTGTTTGAGACTCTGAAGAAAAGTAAAGATTCCCTCTCCAGAAAACACATATGCTCACATTTGCAGAACACTCATTTCCTCATGGACGCCAGGAAAATAAGGAACACACATTTCATTTTACTAATTGAGGAGTCAGACACTGCTTTGTAATTTAAATAGGTTTATCTCAATGAAAACTCAGCTGTGTGAGATTGGAACTCCTTTGTAACTTTCCGAGATAGCTTCCGGATGGGAAAAAAGATGTTATCTCAATTTACAGACCAGGATTGTAAAGATTAGACAGGTTCACTGCCTGTGTAATCCAATCATAACTCTCCAATTTTGACGTGCTAAATTTCCTCCAGGTCAACCTTCCAGTGGGTTACTACATTCTAAAGCGGGTGAGGGCCAGCGGAATTGAGGGAAATCTCAAAGACCTCAAGGTGTAACTCGCTCCACCTACAGTCAAAAAACCCGTGCCCCAAAACAGAGAAGAGATGACATGAATTTTAGTTCCCCGTCCCTCCCACTCACTCTTGCTGTGCTTATGACTAGCTAGTCTAGGACCCAGCAGAAGCACAGCAAAAGCTCACAAGAGAGGTCGGAAAGGAACTAGAAGGTAAATGAAGGAAGTCTCTCCAACGGGGCTATCTGGCAGCCAGAGAGTGAAAGGAAGTGAAGCAGGTGCAGCTGACAGGACACCTACTGCAGAAAGGGTTACATGAGGAAAGTTTATGGCTAGTCCCACTCTAGAGCACAGCATGATGGGGGATAAAAAAAAAAGCAGCAACAGTTGGGGAGCTCACCCTCGGGCTCAAACGTTCCAGCTGAGACCCTCCATTTCCGTAAACACACCCAAGCAGACGGAAAAACCTAATAGCTGTGACCCTCCAGTTCCGTAAGCACATCCCAATAGGCGGAAAAACCAAAGGAAGAGGCCATGCAAAATCTTGATACCTGATGCAGGAATCCGGCTCTTCCTTGCAGTTAAGGTTGCACAAGAAACGTTCCCAATGCAGCCAGCCCATAGTAGGCGTCCTCGCTAAGCCATTATCCAGTGCTCTGGCCACAAGGATTTCACAGAGAACTAGGACCAGGAAGTGAAACATAAGCACCCAGCCGGGCCGCTGATCTCTGCTCCTAAGCTTCATTACTCGGGTGATTATACAAAGGAGATTCCTCCTGGTAACTTGGGCTTTTAAATTTAATCTTAGGGACCAATCACCGATGAGTTACTAAATAATGACGTTATTTCTCAGTTAAATGGACGGTTATCTCCAGAGACCTACCAATGACCAGTCACGTAAAATGCATCGCAAACCAATCATACTCTTCGTTTCTTGATATTGGCCCGCCCTATTTTCAGACAAGAAGGAAAGAGAGTTCCCGAGTTTAAACCCTGAGTTCCTCACGTGACTGAGATCTCACATGACGTAGGCGATCACGTGATTGATCGCTTACGTGAGCAGAAGTAGTTCTGGTCGTCGCCTACCGTCTCGCTATAGCCGTTTGAGGGAAGAAGGAGGAAAATTACCCGGTATCTTTAGAGGTTCGTGTGTGGGTGGGACTGGGGACCCGGGGTTGGTAATGATGAAGACTAATGTGGGGTCCTCGTGCTGCCGCTGCCTTTTCGTTCACTGTTTCCCCCTGCTCCCCGCTTCCGTCCCCCTCCCCCTCCCCTTCGTCTCTGTGCCGCGAAGCCGCCTTTGCTAAGCCTGGTGGGGAAATGGTGGACGTTCGCGGCTGTGTGTGTGTGAGTGTATATATGTGCCCGCGCGCGTGCGCGCGCGTCTATGTATATCTGCCTGTCTTATCCAGGCTCAGGGACCCCCTAGGGGGACCGTGCTGTGAAAAATGTGTGAAAAGAATTAGAAATAACATATTAAGACCCGTGGTCTGAGTGCAGATCCAGACATTCAGGCACTCAGTCTATATAGCCTGATTGTGTGACTGTCGAGAAAGGCCCCAAGTGAATTATCTGTGGAGTCGCATCTCGACAAACGCTGCGAGACTTCCGAGGCCCAGTAAATGTTTTTACTTGAGAATTTGATTGTTTGGTTTTTTTGCTTACAACAGTAATCGACATTTGATTTGATTATTTGAAAAATTACAGTATACTGTATAAATTTTAAAGACAGACGTAATTTAGCACTACTCAACTTTTTGTCATTAGTTTGAAAAATATTTGTATTATAATGCACATAAACACACATTCTTAACTCTCAAGTGGAATCTTGGGTACTACTGAAGGCGACAGAGTTTTTGTTGGCCTCAGGAGCTGTAAAGAAGTACAACCTCTTGGTCACTACATAGGGACTATTAAGACTTAAAATGATGCAGAATTCATCATCATCTCAGGGATGATCTGTCATGCAGACCTAAGGATAGTTTTTAGGAAAGCTGTTACCACAGCAGAGGCATCCATCAAACAATTAGTAAATGTTTGAATTTAGTCCTCAGTGTGATTTTATGGAAGCTATTCACTTTTTAATTTCTCAGAGTCCCAGTGTTCCCAAACTATGTCCATTTCATATCCACATATGAAATTAGAAAAATTTATGCAGCTTAATAAGACAAATCCTAAAAAAGCAAACACTTTAATTTGTTGCTTTTTTGAAACAAAATAATGTTTCTGTGGGAAATTAAGATTGCACAAGTATTCAAAAAAATAAAATGTAAAAAGCCATAAACCTACTACTCAGAATAACCATTTTTAACATGTGACATACTCTCCGTGAATATGGTTTTCAAACATTTGTTATTTATATTCCAATACAGTCAGTTTAAACAATTAAAATTGTAGGGAAGTATGTAGGATAAAAAGTGAAAGTCTCATTTCATTCCCTTACCCTTAAGTAGTTCTTTTTTCAAAAACAAGTTTGTGTTATATATCTCTAGATTTTCTTTAACATACTTACCAGCATGCTTATGTTTTAATACAAGTAAGATCACAGTATATATATAAAATTTTTCCATTTAATGTGTTTTGGAAATTTATCTAGGTCAGATCAGACAGAGCTCTAGTTTTTAGATGGCTGCATAACATTCCATTTTAAGGATCATTGAGAGTTTATTCAGCTATCCCCATTGATAGCTGTCTAGGTTTCTAATTTTCTGCTGTTACAGTGATGTAGCAAACATTTGTAAATATTTATGTTGACCAAATTCCTAGAAAGAATTCTAGCAAGGTCAAAGGGTATTGTAGACATTTATTTTTACATAGTCAAAATTATAAAGTAGCTGTAATCTTGGATCACTTATAAGTCATTTCAGATGTTAAATTTTTAAAACTTTATTGCCCATATAATACTGCATGTTTCTTAATAAAATCATTTTCAAAGAAGATGTAGCTCCATAAGTCTTGGTCTCAACTTAAAAATTATCTCTTAAGGTTCATAATCTGAAGTGGGTTTACTGTCAAAAGGTATGATTGATACCATATTGTTTTCCAGAATACTTTATTAGTTTTCACTCCTCTAGTGTTGTATTAGTTTGTGAAACCTAATACTGACTTATTATCACTGTTTAATTTCTACTATTTTGATGAATAAGAAATAGGTGATTAATTTTGGTTTTAACTTGCATTTCCAGTGATTGATGAGGTTTGACTCTTTTCCAGACTCCTCTCCTGTATCATATTTAATCTGTTATCAAGTCTACAGGTTCTAGTTTTCTCAGAGAGATCACATATTTCTTCCCCTTTTTACTGTTTTTTTCTTAGTGAGTCCCTTAACATATCTGGAAGAGGTCCTTCTGACTCTTCCTCACTACACTTAAAACCCCCTTTTTTTGAATGCTACACGGTTGCCTGAGTGATGTGACTAAAAAGGGCCATCATGATATCACTTTGGATCTGATCGCTTACCTTGTTAGCCTTACTTCTTGTTTGCTCCTATTTTATGTTCCATCAAAATTTAAAATTTTGTTTATGGATCTCTGAAGGAATTAATTTGTTTTATTTACATATTCTGCCTCCAACTGATAGAACTGACCAACTAATTCCTTCTTTATATTGTTCTTACCAACTGCAGAGAGTTCTGTCATTGCAAGTATCATGTGCATTTGCATATGTATCTTTAGTGAAGACACACAGTGCCCTGTAGGGCCATAAGCCTTTTTTTGGGGTTATTGATGCTTGTATGTCAGAGGTGAGCAGTGGAATAAGCACCTAAAAATGTTGAATATGTAAGTTCCCAATGATGTGTTTTTCCCTGATTTTATTGACTTGTACATATTTTTATATGATGTTAATGTATTTTTTGGAAGTATCTTCTCATGTGTTTTATTCTGTTTAATCCATTGATCTAATAAAGTTTTTCATTTTTAGGTGATCACATACAGCTATATTCACTGGGTTTGTTGCTGTTAACTTTTTAGGTCTTTTTATTTACTGTCTATGATGTTTATATAAGGTCAGAGCAGAAAACTTTGAACATAGAGAAATATCAAAAGAGGAAAAATCATCTGAAATAAAAAGTTTCATAATCCTACCACCATTAATATCTACCATTATTGACCTGACACATAATATGCATTGAATAAGTAATAGATGAACATGTGAGTTAAAGATTTGGTATTGTCTTTTTGTTTATACAGGTATATTTTTAAAAAGCTACTAGTGTAATGGAGTTTCATACTGTTTTTTCTCTTATTGTATTCTGAATGTTTTCCCATGACAATAGTCTCTTAATTATTTTTTCAGCCACATCGAAATTGCATCGAGCCGAGCTTGCCATCAAGAGCCCAACAGTCACCATGATGCTGAGCACAGAAGGCAGGGAGGGGTTCGTGGTGAAGGTCAGGGGCCTACCCTGGTCCTGCTCAGCTGATGAAGTGATGCGCTTCTTCTCTGATTGCAAAATCCAGAATGGCACATCAGGTATTCGCTTCATCTACACCAGAGAAGGCAGACCAAGTGGTGAAGCATTTGTTGAACTTGAATCAGAAGATGAAGTGAAATTGGCTTTGAAGAAGGACAGAGAAACGATGGGTCACAGATATGTTGAAGTATTCAAGTCCAACAGTGTTGAAATGGATTGGGTGTTGAAACATACAGGTCCAAATAGTCCTGATACTGCCAATGATGGTTTCGTCCGGCTTAGAGGACTCCCATTTGGCTGTAGCAAGGAAGAGATTGTTCAATTCTTTTCAGGGTTGGAAATTGTGCCAAATGGGATGACACTGCCAGTGGACTTTCAGGGGCGGAGCACAGGGGAGGCCTTTGTGCAGTTTGCTTCACAGGAGATAGCTGAAAAGGCCTTAAAGAAACACAAGGAAAGAATAGGGCACAGGTACATTGAAATATTCAAGAGCAGCAGAGCTGAAGTCCGAACCCATTATGATCCCCCTCGAAAGCTCATGGCTATGCAGCGGCCAGGTCCTTATGATAGGCCCGGGACTGGCAGAGGATATAATAGCATTGGCAGAGGAGCTGGGTTTGAAAGGATGAGGCGGGGTGCCTATGGTGGAGGGTATGGAGGCTATGATGACTATGGTGGCTATAATGATGGGTATGGCTTTGGGTCTGATAGGTTTGGAAGAGACCTCAATTACTGTTTCTCAGGAATGTCTGATCATAGATATGGAGATGGTGGGTCTAGTTTCCAGAGCACCACGGGGCACTGTGTACACATGAGGGGGTTACCTTACAGAGCCACTGAGAATGATATTTATAACTTTTTCTCTCCTCTTAACCCTATGAGAGTACACATTGAAATTGGACCTGATGGCAGGGTTACTGGTGAGGCAGATGTTGAATTTGCTACTCATGAAGATGCGGTGGCAGCTATGGCAAAAGATAAAGCTAATATGCAACATAGATATGTGGAGCTCTTCTTAAATTCTACTGCAGGAACAAGTGGAGGGGCTTATGATCACAGCTATGTAGAACTCTTTTTGAATTCTACAGCAGGGGCAAGTGGTGGTGCTTATGGTAGCCAAATGATGGGAGGGATGGGCTTATCTAACCAGTCTAGTTATGGGGGTCCTGCCAGCCAGCAGCTGAGTGGTGGTTATGGAGGTGGTTATGGTGGTCAGAGCAGTATGAGTGGATATGACCAAGTTCTGCAGGAAAACTCCAGTGACTATCAGTCAAACCTTGCTTAAGATAGAGAAGGAGTACTAAACAGCTACTATAGAAATAAAA